AAGTTGTCCGGCATTAGTATGCGTTCGGAATACACTCCGCGTGCAACTCGTTCGTGGAATTCTTTAACGCATGATTTACGAGTCTATATATACGCGCGTTTTAATCTTTCTCGAAACGATCCGCACCCCCGATTAATCTCGTTCACTTCTCGTAGATATTATATCTATCTGAGCCTCCTCGATACACGTTCACGTACGACGTTACTCGCTTTCCGACGACGCGACACCAGGACGAAAAGTATATGCAAACGAATGCAGCAACTACCAAGGACGTACCAGGATTCTCATTTTTGCTCTCGCGATGTTCCGGGTGCGTCCAGGAGTGAACTGGATGCTGATTGCCGTCGGTTCCTGGCCTTATATACGCGGCACACTTTCGCCTTCGCCACCCGGGCCCGTCGGGGCCCAAGTCATGTACCCCCACGTTATACCTCTTTTTCAACTACGACGATGACGGACCTACCGACTCTACCACTCCCCTTTGGGACAGACACCTTACTCCCCCTCTTCAATTTCCCTATACTGTACACACATACGCACGCACATTCGCGCAAGTTGCGAAGAACAAATTCTCCTTCTTCGACGAACGGATCTCGTTCCTTCCTTCTTCGTCAAATACTTGTGCTCGCGTTACCTGATATTTTTTTTTTTTTTTCACATGTCTTCGCAGGTACCTCGATTGCGCTTTAGTTTTATACTTTCTCTGAGAGGAACGACGGACATACCGATTGGCCGTCGTAACGTCCCTTATGTTAGTATCGGAAGCCGTCGACGAGACATCGATCGTATCCGCGTGCCTTTCCAGTTCGGACAAACTTAGATTGACAGCGCGTAAAAACTCGCCTCTTCGTACGTAACATTTCACGAGAGTTCGACTCGGATAGATTCGCCTGCCGGCAAATCTCTGTCAGCCGACACGGATACCGTCAGTAATATCGTGCGGATAAAATGTGACATTCATCACTCACGGCGACCACTGGTCCTGTCATCGTGACATTTTGGCACGTGTCGGTTCCCTCACTCTTGCGAGAGATTTATAAGTCGATATATACAGTTGAATACATTTTATAAAATTGTCGAAAGTTAAATTGTCCATTTTTTTGGTGTCGCGTGTCGGACGTGCTCCGACGATATTTTCTAAACTTTTTCGCTCGCCATTAACTCCGTTTCGAGATGCAGTTAAAGTGTGCTCGAGTTTGGATTTTCAACTTTTACTACGCATGTACGTGTCGTAGTAGAGACGCTTCGCCAGTGGAACGGAAGTCGGGAAAAACCCCATCTAGGAGAGGGATTGACTCGCAATCGTTGAAACGCAATCGAAAATTGCGCGTCTTACAGAATTTCATATTTTAATATATGCGCATATATTGTACATTTTGCCACAGTCAATTGCTAAAGTTAATCGTCTAATAGAATTATTATATATATCTATATATTTTTATTAAACTTTTCTAATAAAACTTTTGTTTTCTCCATTACTAATTTTGTTTTGTTTCTAATACTAATCTATAATAAATTACATGGCGCATACATGCGCCTATAGGTAGCATTGACATGCCAGCCTAGTTTTTCCGTCAGTAAATTATACTAATTCCTACCTTTTCCCTACAATTTCATGTCCCCCTACAAGAGAATGCATAATTCACATTTCAGCATTTACCTTCTCCACATGCCTCTATATTATAAATTTTCCACTTTCCATCTTACCTTTTGAATATAGTAGAAACATAGCTTCCGAGCTTCATTATTCTAGTCATGATTTTAAATTTGTGAGAAATGATTTTTCAGATAGCGAATCACACAATTTGAATTTGTTGTACATTATTACTCATCAAAATTAGAAGAATAGCTCAATTAATTGTTAGAGCTAATAAATGTCAAAAAAATCGCTTTGATAATGAAGAGGAAATTGAGAGGATTTAAAATTATGGTATACACCGGTAAAGTGATTGCAAAAAAACTTGGATAATTTCGAAAATAAAAATTCCTATCATTTTCCAATGTCTTTCCCAGCTGAAAAACTTGTTGTATGCCGATCGCACTGACGCAACGTAACGTGTTTCAGCTACGGGCACTTGAATACGTTATTTTTCGTAGCAATCGACTGCAACGGTCACGCGAATCGCGCGCGATCAACGTCATCATGCATCCTCTCCCTTTCTAGCTATATATTACCGTTCCGTTTTCGTCCTTACCTCGCCCAACGCCTTCTGTAACCGCGTAATGCAGACGCATATACATACATATATACATGCATGCGCATACACATGACAGACAACGTAAGACACACCGCCTAGAATTTATCTCCCGCCGATCTCGTGGGTGTAGCATTGCTCCCTTTCGAGGGACATGCGGACCCACGTCGCAATCCCGTTCTAAAGTCGGTGAAGTTCCGCTTTCCATCTCCTTCTCTCCGTTTCGCACGCGGCTAAGTATGTCGATGTTTACCACCGCATTATCCATTGGACATGATCACCTTACGCGAACGGTGTTCACGTGCAGTATTATATCACTTTACTCGGCAAATATATGTATATCGGACAAAGAAATGTATTCGCAGAAATCCACAGCATGCAGTAATAATTTGCTTTTTCATAGGCGAAAGTATATCATTAATGTTTCGCAATACGGAATAGAGATATAAAGAGAGAGAAAAAGAGATTATTATTTAAATCAATAGAATTGTTTGTTTTAATCCATGTAATAAATATTGATAAATCGGCTTTTCGAAGAATTCATCGAATTAAAGTTAAAAATTCTCATGTTCTCAAAAATATTTAATAACTTGATATCGTGAGTGTGACTAATAATTATTGGAAATTTATAAAAGTAAATAAATTCATATTAATAAAAAAAAATCAATGACGAATTAAATAAATTACATTTGCAATGCAGAAAAATTAATAGGATCTGTATATTAAATTGATTAAAATATACGTATAAAAGAATATCAGATTTATATTAATATAAAATAATATAAAGTGTCGTATTTAATCGTAAATGGATATATATTTTATTATTTCACAATTAATTATCAGTCTATATATGCATATAATTCTTGAGCCGACAGATACTTTAAAAGACAAACGCTATATCAGTCGGGTCTGGCTTAACTAGTTGAATCTCCTGCGCTTACACTTAAAACTCCCCTGACAGCGATAATTATTCTGATTTATAATAAATCCACATGTCTGTGAATATCCTGAGAGACACGCAATCAAACTTCAACACGTACATAACATAAATGATAATATAAGATAATATGAGAAAGATATATAAAAATGTTCTTGTCGCATATCTGTATCTTCTTTAATTTTTCATCAAATTTTTTGTTTAAACTTTCTCTCTCGTTAGATCATATTCGCGTTCGTACTTTTTGATATTAATGATCAACGTAATATTTTTTTTATTTTAATGAAATCTTTATTTACAAACTTTATTTACTTTTAATTGAAAAAGTATATCAAAATGGTCGAAGCTATCGCGATACCTGTCATTCAGGGCGAAGGTCTCACCTCGATACTATTCAACCGTGTAACCTGATTCAATCGTTTCCTCGCAATACGGTTACTTCCCCTTGAATATCAATATGACGACTTGGTTTCACTCTCCCGCGATGCCATTTCGATGCATTCGCCCACCCGTTAAGTGTGGGTGAGCAAGGAAGGTTAATCGATAATATTCCCTAGTAAAAACGCTCATAAAATTGCGAAATTAAATGATTATTTTACTATGTTGAATGTTGCAATGCGATAAAATTTATGCCAAAATTTTACGTTTCGATCCCTAATTATTACAACTTAAATTCTGCCGCTTACAAAAATTTCCCTCAATTTTTGATGATGTGCGAGATTCACAAATTAACGCGCAATAATAATTACTGTAATCAAAAAGGTATTACAAGTATATACAGCTGTTTATACATTCATTATAAAATTGATTATAAAATCGCGATGATATGAATCCGGGACGACTTGCGTTACTTTTCGATTTCTTCCTGAAACGTGTTTAGGCTGGGAAATCATGAATTTCATTAATTTCGTCGATGACATCATGAGTAATGCTCGTAACGCAAGTCGCAATATATATATATTCAGATGTCATGCGTGTGTTACGACACTCTCGTCATATATTTTCAAACGACGAGAATCCGCGCGAGAGAGCACTGTTATAATCGTGGAAAGAAAAAGTGTTGGAATCCCGATCGTAATACCGATCCGTGATTTCCGAATGATTATTACGTAAAGGTCGTTGCCGAAGAGTCTCTCTCTCGGTGAAACGACAACATACTTACTCGTTTGTTGCCTCTCTTTTTAACCACCTGGCAATATATTCTATACGGAGGAGGCGAGAATATTTTATCTCCCATCTGTTACTCGTTTTCATAGAGATCGAGAGTCTTCGTGACCTCACTGACCCTGTTAACATTAGCCTTGCAGATCCTCAAGATTCATGAAAATTGACATCTTAGACGTGACTAAGATTAGCATCAGCTACGTTTAAAGTCATTTTGTCTTGAATCACGAATTTAATAAAAAGCATAATGAAAAAATCTTTAAATAAATCTATTTTTTTTTACAATCAACATAACACAAAAAATAAAGATTTCATTGATTTATATTAACTCATAAATTACATGAATTATATAATTATATTATACAATTATTATCGTACAATTTTCATAGTCTTATCTGTCTTATGAAATATATTTTGCAATTTTTTAAATTTTGTTAATATATTTTTCAAGCTTAAAATGAAAATTATGAGTATATTACAAACTCATATAAATTATCAGACGTAACAGAAAATCAGCTTATCGATTTAATAAATTATCATTGAATTTTTGCATGATAAACACACTTTTTTCGAGATTATCCTTACACTATGCGATATTTTTTCTTATAAAGCTTCTTAAGAAGCTAATTCAAAGTTATTAAGTATGTTGAGAAACGCGTAAGAGGCATGGTATAAGTTAATTAGCTTTCTCTCATATTTTACAGGAATTTCGTGGCTGGCGTTCTTCAATTCCAATTGTATCGCTCTCTTTGCCAAGCTGCGGGACAGAGATTCCTCGACAATTCCAGAAGACCGCTGCACAGATGCGACTTTTACAGAAACCCCCAGGCCGGCGGAATCTTGGGGTGAGTGTTGAAAAATCTAATAAATCGTCGTCCTTCTCTTAAACCGGATAAGCAGAAAGTCTTTAGCGTCATCTTTTACGCTACGTCTCTTGCGCAAAATCCGCCGCATCAAAATACGCCCGTTCAAAAACGGAAACGCAGGCGTAAAAGCGGCCTTTTAATAATCAGTTTTTAATCTACGTGTACTGTACGTATATGCTTTCGCAATATAGTATACGTTTCTTTACAAACGCCGAGGATCGATCGCAACGAGCGGCTACGTTGAATCCGCGACCATTTGCGGGCAAAATGCGAAAAGCAATCTTTTTTTCGTTTGACGTGCTTGCAGATCGCGTCACATTTTTATTACGGTTGGAAAAACTGCGCCGTTATTTTGCGACCGTATTTCAATCCAACACGTAATATGAAGTAGCCGTGTGCAATATATAGAGATAGAAAAACACAAGTACCTTTACAAACTGAACGACGCATTAGAGTCCTGTATAGCGCGAAAGAATATAAAATTTGGTAACTATGAAATATTTAATAACACGTCGACAAATATTAATTACACGTAATTAAAATAAATATTGACAGATTTTTTTGCGTAAAATATACACCTAAAATAATAACACAATAAAATGTTAGCCATTTATGTTTGCATATTTTAACAAAGATAAAAATCTAACTTAAATCTACTTAAATCGGGAAACTATTGTGTAATTTTCGTTAAATAAAAAAAAAAAAGTAGATCATGGAGAATGACACAACACAATGAGAGAAAGGAAACAGGATGAAGGAAACCACTCAATAATATTGCGGCGTCATCATTTGTTGCTTTATACATAGGTTCTTTTCCTCAATATGTAGCAAGAACACTGTTGAAAAAATTAATGCAAAATTAATACCTAATCAAAACATCACATACCAATGCTCAAATAACGATAAGTGGTTCATTTGGAGCAATATATAAGTGTCACTCCAAGTTTTTATTAATAATTCTAATATATTTTATGAATAACCGGACGAATCATTCTGCTTCTAATTGGGTTCTTACTTTGTTGAACTATTTTAATGGTCTCAATTCATTGTAAATATATTTTGCGTTTTAACTATGACTCAACTATATAACTTATATTGACTATGTATTGCGGATTTTTTATTGAATTTTATGTATTTATTTATTATCGTTATTTATTATCACTATTTTTTGCGCACTGAAGAGGAGCAAGTAGAGCTCGAAACGTTTGTACAATTATTATTTCAAATTAAGAATTTTCTTCTCAATAATAAAATAATATCGTATTGCTCGTTACACATGGCCTTAATTTAATAATTTATCATTGAAAAAATTAAGTTTAATAAGAAATATTTTTTAAAAAATAACTAAAACACACATATCATAAGCATGCATATCACAAAGCGGAATTATTTTTGTATAAATATTTTATTTCAAATTTATTTTTAATTTTGTAAAGCCTAGTATTAGAAAATCTATCATTTAATTTTATCGCAATAATCTTAGTTTCAAAGCTAATTATCTCCATCCTAAAATGTTTCTGAATGAAAAACGTAAAAAAAAAGAAATTTCCGATGATAGCGACGACTCGTTTATTGCCCACTTCGTTTTCGAAAGCTGTGAATTATGACTATTATTTTCGTAAACAAGAATTTTTGGTTCGACCTAACTTCATTATACTGTCACAGAGCCAGTCTAAAATGTCAGGAATCTATAAAATACCACAGCAAGGTGGGGCCACGAACTCGATCGCTATCTCATTCCGGATCTTGACATTTTTGGCCCCGAATTTTTTATGATTCAAGGCTAAAATTGATATGTAAAAATTAATGCAGGCGCGTAATTATCACCCGTATAGAAACTGGAATCTTCCGAAAAAGAATAAAAAAAGATCATCGCATCTCGTCGCATTTTACTTGGTCATCGCGACAAATTTAGAAATGGACGGAATATTAATTTTAATGTAAAAGAATATGCAAAACGCTCTTGTTTTTAGCAATGGCGTCACAATTTTACCCTACTAAATCATTTAGAAAAATTCAAATCCGCGAGTTGATTTATACACACACAGACATAGGTATATAATGCTATCCGCATATATTTATAACATGAAAAAACTTTAAAAAACTTTAAACGTTATTTATTAACCACAATTAAGTATGTAATCATAAAATGCGTTATTTATCAATTTAATCATGCTTAAATAAATAGTTTAACACAATTATAATTAATTGTTAATCCATCCAATAATCCATGTATCAAAATGATTAGCGGAAACCATTAAACTCATATAGACAAGAAATGCAAAATATATTATTAATCAAATAAACTTATATGTGTACTAAATAAATTAAAAATATATATTATGTCGCACATTTAATATAATAATATAATAATAATACAACGGACGTGACGTTTCTTAAAATGAAAATTTCCACATTTCGACTTGCATCATATTACCTCCATTGATAATACATATGTATATAAAAAAATAAAAACATTTTTATTATAATAATTAAACCCAAGCTATCGATTAGTCTATCAAGAATTCAATCCGCCATTATTCCGGATCTGATAATCTAAAATCTCAGATGCCTCTTTATTGCTGATGTGCGTGACTTGACACAAGACACTATGCCGGTGTCTCTTGAGCATAAATGCAAATTGTGTAAATTAAATCGTCGCGTCAATTACCATCATGGATATTTGAGATTAAATTACAGTTTATTTCAGACTATGTCACGTTTATAAATTTGCTAATTTAGTTTTATATCACTACTGCGCGGATGTCTAGTTGAACGCATCTAGTTTGCGCATTTATTCATTGTTACACAACCCCATAATATTCTCATCCACCATAATGCTCCTAGTATAGCTATATTTGGAGTATGAAGCATAAAATGACGATCTCTATGATTTCGACATTGATAATTATGTATCATTGCAATGTTTGTTCTCGTATGGATATCTTGCAAATGATCGCTCGTCAGTATATAGACACTAACTGACTGTAATAACTTGTGTAATAATACTAATTATTGTTGGTACTAAGAGAAACTAATAACCCTAAATTGGTAAAGACCCACATTTTTTAAACAATGACTTGTGTCGGCAATCTATTTTTGTATATTATTGACTTTTAAAAGATTATATTTTAATATTCTCCTCTACAGAAAAAAATCTGTATATATATAATTTAATATATTAAAATTCAAATATGAAGAAAAGATTTCTGATTATTTCGATTATTGTTTTAAATTGTTAAACGCTGGTCCTTCTCGAAAAACTAATGTATTTAATTCTGGGCTAGAAATAATAAAATCGTGCTTGTAATAAAATCATTAAATTAAAGTACACGTGACATAATGCACGGGCATATGTAATAATACAGTGGGCTGTTTTGAGAAAGGTAGATGCTGAGAGAACACCTTCGTGGGGCATTAAAGTAGCGTCGTGTTTACATAGTCTTGACGAGGCGCGAAAACTGACGGTCGGCGCCGGGATTGCGTTTTCTCGTCGTTGATTACGGGATGCATTATGCACACGCGAGCATGATCGTGATCCTCTCGCGAATATTGCAACATGCGTATGTACGTACACATCGTAATGGCGTGCATTGTTAGATCGTATCGTTCTACCGTGCAAGATGCTGTGGGGATTTTCACGGCGCCCTTTTATTTTTTTTAACGGTGAATTGCGGCTTGTACTCGCTCGAAAGTTGAGTTAAAAATAAATTATTGCATATATCGATATTAAGAACTCGATTATATCACCGATCGCTCCTCGACCGGATCGAGCCTTCCCAACAGCAATCTTCTGGCGAGCGTTATCTGGGTTAACGAGAGGGAAATCTCTTTATTCGGTTCCGCAATTCCGCCGGTCGCCAATCCGGTATTTGTCTCTCGACATTATTACGATGCGTCGTGTCGTTCCAACAACTTTGTTCGATCGAGATAAATATCACGATAATAATAATTGTTGGCCGCCTACGCGACGAACGAGGCGCGGATCTTATTGTTAGCTAGTAATCAAGCTGAGAGAAACTGTAAAAATACGAAACACATGGACGATTATAAGTGAACGTCGCGTATTGATATTTACACACATATTATTTAGATTTCACATTAATTATATGCAGTAAAAATTTGTACAGTATATAATATGAAATTTGTGGAGAGTAATATAATTTCAAAAATCTCTGTTGAACAAAAGAGATCTTTCATTATATTGACTTGATCGGTGTACGATTAACTTAATTATAAAAAGACTTTAAAAATCTGATCGACCTTCACATATGACTCGTGAAATATTCCAAATAATTAAATTCCGACACGTTCATTAGGCTGACATAAGCTACAATAAAATTGATGTTTGCCATAAAATGTCACGAGATGCGGGGAAAGGTAAATCTGTTGCGACTACCATATGTATTTATATTGCTATAAAAGGGGAGTATATAAAATAAAACACACACAAGTTTAATTGGAACGTGTTTTCTTCGTAGTTACGAAATTGTATTCGCTGAGGAATTACATAAAATGATAAAAAGTATTAGAACGGTAGACAATGTTATTCAAACGACGAGATAATTTATGGTAGAAACGTTCTCGTTTTCTTCTTTTTTTTCTCTTTACGATATACTTAGTAGTAGTTCTCCTAGTTCACGGACTCGTTCGTGCGCATTTATAGACGTAACGTGAGCAAAGTTTTATATAGACGATGAAAGTCGCATAATTCTCTTGGCAAGCGGAAACTCGATAAGGATTGTTCCGCGTATGAAGATGATTTCGTAGATCGAAATCTTTTGGCAACCGACCAAGCTGCTAAGGCTTCCTGCAATATCCATAGTTTCCACAAAAGCCAAAGTAATCTCGATAGAATTTCATTATTTGCATATAGGTAGAAGCATCAATAGAGTACTAAAATTTTCGTAGAATTTGGATAAAGATTTATATAACTTTGCAATCAAAATTATAATTATCAGAATCGTCGAAGAATGATATTTCTCCAATGATCACTGACCAATGATAATTCATTGAAATAATACTTATAAATATCGGAGTTTATCTATTCAATATTTTTTATCATTAAAAATATTTACTTATTATTCAGAGTTTTCTACGATACGTAAAGTGTTGCGTTATGAATTATCCAAACGGAAATTCAATCGAAGATCATTCATGATATGAGAATCGAGATTCCACTGAACACACCTGATTTCCCGTAATCGAAGGACGATCTCGACCTCTCGCTTTACGACGATTACGACAACCGCGTACTCGGTAAAAATGTACGTGCGTGATGTAAAGGAACGCAAACGGCTATCATACCACACGAGAGAGTTCGCAGTTAATAATGACGAAGAAACTCGCCGCGTTGTTACGCGTTACACTTCCGTTTTCGCTACGCAAGATTCGTGGGCGTCGCACGAGCGGCTAGAGAAAAGTCCGGACGAGCGATATAACACATATTATAGTTAAGAACTGAGATGTAATATAATATTATATTACTAGAACTGCAGACGATTACGAATCATTGCCACGTTTCCGCAAGCACAAGCCGGATAAAGCGCACAATACAATTAAATTGAAATCAGCAAGAGAAATTTTATATCATTTTAGCATGGAAAGCTTTCTGCGATCCTTCTACTAATATTTTTTAAATAAATAATTTTTCACGCACGCGACATGTACAAATATTTTTTATACGTTTAATGTCGTCGAAATCATACTATTCGTTAATTTTTGCATAAATTTAAAATCCATATCTCTTTTGACGATAATTTTCAGAGGTATTAATAACAGGTATTTAAGTTAGCAAAAATTGCAAAGACTAGTTTGAGTTGTGAAATATTAAATTAAAATTCCACGTGAAATTAATCAAAAGATTTCATTGATTGATGTTTACATTAAATTCATTTGTATTATTATATTCATTATATATTTATTAATGTCACTCGATTACGTTAATTTTCTGAATTGCGAAAGAGATATACGACATCATGGTTGACTTATTCCACTCGCCGGCTATCGATACTGCGATTTAAACGCAAATGCAAATTGGTACTTCGTCCTTGGTTGTCACGGACGATCGCGCGGAGGATCGGAAAGGAATCATTTGAAAGTTCTGCTTCGATCGAAAAACGGCAGAAAAATTTTGCGGTGCACTGTACAACATTTATGTCTTAAATGCAATTGAGCGTAACTATCCTCAGAATAATCTGAATGCATGAGCTCATCCCCTACCCACAATCGTAAAAAGAAATACGATTTAAATGACCGGCACAATGAAAGCACGATCTCATATTCATTCTCATGTCCCGTTTGGCATTAACGGTAATTTAACATTATGTATTTATAATACGATCACTATTCAATTTCTTTCTTTTTATTATCTTTTTGCTATTTATGCTATAGTAGGTATAAGTTATAGCATATGTCGGCATAATTTTCTTCTTTTATATCAAAAATTTCAAAGTTTATTTCTGATCTACGATATTTATGTATAATGTTTCTAAGTCAAATAGGTTTATGTTTACTCTTTTTTTATTTTAGACAAAAGATAACATGTTATCTGTCTATTAATATCTAATCGGCGAAACATTTTCTCGCCCACAGTATCTCTTTGTGAAATGTATCCCTGTATCGTCGATCGAAAAGTATTGATTTCGCCTACGTATCGACACCGGATATTATGCGATTGATATAAATTGATGACGAAAAAATTAGAAAGAAAAAGGGAGAGATCAAGTCCCTCTCGGACACGTCGAAATATTTTTGACCAATGAAACTTCGTTTCCCACGAAAGGCACGGCGGATGCATGAAGGTTTCTTATTCCGAGAACGAGGTTTCTCTCTCGAAGAAACCGGAAGCGACAGGCAGGATTGATTTCTGCGAAATCTCGCACGGCGAAAAGCCTCGTATCTCGTAACGCCGGCGTCGTGATTGCAGCTACCCGTCGGTCGCACAATTTCTGATAACATGAAATTACTGCAGTTGCGCGATAGCCACTGTGACATAACAAATGTACGGCCCTGAAACGATTGCAAGCGCGTACGATATATGAATATTAATATTGCTCCGATTGATCATTCTTGCTTGACCTGATTTCGTATTGGGTGAATCATATGGAATGTATAAATAAATTTATAAAGAAATATAAGAATATTAAATTGATAAAATAATCGAATAAAAAAATCTCATATACACATGTAAATCATTTTTTTAAATTATCTTATATTTTTTATCAGTCGATACTGACTTTGCTACATGTAAAAATTCAAGTCGAGCATTAAATTGTTAGACGGGGATTGAAAAAATCAACGCAGCATAATATTTTACATATAGCCGCGAAATATATTGTTTTAAACGAGCATCAAAGTTAAGAATACACTAAATTCTGTTACCGAGTGTTGCGCTATAATATCGTCGACGATCCGGTGATTATGCACGGAGGAAAAGTTGCGAGAGTTCGCGGTTGATCCAACGATCGATTTGAGAGGCGCGGGATACTGCCACTGTTGCATAATCGCGTATCTCTAAACAGTCATCTCGTCAGCACGGTGCACCAGTTCTCAGACCGTAGCATCGCCTTTAAAGCGTCGTTTAATCTTGGATCGCACGGCATTACGAGCGCAAATAATGATCGTCGACAGTGTCGACGACTTGATCAAAATTCATTTACGTTCCATCTTTTGCGCTTTTGAAATTAATTTATCATTGTCTCGCTTCACCTCGATTAAATTTGTATTTAATTTAATTTAGGAAAAGCGGCAAAGCAAAAAGTATGAACGTAATAATTCTTTATTGCTTTTTGAATTTTTACGTCGCAGAGAAAATACATACATATGAGAAGAAATATACATATATATCTATAGACAAAAATAAAAATTTTTTAAATTTTTAATCAAGTGCGACATCATTTTTCAGTCTGTGACCTGTATTTGAAATTAAAATGCTAAATGTATATATACCTAAAGATTGCTTATTTGTGTTTACCGCATATATAACATGTTACAAAGGAACTGGAAATCCTAAAACAGAATACTAAATTAATTGCAAAAAATTTGCAACACGTTTCTATATGTTTTAAAATTTTAAATAGCAAAGAAAGATGAAAATGAAAAGTATTGTCGAGAAACAAGATCAGATGTGTCGAAATAAAACTAAATATAAATTGTATAAGATAATATAAATATAACATATAACATATCTAAGTTAATTAAGCAGATCATAATTGTCAAAGATATGACGTCAACGTTGATATAAATTATTTTCTAGAATTTTAAACAGCGGCACGGTATAATAAATTCCTCGGTATCCACATATAAACACACACACACACACTTTGCTGTCATAATGCAAAATAAATCGCTTATGCAGATTGGAATCGCAGTGGAAACGATTTACCGAAGAAATGGATTATAGCGTGTTAAAGTAGGAGTCACCACATAGCAAATACAGATTACTAGAGATAAATATCCCGGTTAGAAAATTGTGGAATTGACGGCAAAGTTATAAAATTGCGCGCCATCAACACTTCTCATTATGCACAAATGCACTGTTCTTTCTTATACTCTTTCTCTCGTGAAATGTTCACGAGAAGCATTCTGTGCGAGAAGTACGTTCTTTCAACAATGCCGAGCCATAAATAGCTCATTGCTGAATATTATCCACCTGCGAATTACTCGAGAGTAGCCTTTACGTAATCATTTCACCGGATTATATGACGCATATCTTTTTCTCAATGACGCGACATATACCTACATTTTTTAATAATGTTCCAAATAAAATAAAAAGCCGCATATTCTCGCATGTTCTCATTTAATAACAGTTTCACTTTCGTCAAAATTTACTTTCACTTAATTTCATTAAAGTATAATTCAGCAGATATCATCAATAAAAGCGTTGACAATTTTTTTTTTAAATTGGAGTTGCATTTAAACAACATTTAAAATCACATTTAATCATATATATTCTCTACATATAAAATTAAAGTTATTTAATTTTATATGATAAAATTCTCTAGGTATATGATAAAATTGTTGTTGAGATTTTCAATGATTTAGACATTGTATAATAAAGGGATTGATATTTATATGTTCTTATTAATAATAATATTAAATTATATCAAAAACCCAATTACCTAATAAAACGATACAAATGTATTGTTTATATAGGAGATTGATGGAGAAGGGTTCCTCCATTCCCTGGCAGGAAACGCTTCGGGAAGCCACTGGTGAGTCCAGATTAGACGGATCCGCTCTTAGGGAATACTTCCGGCCGTTGGAGGACTGGTTGAGGACCGAGAATTTGAGAACGGGTGAAGTGGTCGGCTGGTCATACGGTAAGGCAACATTACTTTATATACAATACTCTTTGTATCGCGATTTACAGCGATATTCCGCACGATTAATTATCTCTACACTGGAAAAAAAATTGGTCAACTTGACTAAACCTTTCAACTAAATATTATTTTGTCAATTGAACGTATAAAAATATTTAAATGAAATATAACATATTAATTCAAAACGTATTTAAATATTATATATGTGTTGAATTAACAAAATAATAATTTAGTCGAAAGGTTTAGTCAAGTTAACATTTTTTGTCAGTGTAGCTAATTAGCGATTCTTTCGCGATGGGACAGAGATCGATGCCACGTGTTAGTATAGAACCGCCCTAGCGTGAACCGGTACCTTTCGATGAAACTTGCTACAAATGATGCAATTTTCTACCGTAACAGATTGAAGGTTGCAGTTCCCACGTGCTACTTACCGGTATAAGCGCTACAAATGTTCATTGTATGACGACATTCGACTGTGAATTACGATCGGTGAAAATTATTGAGATTAACGGCTTGCACCTATATCTACAGTGCACACATCTTGCCAAATTTTTAACGCCGGTCGTCGGCAAAAAACGTTATATAAAAAACGATTACATAGGAAAGAACTCGGGATTGTGTGCATACAGACATCGAGTACATCGCGCTGCGCTTATATCCCATAAATTATGTCGATGCATTTCGAAAGCATATAGCGGAGCACTTGGAGCGGAATAAGTTACGGATTCTCGTAAAGAAAGTAAAACGTGTATATAATACGTGTTACGTGTTAAACGTTATAAATTAAGAAATGTCTTTCCCTCCCTTCCCAGAAAACGGAAGAGAAACGGGCAAGAATTTCGATAAAACCGCAGCACGACGAAAATGAAAATTATCTTGTACATCTCGAAGCAGGGGAGTGAGAGATTTAATTCTCTTAAAAAAAAAAAAAAAAAAAAAAAAACGAATAACCGCGACGTTGATGGAAGGTGAATGCGAGAAATGCGAATTATTCGAGCAGAAGGCTTCCTAGTCCCGTTGTCGAGACGGTTTCTTTCCTCGGTATATATAACGGTAAGGAAATGTTGGCGCTATTTCCGCGATGGAACGCAAAAGCAACGCGGTCGGTTCGACGTCGGGGAAGCCGATTGTAGAGCTCTGGCCCCGTGGGACCAGCAGCAGATATTGCGAAATGAGGAGAGGCCGCTGGAGCAGAAGAGAGCTAGGAAGGAATATGGTAAACATAGCGAGTGGGGTGGGTTGAACGAGAGTCGTGAGACATTCACGTTCGACGACTGACTGGCAGACTCTCGTTCTTCATCGCGTACAAGTTGCGCCGTTCGATCGTAATAATTCCCCGATGCATCTCCGTCCGAAAGGAAGCCCAGATTTGCACGTGCACGTACGTGAGGTCTTTCTCTATCTCTCTCTTCTCGCGTGAGAGCGAATATCGCGTTCACGCGGTCAATCAGGAACTGGCACGCGTGATTGAGCCGGATCGAGAAATCATTCCAGCTATGGCGCGTACGTAATATTATGTAATGAGATCACTAGTCACATGGTTGGTCTATATACTTGCGCAGAATATTATTCCCCAACAGGAAACAATTATAACTTTAATGAAAGATATAAGGGGTTGAGAGAGAGAAGGGGTTGTCTTGAAATCGAGATGCGGTGGATGCGTTTAAAATTATGAACTTCCTTAAAGAAAATGCAAATCACGAAATAAGAAGACGGATTAGTCATGGAAAATATATTCGTCATGTCCAGTCGCAGCAGGTGAAAAGAGACAACGTAATGTTAGAGAGTTGTGTGCTTGAGAATAACCAATTTGCATTGCAGAAGTTCGTTTTGCCTGATTGCAGCGCGTTATGCAGGCAGCGTTAGTATCGTTAGCTTAACCTAAATTTGAGAATAACTTGGACACTTGCAGCTCTTCTTACATAATTTGTCCGTGCACGTCCTGTCAATATTTTTAACGAAAACAATCGACAAAATACGGGAGAAATTTGCGTTTACTTTAGCGACATTTTGTCATGCCAAATAAGAAGCAAACTCCTTCTCGAAGATAATTCTGGTCGAAAAAGCAAATTACGTAACATGATTAAAAAAAATCATAAAACGCAATTTAATTTAAATTTGAATTCAATTCGATCTCTGTTATTTTTTTTTGCTCGTAACTTCTTCGGTCCACGTGTTATACGTAAAAGCGATGTAATAAAAGGAGTAGATTTATTAGTATATTAGATTTCTGGTGAAATGGATTCTCATATTTTTTATATAATCACAAAAATGGAAAATTGAATGTTATCCAATCCTTGCTTCGTCGTATACACGTGACAAAAAAAGTAAAAGTACAGAGACCATATAATTTATTTTAAATAATTCGCTATAACGCGCGCTGTGTAAAAGTATAGCATATAATTAAAAGTTAGATTATATTCTATCTCTTCAAAGAAATCAATATATTCTACGTACTCATTTTATAGTTATGTATTACCAATTATCCTCTCATATTTCACTTGGGAAGATTGATGTTATTAAATTTTTCCAGCAACACTTAATCACAAGAGAGATCGTTAATTTCTCAAGCGCAACCATGACATTTATAAAAAAAATCGCGTTAATACGTCATGCCACCTGAATGAAGCAATATCTCATTGTGCACGATGCAAGATAACAAGAAACGTGTTACTGTTAAGTAGCTTTACGTTTCCATTTTGTATACCTTCCGCTTACGGTTATAAAGTTATAACTGAGATTAAATTGTATTACGTGGGAGAAATCGTTATCTGGTGAGACGTAAAATCGATACGGGCGCTTTTAATATATTATATGTATGAACAAATCAAGCGGAACGACACGTGACTCAAGCGAGATGAATTTGACGAATATCCGCAAAACTGGAGAAACGAAAAATCAGAAAAGGAAAGGGAGATTGACTGCCTCTCCCTTTACTTGCCGCAAGGTTCCGTTTTTGTTCCTGTTGATCTCGATTACGGGATTTTATAGAGCGGTTTATTTTCTCTTTCTCTCTGCCTCTGGCAAACGATCGCTCGAGCTCTATAACATATTCTTTTCGCCCAAAGAATATCACGACTATTTCACTTAGAGAAATTATTTCGTTATAATTCGCCAATTTTTATTGTCGGAGAAACGGTTTTGACTAAACGATTATGAAACAAAATGCAAGCAAGCTGTTCGTTGTTTGCAGAATATCGTTCTTGATTCGTAAGTCTGGAAGCAATTATACAATTCAATGTGATCTTAATCTGTTACAGATGGGGACTTTTGCAAAAGAAGCATAGAAACTGCAGGCCTGCAAGTCTACGGTAGCGGTTTATATTATGGCGGTTCTACATCGATCTATGCATCTTGGATCACAATAGGAATCACAATAGGAATGACAGTTTGGGCGGTATTGATGCTTTAATATAAATACGATGATTTAGCCGATACATTATCGGGTATTGATGTTAATAAAATAGGGGGAAGTTCGCTACACATCGTTAACCTGCCAAAACATACCAAATCGCATAACATATTCCTACAAGATTGCTGTCGGAAAAATTTCTTGAACAAAAATAGTTAAATTATTCACTCAGATATTATTTAGTCAAGTCGGTAAGTAAAAAAAAAATTATTATTACTGCCAACAAATGCGCTAAAGTTACACAGCGCAAAAACTAAATATTTTTTGTAAGGTGAAAAGATACGTGTATTTCATTCTAAATATAACACATTATTAATTATGAGATGTTGTACGTAGAGATATAAATTTTTATTTTACAATTAAGAATATATATAATATATACAATATATAAAGCGTGCATGGAAAAAAAAGTTGTATGTGTCGTGCGTGAATGTAAGTGCATAAATTATTTTATACACTTGATACAGCTCATAATTCACATTCTGTAATTATTAACTTCACTGTTGATAAGCAAAATAAATTTATGTTTCTTTGTTGTAAATGTCCATATTTGTGTTACAGCATTCTTATGAACAATTTCATTTTTTTTTAAATTTTTTACGCATTTGTAAACCTCCCATGAATGCTCCAATTCTTTCAATATCCTTACAGAACCAATATCGTTATAAACCTCAATATCGTCAGGTATCCAAATATCTTTTTCAACAATGAATGATCAATGAATCGAATTTTTTTTATCGAATCTCGCAACTAAAAAGAGAACTCGTTAGTCGGAACTTTACTTTCGGAGGAAGGAATTTTATTCAATAGAAAAAAGATATTCTTCAATGCATGCAGAGTTGTTTGACAACAAAGGCTTATATACTGGACAGCTCCTTTATCTTGCGTAATTGAAAGTCGGCGAAATTGTACCAAGTGAAATCGCACTTCTGCTGTCAAATTACTTGTAAACTCAATCGAGAGCTCTACTTTATCCTTCGTCACTTTATTAAAAGTATCTTTTATGGTCATTATTGGATCGGTCGTGCCCTTTTTTACGAATTCTTCTCATATTATATAATTCCATTTACTTAACAATTTTTGATTAATTTTGCTTAATTATAAATATCATGCAATTACATATTATGATCAATCAATTTAGTACATTTTTGATTTTTATATTGTTACAACAAATAATATAAAAATTTTAATAAATATAAAAGTTTCATTAATAAATTTAGAAAAAATTTGTTTAGAAAAATTCTAAATACTTAATTGAATTAATAAACTGCACTTTAAATTTTAATAGATATAACATCTTTGCAAAAAACAATATTTTTAACTTTTAATATTTTTCTAAGAGTTATAAGTGCAAAATTAAATGTATAAATATTACTCGAATAAGAAATCGTGCAATAGGTTCGGCGTTTAAATGCTTTTGTTTTGCGTTCATTCCAACCGATTTTTCACTGTAATGTGCGTCGACGCGTAGGATGACAGCTTTCACGAGCAGTGACAAGAGATGCCATTATTGTTTGCAAAGACACATCACTAAAACGTAATTGTACAAAGGTGGTCTCTGTCCAGAAAGTGATCCGCCCGCCTTGCGTAAGGAGAAGACGCGGAAATCGACCGCGACGGAAAAAGAAAGAACTTGCATCATCGAACATGCAACGTGGCATTTCATCGTGCGCGACTGGAAATATTTCCGATCTTATCACTGCCCGACGTAACGTACGTCATCTTACGCATATACTTAACGCGACGACGAAAACGGAATATCTGATTTCAATATCGATTCACCATATAACTGCAAACTTGACAATGCAACCTTATGCAGCTCTTTAGCTTTCTTCACGTGAATTTACATATATTTTCCAGTTACAATTAAACTGTATTTCTAAATTCATGGAATTTATGTAAATTTAACTTGCATAGATCTTATTAATTATCATATTTTACAAATGTGATATTGAAAAAAAATCGTTTTAATTTTTCTTTCATTTTTCCATGTTTCATTATTTATGTTTTATATGTTTTATTATAATTTTTTTAAATTTACTTTCTTAATTTTATCAACCCCAAGGAATAACTATAATATTTTCTATATTAATCGATATAAGTTCCTCGTTAAAGTATGAGAGAGTTGCTGTCAATCTTCATACATTTGACACCGTAAAAATAAACTTCCTGTATTTTCGCAACGACCGATTAAATTGTCGAATTAACTATATAGCGTGCAATAATTCCTTATGTAATCCAGAAATAACTTGCGCCAGAAAGCCATTTCGCTTCCTGTCAAAGAGGAGATATGCGATTCCATTAACCGCAACGACGCGTATCGATCCGCGATTTTAATTTGCTCTCGCCACGATAACTTAAATACGGAAATTGAGAAAAATAGTTAAAAAAAAAAAATTCTGTAGAATCCGTGGAACTTGGCTATCCAAATTGATCTACCTTGTTATGAAATAGCAGATTGCCTCACAATTAAGCATCGCGTTATTCTAAGTTTCTATCCTGAAATTGTTTTGAAATTCTTACTTAACGTGAGTAAACTATTACTTCACGGGATGCGCACTAAACATTACCTAGGTAACGTTGCGTTCAAAAACGATTCGTATTTCATTTGATACATATCTGCCAGTATTAATCTGAAAGTGAGAAATCGAGTCGATCGTAAGGAACACATAACGTTACGCCAGACATAGGCGCCAGTTGCTAAAAGATATTAAATCTCATAATTTTATTCGCGTTTCAAATTTTGTTTTTAATTCACAATCGAATATTTAAAAAAATAAATATTATATAATACTGTGATAATTTCAATAAGTAAAAATACTAGCGAGAGAAAATAATTTGTATCAATTACATTTTCGAGTACTAAATTGTTAAAGTTTTACAATATCGCCAATATATAATCGATGATCAGCATGAAATATAATAAGCAGAAATGCTGTTAATAAATTAAATTATTTTCTTTCTCCTTGTTTGTAACTTCTACTTTCGCAACAGAGTGGCGAGCAGTAGGTGATAGGTGAAGGATAAATTTGATGAAAGAAGACATTGACGAGAGAAGTTTCTCCGCAAGTGATAATATTAGAATTAAGCAATATTGATGGATAAGGCTCGATGACAGATGCTTCTGGGAACCGATCGTAAATCGATCGAGTCCGGGATGAAATCGAAACCGGTCTGGGACGGTCAACCGACGCCCATGGAAACGATTCTGGCGATCTGCCCCAAAACTGGTCCGACCGGTTGCATAATCGGAAGACCGGGAAGTTGTGCCTTTCCGCGAAATGTCTGCGAGAGACGCACAATGCGAACCGGCCGACTGGACGCCTCTCTCGTTTACTTTCACCGTCGCTCGCACGCACAGTTTTACGTTGGTCTTAGCTGGCGCGATGTGACCACCGATTATGTATATCGGTGATCAGTTAAAATCAGGTGAGGAAAGGAGAACGAGAGACAGAGAGAGAGAGAAGAGAAAGAGGCACGCAATTTCGCCAACCGACCAACCGGAATCGGATGTAATCGTCTTAATTGTAGCCTCCTCTGGAAAGAAGGTTCCACCAGATCTGCTCGACGAAATCATCCGTTTCGAAATTGTGCGTGAAAGTGATCCTGAAAGTGGTTCGACATCCTCCTTCGTCTCCCTCTGCCGATACGACGGCATTGATACAGATGCATGTTTTATAGATCGCAAAAAAATGTATGTTTCGTATTTGCGTTCACCGCGTTGAGCAATCCGCGAGCCAGAGCTGACGAGCTGAGGAATCGGTTACGTCATGAGTATGGAATATATAGAGAATTATATATGCAATCGGTTCAAGTAAGATAGATGACACAAGATGGACCAAATATCGAAGGAAATCGATCATACGTTATGTACTTATAGGCACGTGTTTGGCGACGTTAGTCGTTTCGAAACCTATCGGTGAAAGTGATCAAGCTTAAAGAGATTAAATGATAAACATAAATTAAGAAATACTAGCTCATCTAACTCTCAAATATGTGTATTGATGAGTTAGCATATAAGATCAATCTATTTAGCATAAAGTATAACTGATTTAATCTTTCCGATCAAATTTGCTATCTAAATTATGGCTTCACTTTTTAACTTTCTATTATAGATATTTGGCGAACCCTTGCTATCACAAAAATCAATCGAAACGTAATCGATTTTAACGTCTTTTAAAATTTTGTATGCTTTAGAATTTTTAATATCGAATATGTTCCTCTCTTATAATATCGCACATCATCATTGTCGGGAGATCAAATCAGCATCAAAAGATTTTGACGTTACGAACGATTATCTGTCATGATTATCTTTGTTTAGCCTGTTCTACTTGGGAAAACATCGCATTACGATTAACGTCGTGACAAATAGCGAAAGATAATGAAGGTTTTCTGTCTTTTAAAAGGTGAGCTTTTGAGAAACGAGCTGCACCGGGATCGTTATGGTGATCGTAAAGACTATTACGTCTGCGAAACAAACTCGGGGTCAACGATATCCCAGAATAATATCTGGCATTACTCGGCTGGTAATGAGGGTAATTATGATTAGTCCTGTTCCAACGAAACAATGCTAGGCCTTACGCAATAAGAGACGTAGATTGGCACCAATGTCACTGCCTCGCACGATTGGGTTGCTGATTAATGCAACAAGTCATGTTGGTGGGATGCCGAAAGTGCATATTCAATCGTGCATCAATTTTTCACTTTAATCATTGTGTTAAGCATATTACAATTTTTTCAATATAATTAAAGTCAATTTCACTAGAAAGCTTTTATCAATTTTACATATAATTTTATAATTATACTTTTTATATAAATTATAAAAATTATATATTACATTTTACATAACTGTCTGTGTATTTAATTAATGGGATCGCTATAGAAGTAATAAAGTTATATAAGATAAAGTTTTCATAATTGCAGTAATCGTGAAAGCTTTAAATCAAATCAAATAGATGTTATAAATTTACAGCTCTGTGAGTTTTCCATCGAATGTATTTTTTCAGATATATTGACTTGAAATTAACAATCTCATTAAAAGAAATTTCTATTTTTTGTTTTAATAAAACATCGTAATTGAAAAAAATAAAAGTTCAACTTATTGTTAATATATATTCGAATTACATAAAATAGGAATCGCAGATTCCCATTTCAAATAAATGTTTATTGACGCAAACGCGATTTTCAAAACCGTGCTCTGTTTCTCATCAGAATATATATTTTTTAAAAATGTATGGCCACACAACTGTGGACAAATATGATTTCAATATTAAAATAATTATTATCATAAATTCTTTTATTATGTATAATTTAATATTAATCTTATTGATCTCATCCTAAAAGAAATGTGTGTCAGAAATATTACGCCGCAACTTTAATTACACACACATCTGTATTATGAAAAATTCTTCTTCTCTTGATTTCAATTTACTTTCAATGCTTATCTACAGCATGGTCTGTTGAAGCAATAAATATAAATATAAACTGATTAATCAGCGAATGCAACAACTCACAGACGCTAGAAATAATATTATTGTGTCTGTTTATAATATTACACATATTATTCAGTTCCGCAAAGAATATTTTCCAATTTTAATCATTATAAGATCAATTCAATCGTATGATTTATTAAAATATACAATAAGCCTTTTACTTATAATGAAACTCGTCGAAAGCATAAATATCATTACTCCACAGGAAATGTCAAATACTAAAAGAGTTACGATTTTCTGAGATCTGGTTCTCCTTACTCTGATATTGTTCTCTGCGAACAAAATGTCTGCAATCCGATTACTTTCTATTTCCTGTATCCAAATCGCAACGTACAATGCATGAATTGAACGTTTCCCGATCAACGGTCGCATTAGACAACACGACATATTAGCGTAATCGTTACGCAATTCCGTTGTTCCGCGCCGTTCTGTCGATTCGCAATCGAAATCTCGTAGAGGCGGTTTCCAATGCGAATGCAGAATTGCATAAATCGAAGCGAGTGTCGAAGTCTTTCCCACGCAATAATCTCCGTCGCTTTTGTATATCATTCGATTCGTAAAATCAATTATATCCGGGTACTCATATTTTTAAGAAGTACAGATTATCGCGAATAACGAATCGTCAGCGTTTACGAAGGGTGTCTCTCGATATAATTATTCTTAAGTAATTGCCAATTAATGATAATCGATAATATTGTTGGTCGCAATCGGCGCGAAAAATTGCGTCGTTTTTATACGTGCCTCGTAAAAATGAAAAGCTCAATATAAAAAAAAGCAAGTAGATGTTATTTATAACGATTTTGCTTATTGCCGCGCGAGAGCTCGTTTATCCACTTTAGTTGCAAGGACGAAAAGAAGTTATGTCTAAGATCTAAATGCCACGGGCGAGTCCGAGTAGTTCTTCTGGGGCGGCCCCGTTTTCTTTCTTCGATTACTTCGATTGCCGGCAAATCGCCGCACGTAATTATAATATCGCGAAAAGAGGCTCGACAATTTCGTTCGCTGATAATAACCGATCAATAAAACCAATGTTCGTCAATATGCATAATTGTTCTCGCTATAGTTACGCATTTGTTAGAGATGCCACCATTGTTATAAAATCAAATATGATATGAATGCGCTATATTTTTTACAGTATTATATTTTTATGTGGGTTTTATCAAATAAAATTAAATAAATAAATATAATATTGATAAAAATCCGTCCATTTTTTTTATCGCAAAGTTAAAATGTATGCTACATGCTTTAATCTGTATTTACAATCGATCTCGTGTACAAATAGACAACAATAATTTATATGTTCCCTGTATGACTGCCTCGGCGACGTGTTTACACAAATGGAAAATATTTCCAACGCAGATGACTGATTCTCCCCGTATTATTGAGCAACAACGCTCCGCGTGATTTCACACAAAATTGCGAAATTAATTAATCGGTATGCCGTTGGTGCGCGCGACAGCCAGGTAGTTCTACTGCCATTGAAACATTCTTAACTTCGTTATGTTGTTACAACTGCATGAGAATTCGGATTTTACACAAATATCACTGAAAAAATTATTGTTTTACAATTTGTGTATTTATGTGCTATTATATGCGTTACTAAGAAATATTTATTAATTACGTTGCACAACTTGCCAAATACAAGAATACAGTTTAACTTGAGAAAATTGACGACTATTTCGTTCACATAAACAAATAAACGTGTATTATGTAAAAAGCTGGGCCGAGGAGAAGAAAGTGTACAATTTCTACATTACTCAAAAAAAAGAAGATTACGATCGACAGACGATCGCTCGGCGAAAAAATGTTTCCTTTAACCAACAGTAAACTCTTACCACGCGTGCACGATAAATAATACACATAAATATGTATAATTAATATACAATTAGTAATTTTATATAATACATCACAAACTTTTTATCTCAGTGAAATATTTGAATTTTATTCAAAATAATCTTTTCACAATATCTATATGTATATTTTATTATTTCGATAATAAATTCATGATAAAATATATGAATAAAAATATGTGCATATGTTGCTAAATCTTATTTAAATTCGATAAGTATGAAATGACACTAATATCTTATTGACACTAATAACCTTCTTTCTCTCTCTTTTAAAAATTTTATAAGTGCTTTAGAATTAAAATATATAAATTGCTTTGTAATTAATAAGTAATCTTAATTTATTTATATTGCACATTATTAAGTTTTTTCCACATTTTTTTGCGCATCGTATAATCTCCACAATGCATTGCGCAAATAAACTACATATAACTCGGAAACAGAATTTACGTCGTATACTTACATGCGGTTACCTTGTAATTATAAAATGTTTCTTTAAGTGTCCAGAGTTGCAATAGAATACATAAGTAGAATTTTTGCGTCATCATATATATAAAGCAATATTTAAAAATATAAAACAACGAAAAGTCAAAAAATTACAAAAAAGTACTATATTTATTCAACAATATATTTTCAGCGCGAGACAATATTAATATAATATTTTATATTAATTTACAAGTAAAAAATATTAAACTATAACGTTTATGTAAAAACTTAGTTTAGAAATAAATATGTACTTAACAGTGCATTAAAATTTTTAATAATATCTACAATCTCAATATATATATTAATAATATCAACAAACAAAATCATGCCAAGGCTAAGCTAGTTCTTTTTTATTATAAGTAATGACTGATTTTGCGAAACACACAGGCGGCTAATCGCAAAGGGAGCGTTCTCTCGTAATTACTAATTACTCTATTTAGCGGGATGTTGTACAGCATTACTGGATTAAGCGGTCGATGCTTCGAGCGTGGATCCAGCCATAGTACGATCTATTGCGTGTTGCGAGAACAAGAGGGAACACAGTGAATTGCTCTTCCAATCATCTCATTACACGAGTCTGCCTGCTCTCAGCCTATTCCGACAGACAACTTTAAACTCCGGCTTTTGCGTATCTATTCCAATTCTTTTTCTAACGTGAAAGCAGTTATATTCGTGACATCAGGCTACCACAGCAAGAAAAAAGTTATTATATATAAGAAAAAAATAAATTATACAAAAATGTAAGTATTATTAATTTGCAAGTTGCGCAAACAAATATATATATATATATATATATATATATATATATATATATATATATGTAACAGCTAACTGTGAAATAAATGCAAGATAATGTATAATAATGCGTTTCTATTTTGCAATAGATACCGCAAACACTTACACATTATACCTATTTATAACATATTTAATAATGTGGTAAATTCACAGTGGAATAATACAAGTTTTCTTATACTGCGTTTGTTGCTTCGCGTTTCACGATAGATGGAAAGTATCTTTTTGCTAAGTTGGATATGGCGTAAGCCGATTTCTGTTTCAGCAGCCTACTTTTTCAAGAACACCGCTTGAACATTTCGTCATTCATCGATTCGCATCCTCATGCTCTCGAACTTGGCATCGCTTGATCGAGCAATCCATTTCTTTATATACGCAACATCGATTTCACATTCTTTTATTATTGTCATGCTCTGCTGGTGACTTGCAATAGCACTTTGTTGATCGCAATGTCAATGTCTCTGTAGGATATCCTCGTCGCTTTGCCAGCTGAAGTACCAGCATGATGGTACCACACTCTTTCTCTCTTTCTCTCTCTCTTCGCTTCAGGAACTAGGGCCCGTACGACCTCTGGCCTCTCTGAACGTGCCCTCCCCTCGAATCCTCGTCGTCGTGATCGTCGTCGTGCTCGTAGTTGTCGGAGGGTCGGAGTTCATTGTGCCACAAGTGCATTCCGAGTGCCGGCGACGCCAATTGCTCGTTACGAACCCGGGACCAGTTGCGAATCGCTCTGTGAAAGCGACAGTGACATTTCCCGGAGCGAAGGCTTGGCCCTTGCAATAGTCTCGAGTGGTAAAAACATCATAGGAATATACACGTCTGTGTGCGTTCGCAAAATGATACGGCATTCTCGCGAGAATGAAGGGTAGTTCGCATTCGCATCACGAACTCGTTTGAATTTTGCGAAAGATATAGGCCGCGAAAATAAAAGTGTCTGGAAATATTTCTTATCAATTTTCAAGTATGAGCGACACTCTATCTTTGATGTGTTATTCTGTGTGAGAAAAAAAGTATAGTGAGAACATTTGTATTTTAAATGACATATTACGTTTTCAATGAGAATTGCAGAGAACATGATGAGCTGAAATTAACGTAGAAGTGATACGACGTTTAAGGAGGTACACGGATTAAAAACAAAAATTGCGATATTCAAAGTAAGTAAGAAATAAAAACACCTTTTTTATATTATGTAAATTATAACTGTGCAATTTGTGATAACTTTAATCATACTAATTTTAATTTAAAGAAAAATTTTTAAGTACGTAAACATTATTGTTGCTATAAAGAATAATAAAAAAAAAATATTTGTGAATTTTATTAGAGAAAAAAATAGTGCAAAACTGAACACGACTATTTTCACACATAGATAGATGCTGATATTAACCCGCATAGCGATATGATGCGCATTGAAATAGTGATAATATGACGTATATATGACTATTTCCTTTTTACGAGATTGAACGCAATAAGAGAACATTTTATTTCACTTTCTTTATTCCGCAAACTATTACGAAAAATATATTTTTTATATCAGAGTGTTTAATTGACATAATCGTATATAAGCTATAATTATTAAATTATATAAGCGTACTCGTAAAAGTTTTTGATAGTGAAACCGCAAATGTAAACAGACATAACATCGACAAAATTAATTTGCATCTACATTTCACCTAAATTAATTTTATATATAAGATCATGCATTCTCGGTGCATTCTTAGTCTAAACATTTCGGTAATTGTGTAACCGTAGTCGGAATTTCTAATACTATTAAAAGTCTTACAATTTATGATCTCCAGAATATATAAAATGTTCAAAACGACTCAATATTTAAAACTTTTGGACATAAAAGTTGACGACCTTTAAATTAATAGAGGAATCAATATCCTTGAAATTTATATCTTAATGTCTTCCGTGAGAATTGCAATATATATCTGTCTCTTTCTTATTTTAGCAATTTTTATATGTATAAAAACACATACATATAATGTAATATGAAATTAATTATAAAGTGCTTTGAAAGATGAAAAACCAGGAGCTAGACCAGTTAATTCTCAGAATTTATTAAATGGCATCCATAATTATATGCATAAGCTATCGCTTCAGTATTCATATAATTATGCATAAGCTATCGCCAAAATGTTTTTTTTTTCTAAGAGAAATATGATTGAAATAAATTTGATTGATTTTATTTGAATTGTACAGGTAATAAATTAATCTAGCTATTAACTATCTATCAGCTTTCACGGCTTTTTATATCTCACGCACGATATTAGAAAACACGCATTTCAATCGAGATACTTTCTTTCGAATTACTAAAACTAACTTTCGTAACGTTTCTGAATAAGAAATGAAATTCTCACGCTAAAGCAGCTGGTCAACGCGTTTGAATTAACGACGACATCATGTCAACTTTTTGTCTGCATCGCGCCGAGTTATGATAGCAGAAACAAGTTGTGCTATACGCCACATGTGAAATGTCAAGCTCCTATAATTCCTATTAGCAGTAGTTAATCGAATTAACATATCGTATCAGCTATTCTAATCAACTAATGAGCAACATTTTTTCGCAAATATTTTTACAAATAAATACGTATTTAGAATTAACATAATGATACATATTCATGTGTATAGTTTCTTATAATTTTATAAATATATTAGATTAATTATTTTTACGTAATAAAAAGAATATAAATAATAACATCGCGTAATACCGGTTTGATTTATAATAATATCAAATGGATAATGATTATATAATGAAGGAAATTTATATAACCGATTAAATTATCGAGAAAATTACCGCAAAATCCGCTGTTCGAAATATTCTCTCATATGAATATCGATTTCGTCCATTTAGTGGTTCACATTCTCTGTCATGCAATATTCTGCATTATCCTTGTTACGCTTTGACATTTACTTGATGTATATTCAATATTACATGTCACACTTGTACCAAACGATGATCGACCAATTAGAGTCACAGTTAATACTTCCTCTCAAAGAGGATCTTTTTGGGGAGGGGACATTTGCGACATAACCATTTCCGCCCATATCCTGTACGAAAGTCTAACAGTTATCATTACGATAATATAGCCCCTCCTCCCAATAAATTATTATATATAATATAATTGATAATTATATAATATAGAGATATGTAGAGATTGATTTATATTATGTATTTCTCTTCTTGCCTTACATTATATGTATATGTATCGATAGTAACAAGATACCTACTTTCTATTCGGTAACAGTTTTTTCTTTCATCTGACTAGTGATATACGAGAAGATGGAAGCATCACTTTTACTCAAACAACACCAACGACTACCAGGCTTTTTTCGATGTAGGTTATTTTGAAGGAATCGTGTTTGAAACACGAAGCTAAAGTACTTCTGTCATACTAACAATAGTAAGTATATTATAAAAATGCTGCTTAAAATATGTTCATACCGATCGTAGAAAAGAAATATTTAAAAAATACATTTTCTAGATCTCATAATTGCATTGAAATGAATTTCTCGGAGGTCTCGTCGATCTTCTTTTTGATCATGGTGTTTGAGACGGTGACCCTTTCCAGCTCGTTCACCGAAGATCACATGTGCTACAATGTAAAAAAGTGAGTGTCTTGTAAAATACGACAATCAAATATAAGTGCGATAATTTTAATTATCGGTGATATAGAATCTATTTTATATGCATATATATTTTCAAAGACAGACCTTCACCTAAAAGCCTTGACAATGCAGCCGGCATGCGTAATACACTACATATCATTATTATGCGCGTACCTTGCTGCATACCTCTATAAGCTCGATAAGGGACTTGCGAGACTAGTCGATAGCTAATTGATCGTATATTACAGTTATACGGTTACGTCGTACGAGACTTACACCGAGCCGGTCGTAGTCAACACGTTCACTTGGTGCTTACAAATTCCTCCAAGATGTCCCAAGACGCGGACCGAGCTACGACAACGATATCGTATAAAAGTGAGTTCTAATTTTATTTTTTATTTTAATTTTGTGATTTAGAAAATATTAGTTCCATCATTTGATAAGATACATAATATTTCTATCGATCATTTTTTACATCCATATAGTATATAGATCGATCATTATATCAATTTCAATAATTTTCTCACGAATCACATCCATTCAGCAAAATTAGCAGCATTAACTCTGTTATAAACTTATTTATTTTCCAATTCTCTCTTGATGATGTATTTTGACTTAGAAAAAAGTTAGAAACAAATTTGAAATTTTGTTGGTAATAAAGAGGCTGTTATTTGCGTTAAGACAAGAGATTGCCTGATTTTTCCAACAATAGTATACGAATACGAAATATCTACGCAAAGAATTTTGCTAATTTGATCCTTCATCACCAGAGTGAATTCTACGATAATCATAGTTCATTTTCGCAAGCTCTTGTTGCGCTATGGCTTGTGAAAAAGAGCCATTTTCCCAAGCTGTTCAAAGGGATAGGAAAATATATTAATCTTACACAACAAAAGAGTTGGTCGTAAGATCGGTTTCGCAGAAATTTTTAGCGTACAATGAGGCGAGAAAGTGTTGCTCCATTTAAAAAAATTAGCATTGTTTTTGTAATTTGATGAGAAGCTGAAATTGATCCCTCAGTCTAAAATCTCGATGACTTGAAATTTCGATGCGTCAGATATAAAGACGTGAGACTACGTGCCAGTAAAGAAATAGCGTCGAAATTGAAAATGATCGAAAGAACGAACGCACACACACTCCCTAAACAATAGATCTATAATTTATTCTAATGACGGCGATTGCGTCGCAATAGGAGTTACATAAGCTCTCATTTCCACTTCTCGTTACGGAAAAGTGTCGTTCGCCAAGCAGCGCAAATGGAAAACGATCGGCCTGCGGACACGGCGAAATACTTGGCGTGGCGGCAAATTCACCTATGCGGTAAATCGTGTAACGCCCCATATATACACAATGCAACGCAAAAACAACCTGCCTATTCTCTTCCGCTTTTACATTCTTGCACTTGGTCTCTCTCTTATGCCGCACGCATGTCCTTGTTTTACGTCCGTCTTGCTCTCGCTGCCGCGGGTTCGAGTTTATTGCGGGGAAAGTCTGTATTAACAGCGTCAGTCTGATTAAGTAAATATAAATAAAAAGAAGGCAAAATGCACATATGTGTGTGAGAGAAAGGGAGGGACGAGTTGCAACTATAATTACGCTCTGTGAAATGCGGAATTAACGAATCGCGCCGAAAGAAGGAGGAACCTGTCCTGTCTCTGGGATTACGAAACGATCCAGAAGCGGGCCATTAGAGCTAAAAAGGATTTCGCACGACTTTGCGCGGCAGCTCGAGAAAGGAAACGCCGGAAGTCGACAATTTTGTGAAACATTTAACTCGACACATCGCAGAGGTAGATGCAGATATGTATATCTTCGATTTTCATATGCGATAATAAGAACAGTTTCTCGAAGAGTGCACGTAATAAAGGAGAGAAGAATGTATATAGATATATTTTTCGTGCAATAATTTTTCCAAAGGATACGCATCTAATCGCGTGATAAATGGGAAGATAAACACAGACGGCATCCGAGAAATTGCATTTACACGATTGATTGTATCTCGCGAAGGATGCAATGCAATACACGTTCAACGATCAGGGGTGCTATAATTTAACGAGAGATCGACATTGAACCCCGATACCGCTTCAATTAAGGCACGAATTACCGAGGCGCGGACGCATAATAATAAAGCCGATGTGAAATCTCGCGTTAATTTACACCACTTGTGCATTAGATAATATGCCGCACGAAAGTGAGGGCGACGTTTAACGATGCTAAGATATGACGTGCAAACAGAGCTGCAGCAAACAATTAATATAATTGATGTGCAAAAAATATCACGTGTCATCGTAAATGGGCTATGTTCCGGAATTAATAGCAAATAAGATTCTCATCAAAATATATAACTTTAATGAATTTAAAAGTCAATATTTGGAAAAGTACACATTTTAAGCGTCAATTGTTACGCCCCTTTCTCTTTTGAAAGGAATATATAATATTGTCACTTTTGGCTGTCTGTAGTATACAAATATTTGTTTCTAAGAAGCAGATTATAAGACCAAAGACTTTAGTTTTAAGGAAAAGATTAAAATACAGAATCACACGAATCCGTAATTCCTATATAAATTAAATTAAATAGCTAAATTTACATTAAAAAATTCAATCGAGTTAAAAATATATAAAATAGCATAGAAAGAGAGAATTTTTGCTTGAGAATTTATCCTTGGAATTTTTGAAACTTATTTAAATAGAAGTTTTTTTTATTGTAATATATATAGCAACTTATTATATTAATTTAAATTAAATACGAAGAATCAATACTTAAAAATAGCAATTAAACTTAATTTATTTTGTAACTTGGTATTGCAAGTCGTAAAATTATACAAGAGAAACTCGCGCTTTCTCACAGAATTCTATATTTGATAGTCGAACAAATCAGCCGTCTGCCAATTAGATTAACGAGACTCCGCCCGGCTTTAAAAATTTGTGCGCATTGGAAGATTTCTGATTCGAGGCATTAACCGGAAGTGAAATGATCTTGCTCGTTTGAACATTTCGTAATCGACATGTCGTAGCACTGTGTGTATATAACATCAAAGCCGAAAGAGAACGATCAAACCTAAAATGGAAAATACCGTGCGAGACATTCCCGCGCTAAGAACTCGCGTATATACAAAATATAAGATAATACAAAACAGGGTTTACGTGTATGTACGTGAGATATTTGCACGTTGCTTATTACGTGGACAATGGACTTATTTCATGAAGTTTATGAGAAAAAAGAATATTTCGTCGTTATGTCGATATACTGTGGCATGCACGTTGCTATAATTACCATGTTGTTTCGAAAGTTGCAGCTTTTCTCTTTTGAAGCGCATATATAGTGCTTATTTGATTTTTAAAAATATTTAAAAACAATCTATGTATAAAAAAATACAGCGCATTGAATATGCAATTAATAAAGTAAGCATTTAATAAACTAATACGATTATTGAGAATAAAAAAGAAAATAAACGTATGATTATACATATAATAATGTTGAATATAATATAATTAACAAAATTATGAGTATATTATTTTTCGTACGCAAAGAGAAAATAATTTCTTCTATTATAGCATGGTAAAAGTTTTTTTTGAGCTAATATCTTTGCTCCACTTAATAAAATTAAAAAGAAATATAATCATAGTGTAAAATCCATTAGAATTAGGTAATCAACTAAAACTTGCTTGATCATTTCCGCTTTCACTCAACAGATGTCTAAAAAATTATTTGCGTAATGTGCGTGTAATCAACAAAACGTGCTAATCTTAAAAAGAATTAATTTCAATTTATAGAGAGATTATAGATTAAATGCAAATATAATATTAAATGTTTGTTACCTACTTTTAGAACTTTACAGAGAATCCGTCTCATGTTATTGTCCTAATTTATATGCGTTTATATATGATGAAATTACACACGAATTTATACGCAACAGCTTTCATTGGAATTTTGCCAATCCAATATTTATCTTACCTATGAATCGACTCATTGAATCACATGTTCTTTATGATTTCGCCATACAATCGAAGGTTTCGGTTTATTAGCATACTATCGAAACAGTCGACCAGGTGTTACACCGTCATCGTGTAACGCATAGATTATGTATGAGAAACGATGTAATTGAGCACGCGCAATGCTTATGTAAATAAAAAACGGGACTTTAACGACGATGCGAATCCACGCAGATGCTTGTGTGAAGGCGACTTGCTCGTTGCTGTTTCATTAATTATCGAGTGTGTTCTTGTAAGTTAATAAACGTGCGAACCTTGTAATATAAAACTGTAACGCGAAGAATCGCGGGAATTTTTTTTTATTTAATTTGAAAAAAATGAGCAACGGTATGAGTACGAACAAAGATTAATTATTGGCCAGGAATAAAACCAGGAATCGCATTAAAAATAATGCGCTAATAATTATTGATTATAAAGAATTAAAAATAAATAATCATAGTAAACGCAAAATGTGAAGTGAAATCTTAAGCTTTGTAAAAAAAAAACAGTGTATAAAAGTTTAATGAGGGACAAATTTCCAATAAATAAAGAAATAAAAAAAATCGTTATTAGCAATGGTCTATAATTGTATTGACATGCACGATATAATAGCAGTTTATGTAGTTGCAATGTCGCCTAACAGTTGAATTAAAATAGGAATGTTCAATAAAAATGTGAGCAAAATAATATAATAAGCAAGAATTACCGTTGGACAAATCGAGGTCACTTAGCGTTTTCTAACATGCTAGAAAACGTCTGAATTACACAACTTTTGAGTAATAATGCACGAACATTAGACATTCATAGACAAGAGTCAAATCTTCTGTACAGATATAAATCGGATAATATGTATATCAAACATTTTACTTTTATCTGCATTAATCAATAATGTTTAATAAATAAAAAATTTTAATTTTTCGCTTAAGCTAAAAATTATATAATATCTAGTGTATAATTTTTAATTATAAATATTTACATATGAATTATAAATAATTATAAGGTGAAATTGTAATTCAATATATTTTCACGTTACTTATATCAACCAAGACACACCTCCATTTCATAATTATATAAAAAGTAATTAAAATAAAATATATCATAAAAGATAAAATTCATAATTACGGCGCACTAATTAATGCATTTAAAAAACACCTATATTACGAAATTTTATAAATAGCACATTCTGTGAGAAAAAATATTATCGAATAGAATTGTGTAAATGCTATCAAGATGATATCGGATATTGCTAGATATCCAAAATCGATAAAGTTGATAAAAAAGCACCCAATAAATTGTATCATTATTTAGCCCAGCGCAATATTGTAATTAATAACTCTTTTTTTTGTTAAGAGAGTTATGCATGCAAAAGATTTCCTCTGCGAATTAATCATGTTAGTTACAGTATTTAGTGAGAACAAGAAGACTTTTACGTCAGTTTCCAGTCTAGCATCTAGTAGATGCTATCTAACGATTGGTGACTTTAAATGATTTATGAGGAGAGGTGAAACATGTTCATCGATTATAATCTGATGGATACAGTTAAAATTTTATATCTAAAAATTACTTTGTGTTAAATATTAAGTTTTAGATTAAGTCAACAGATAAAAAAACATTTTGTGATATCAATATTTTCTAATGAAAAATCATTTATGAACACAGCTCTTTTTTTATAAATTTTAAATTTGTGGAATTGAGCTTCTAAACAATTACATTCAAAATCATAGTTCAAAGTAATCTTCTTAATTAAAAAAAATATATTTTAATTAAGAAGAATTTTTATATACATTTTATTAATTTTTTAAACTTATACTATTTTGCATTGATATGACTAATCATGTGTTACATTAGTTGTATATTCCGTATTTTATGTCTACATATTTCTAGAAAAACCCATCTCTATATTATTTGAAAAATTCTCAAATAAAAAAATTATTTGGCAACATCATGCATATGTCAAGATAACTTAAATCTCTTGAAAGATCGCAGTGAAAGTGAAAGAAAGTGTTCAAACTTCACGACGCACACACCTTAATAAATTTGCATATAATTCAGCTTATATCAGAGACCTTGTTCTCGTGCTTCTAAAAAGTATGCTATGAAATCATTATCTCACCGACAGCGTGTCGAATGTCCGGTCAAAAAATTGGATCGCGTAAAAGTCTGCATAATAATATACGTATTAAAAGTGCGTTGCCTGTTTTGCGAACGGAACATCATCCGTAATTAAGTAAAAGGGGAGAATGTAACGCGATCGTTCGGTCTGCCGCAATGATTCCAGGCGAATTTCACGCAACGCGATCGCCTCTCGGTCGCGAAAGAGGTGAACGGCGGCGAAATGTAATAACGTTTGCATATAGAAAAGAGAAAAAGGGACGGTCTTCATTCAACGCCTAATTTATGATCATGAACGCCGGTTTTCACGCGCGTCTCCTTTTACGTCAGAGAGGATTTATTTTCGAGTCTTCCCTTCTCAATTAAGCACAGATCACGTAATAACAATCTTGGGTAATAAATGAATTATTATACGGGTCTGTGTCAAAATAAAAATTTAAAATTTGTAAAAAAATATGTATAATAGTAATATTATAATATATATATTATATAAAGTGCCATATGTGAAACTGGATGTAAATAAAAAAGTAATTTATCATTCATAATAAATTATTAAAATTAAACATCGAAATTTTTTAACCATTAATTTTTCAATTTATATTTTTGCATATATTTTATATCTTATTTATTATCATATCTTTTTGTCATATTTTTACGCGTTATTACAAGTGAATTTATTATGCAAAGAGGAACTCGTGCGCGCTATGTTCTTCATCTTATTCTCTGTGATCCCCCTTCATTTCTCATCGCGTGCGCTCTCTGCATTCCATGCCAGCATTCTCACTTTTACTCTCACTAATGATCGGAATCTCATGCTTTAGAGAGTGAAATAACGTTCGTCTTATCTCTGAAATTTTTTCTTGAAATTGGAATCATCGGTGAAATCGCACGTGTTTTCGAAACAAAAAATAAAACAAGATGTACCATTTCATAATATAATGAATTTTAATAATGTTTTTTAATGATAATGTGTACACTTCAATATTATCTCATACTAAAATTTCAAGCATTTCAACCAATCGAATCATTAATATGTGACAAAAATGCCAAAAATTCATTAATAAATAGTACTTCTTTCTTCATATCATAAATACTAATTATATAATAAAAATTAAATTTTAAATTGTTTTAACTTGTAATTATTTTAAAATATAAACACAAAATATATGCAAATATTATGTACAAAATATGTATTATACAGGTGGACCAGAAATTGAAAGTTGTAAAAGAATGCTGTGAAGGATACAAATTGGCTCACGACGATGCAGAAACGAATACGACGTGTTTACCGTTTTGCGAAAAATGTCTGGCGGGTGTATGCATCGCCCCGAATAAATGTCAATGCGATCCTGGATATTATGGATATGACTGCGCTCGTGGTAAGTCGAAATATAATGTTTTATTTTTTTATAAGATATAAAATTGATTATTTGAATTTGATAATTTATTATATTGATCGTATAAACGTGTAACTTTTTGCATTAAATACACTTAAACTAACATATTTTAAGATTTTCATATATTTTATAGTGTAAATGTGACATGTATTAACTATCACACTAGAAAAAAATCTTGTTGCATTAACAAAAATTGCATTCGAAAATGAACGAAATGAATTTTTGTTAATGCAACAAGATTGTTTTTCCAGGGCATAATTATATATTTTCTGCTTTCTGTGTAATACATGTTTAAAAAGATTATATTAAAAAATTAAAGTATAAAATTCTTTCTCCCTATTATATTTGCAAGTTTAATTGCATCTCTCTTTTATATCATTCTTATTATACATACTCGTATAGCAATTTTAAATTTACTTTTTTACTTTAATTTCAGAAAATGTATTAAATGCCTCACATTTACATATCTCCATTCCAATATAATATATAGTACCTATATATTAAATTCTTATTGCTTGATTACTTAAAGCAGCACTAGTTTCATCTGTAACTTCATTTTTAATATGAATATAAAAAGCAATTTTATTTAGATAATTTCTAAAAAAAATAACGAAGGCCGTTAAAGCAAACTCCTTGATTGATGATACTTGCCACATCCAGTTATCGAAACGAAATAATGTCTACAGTACTAAAAAGATGCTAATAAATTGCTGTGACATTTAATAAAATATATGTAAACTAAGGCAATAAACAGTTATAAATATACAAAGTCGCGCAAAATAAACTTTGAAAGAACTGCAAATAATTAATGAACTCACTACTAGTTTTCAAGGTCCATGTGATTTATAAATTCAGTGACAGTTTCGAAATAATCCCCACTCGAAAAAGCATAAAATTAAAAAAATTAATAATGTATTAATCGATTGTGAAACGGAATTGAGAGTGAATAAATCTAAAACGGATAAGTGCAAAACGCAACGAGAAATTTTATGCTCTGTGAAGCAAACTGACCTTCCATGATCAAAAAACATGCATGTAAAATGACTATTTTCAGAAATAAATAGTATTTTCACGCAAACTATAATAATAAGTATGCATTATTTTTACATCTCGTTAAACGTTATATTGAACATTGTTGTAATAATAAAAATTGCTGTAAAACAAAGATGTCAATCTATTATTCTAAAGTAATAAAATACATAAATAAAAGATTTTTAAAGTAATATTTGTTTTTTCACATATATTACAACTTCAATCGATTCTTCCTACTATTTCTATAATATTAAAATTTAATATATTAACATTTATTTATATTTATTATAATCCTATACGTTTTGTAATATTTGAATTCATTAAAATAATATTATTTGATTGAAGAAGAATCCATATTAGGATTAATAATAAAATTACAGATTTATCGCGTTATCAAACAAGCAAAAGTTGCATGCAACTGTTGCATCAATACAATCGGGGACTTTGAAAGTTGCGGAAGCCCGGAAGTTACGAAGCCGCTACTTTCCCATGAACACTCGAGAAGGTCGTGGGCGGCATGGAGTTAATCAGATACAACGTCTGATATCATATAACATAAAATGACGTCAATGCTTTATAAAATACATATTCTCAATGATAATCTCATTCATCTTAAAAATATCTCCTAGATACATTTTACATTTCTTATCTAAATTTCAAAAGACTTATTAAATTCAACAATTACATTTCATTTTTTAATTGTGTTTACATGAAAATTACACTATTGAGCGTAATGTATTAATATATTACAATATAAAAAAATTGTAATATAAAAAATATAAAAATTGTACTAATCTAAAATATATGTAATGTATCTAAAATGTATCTAAAATATATTAATATTGTAATTTAAAATAGAAGCTTTTTTGCGAAAGTGGTACAAATAGATATTAATAGATTAATTAAGAGTTTAACTAGGCTCTGTAATATAAATTTATTTTTATTTTTAATAGATTAAATATATTAGACATTGTTTTTCTGATTGAATCTTAAAGCGTTATATATTTAAAAAATATCGAATATTAATTTTTCGCAGAATGCCCGATCGGATTCTGGGGTCTGTACTGTATAAAAATGTGCGATTGCGGTAAAAATGGCATTTGCGATCCTATAAATGGCACTTGTAAATGTTCTCCAGGATTGCAAGGACCACAGTAAGCGATTAAACAAAATTGAATAACAAACAAAAACTTTTGACAAAAAATTATAGCAGTATAATATGAAAAAATATCTATATATTAAAAAATAAAATTCTACTATAAAAGTGATCACTCTTTTGCAGATGTCAAGAGTATTGCGCAATCGGCCAATGGGGTCTAGATTGTGCAAACAAATGCACATGTCAAAACCAGGACAATAACTGCGATGCCGTAACCGGAAGATGCAGGAACGGCGACGCCTCTTTAGTCGAACAGACGTCACCCGCTTATTTGCTGAGTTCTACTACTGAACGCGTACACACACCCAGAATTGGCAACCTGGAGTACACAGAAGTTGTCTCGACACCGCGTGAGATTACCGAGCGCCGCATAGAAGGTGAAATAATACGTTTACCGAAGAAAGCATTTGTGTGCATGTTGCGTAAATTGTTTGCCCAAGACGTAGAAATGACTCTTCATGCTTTTAAGTGTTAGAGATAGGAGTGTCAAGGAAAATACATTAATTAGTTAAAGAGAGCGTATCACAACTGAATTATACAATATATCTTTTACTCTCCTTTTGTGACTGAAAAATTTACTTGTTAATAATATTTATACGTATTACTTAACACGTGATTGACAGTACACAGTACTTTTTTCTCACGTAAATGATAAATTGTCTTTCATAGATTGCCTTTAATAATTCAATAATGTTATAATATTTATATAATATTTTTTATCCGTAGATATTAATAACAATTGGAATGATACAAATTACATCCCGGAAACGACGAGTCCGACAACAGCTTCGATTGCGATTCCTCCGACAACGAAAGAGATGCAAATGAAGAATCTTTCGACCACTACTCGACCTGTAATCGTCTTAGTTTCTGTTCCCGAACGCAGAAGGGACGTCGAAAAAGATAGGCAAAAGTTTGCAACGAAGGACGTATTTCTCAGACACGTGCAAAATGATGAAAGCGACGTGCCAAATATCAATTATGTAAAAACCGTTCATAAAGGTATCATTTCCAGAGATATCTTGAAAAAGTATATAAATATATAATTAGTTCGCTAAACCCTTTGCTTGTGAAATAAAAATATCTTCATATTTTTTTCACGCGTCTGCATTCGATATTCATTAAAATAAATGTATTTTTATTGCCACGACAGACGACATTCAAACGTCTACGCCGATTCCATTGGACATCGCTCTGATTGTCGTGGCTGCGATCGTCTCCCTCGGTCTGACCTCGCTTGCGGTGGTTATGGTTCTTCACATGCGTTCGAAACTGTTTGAGACCGTTCGTCTTGCCATCTACGACGACGAGAAGACCAAAAGTCAAGAACGCGAAAGCGTGAACAGCAGTAGATTGTCCACAATAGTGAATGCTAGCCTGCCTCCTCGTGAGTATCGAGCATTACATTCACTTGATGCAACGTTCTCTTCTTGCTACTGAATTGTTAGTGAAATCCGTGTGTCCTTGACCCTGATACGGTCTAGCCACGTAACGGCCGTGACGATAGTCTTGGCCGTCATAACTAGCGAAGAAGCTGTAATCGGTCGTGCGATATCATCTGAATCCTTTGCACGCTAATCAGATCTCTTGTACTAACGCGTACGTATATGTATATCTGTCTATTTTGTTACGATTTTAGCACCTCCGATTCGTGTGAATCCCATATTTGCTACTAGTGCGGAACCGGAAACTATATTGACCGTTGACGGCATCGAGTCCTTGAATACTTATGCTAATGGCGCCGCTACAATAGGTCTGCGAATTTCCGGTAATTTTCGCGGTAAGTTTCCCCAGTATTTTTAGAAAATTTACCATATAAAAATAATACAATAATATCGTAATAATTACAAAAAGAAAATTAGCCTTCATTAAAAAGATCTAAAATAGAAGTTAATGATGGTTAATAATCTATATAAATTTTATTCTAATGAAATTTTAATTATGATTACTACACGTTAATGAAAAGACAAAACTGTATATAATATATGTTACTGTGAATCATAGATCTTTTACAAGACGGCCATTACGATCGACCATCGGCAACTCTGATACGTCTGCAAACAAACTTTGACCATAACACGGAACATGTATACGATGAAATACCTTTACAAACCACTCCATTATCTGACCGCAAGGATGTATGATGAAGACACTATTCACTCCATTTCATGGTCAAGTCCAGCTGTTATTAATAACGTCATAAGAAAAAAAATCTATAAAGCCTTTTTAGACAAAACACAATCTGTTATAAAAAAAATAATCGATGAAAAGCTTACTGAAAAATGCGCGAATACTGGTTTCCGACCTTACGCACATTGAACGCGCTTGAAGGCTGAACGTGACTTTATTTGAATGGGATAAGCAGAAAAACAAGTTGTTTGAGCATGGTACTGTCAATGACCGCCGATAGAATTTAACCAGTGGAGCGTGCAACTTTCTGAATCAACTATTTCGACGGGATGACGTCAAACCGAGAGAGCGAGAATGCACTAGATTATGATTGCGCGCAAATGCACAATTAGGTTGAAAGCGCGAAATAATAGTCCTGTGTAACAAGTGGGAAAATATAGCGTACCAACATACTATTATTATTCAGATGATATTAAACATTTGTATAGTCTCGATGCAGAGTTATCTGCTTACGAATAAACAGATGCGAAAATTGTCCGATTAAAAACTGGCAATTTTACTCATAATCAATATATAAGCGTAATTTATTCGCGATTACGTTGTTTATAAATTATAAATTATGTTGCGTAAATTAATTAATTAATTGTTTACTTCATAATATTACGAGCGATTCTTTTACATTAAATATCGTCGCACTATACGAAACAAAGTATTTTTTTCTCAAATTTAATTTTCTTTAATATTACAAAATTTTTCTTACATTATTAACACAATGTTTATCAATTTTCTATAAATGAATAATTATTGCTCGTTCTAAAAAAGTAGTATTTTTTTGTATGTATGATAACATCCTGTATTTCATGTTAATAATATGACGAATTATATCAATAATGATATATAAGTGATAATTTAATATCATTGATATAAATTTTTAATCATAAGAGGAAGTACACTTAATAATATTTATGTTAAAATAAAACCAAAGAATTAAAATTCTACGTAATGTATATGTACTATGTCTATCGTAGAAAAATATAATGTTTATATATTTCTATACAAGTTAAAAAAACTTTTAATAGTTATGTATAATAAATAAAATAAAATAAATTATGTAGCTAAAATATTTATTTTATATGATCTTATATACCTTCTTAAGTTTTTTAAGTATTATTTCCATGTTATTATTTTGTAAATTATCACATTAATTTATTGAATCTTTGTATAATGGGATATTTTTGTAAGCAAATGAGAATTATCGAAAGGATTAATTAATATCGAATTATATATACGTTATTATTGTTGAAAATAATTTATAAAATTCTATTTACCTCCATATAAAAAATTTTTTTCATGAAAAGAGAAAAAAAATCCTCTCATATCATAAAATGATCTTTTCGGAGAAATAGATACATTCTGCAATAAATAGTTGTATTCGTTTCAAGGAATTGTTATCTGTAGTCAGCATTAGCTTATCATAATTAAATAAACATATGCTGCGCACATTTATCGCATTTAACATATTCTTATGCTGTTTTATTATCGCCCTAATTCGCTCGTGCATTCGTTCCCGGATGATATCAGACGGATTGTAAATAACGTCGATATGTAAAGCAAGAGATTCAAAATAAAATACACATACAAATTCAGTACACATATATAATTTGAATGATAATTTAGTATTTATCTAGAAACCGCATAATTTGATTATTTTGAAAATTCAGAAATTATTTTCCCTCACAACATTATATATATGTATATATAAACATTAAATGCAGTATAACCTTCTTTTCAGATAACCTAACTTGGATAAAGTAAGTTAATAAATGTTTTTTAATTATAACAACTTTGATATTACTTTTATGTTTTCTTATATTTTATCATAATTTAATATATGCATGATGTAAGTGTGTAATATAGAAAAGAAATTATTTTTGATAACTTTTATTTAAAATTCAGAAGAATCTTGCACAAGTGCAACTTTTATGACTTACATAAAAAATATCCGGCAATATTATTAAGCTATTATAAATTTAATTGCGATACACTATCTTATTCGTTTATTTTGTGCACAAAGTTATAAGTTGAATAATTTATTCACGATTGAAATCGAATAAGTCAATTATGTCCCAGTTAATAGCAATGATCTAATCAATAATTAGATAAAAGAGAAAGTATAAAGAAACGGGACACACGAACGCTTTATTGGCCCCATTAAAACTCTTTGACATATCGATATGCGTAACTGATAACCATTTCCTTGAACGAATGTTGCGTAGTTTAATCGAAAAGATGAAAAATGCTGGCCTCTGCGACACTCTTATCGCGATGATGCCCGCTCTCTGACCGAAAATAAGCATCCAGTAGTAAATTCGCGATCGTTCATACAACATGCAACGATTGTTGATCTGCCTGATCGTTTGTACATGGCTATGTGCCAGCACCTGGGCTTCAAACGGCGTAAAGGGTGGACAACGACCGCGTTATCCCACAAGTGGAAACTATCATGGTAGCAATTCCTCGCAAAACAGTCTTTGCTATAAAAGAGTGCCGTAAGCAATCAATTTTTTCATTCAGGCCTGTCTTCCGCTAGTGTTTGTATTTTATATACGTGCGTGCACTAAAAATAATATCAAATATATCTGTTTTTTATAGATACAGTCATGTTTTGGCTTTAAACTCTAGTGGATCACCTTATAATACCATCCCTCAACCACAAGAAGGTCAGCCTGTAAGTATCTTTCTCTCTTTTGAGCCAAAATTGTGCCGTTTTCTTGTTAATTTTTTCGATAAATATAATTAAATTTCACAAAAAAAAATCTTAGAATGCAATTTGTGTATTCATTACAAATTATGCAAATAGTTTCATTAAGATAATTATATAATAATTATCTTAATATAAAGCAATTATATAATTATATAAATAAATAAATCTCATGTTTATTAGCCTAACGAGGGTTGGATTACTATTTTGGACTGTTGCGACGGCTACGAACGTAACGTGACAAGCGGCTTGTGCGAACCGCACTGCGATCGCGGCTGTTTCGGCGGACGTTGCACAGGACCGAACATCTGTAGCTGTCAACCGGGATGGCATCCCGAGGATGGCGTCTGCTTGCCCGTCTGTACGCATCAGTGTCAAGAAAACGCTTATTGCTTCTCCCCGGAGGAGTGCGTATGCAAATTGGGCTACGACGAGATAAACGCTCAGTGCAAGCCAATCTGCCCTGACGGTTGCGGAAACGGCGAATGCGTTGCGCCGCGAGTTTGCCGATGCAGACCGGGATTTGTTCAGGATGAGCACAAGCAATGCGTGGCCGCTTGCGAGGGAGGCTGCGAACACGGAACATGCAGCGCGCCAGGTGTATGCAGCTGTCACCAAGGGTAATTATCTTATTTTCTCGAATATCTTACGATCAGTGACAACGCAATATATTTCTATCGTAATTAAAGATAACTTTGTAATTGCGTGGAATTCTACATTTGTAACCTGTCCTTTATATTATTAAGGAGATAAATCTACGTATAATTGATAAATTAATGTTAAATTTATCGCGAACACGATATTACGCTGCAAATTTATACACCGTGTAATTTTATGCATACATAAATAATATAAACAAATTATCTTTTAATTTCTATGCACGCACAGCGACATTTGTAAATAATATTACTTGCTTAAAGAAACAGATGTTTTATAGATAGCATAATTACGAATTCTAACAAACGAAAGCATTGGTTTGTTTGTATACATATTAGATTATTACGATAAAGAGAGAAGAATATTTAATATATTCAAATAAAAGATTGGAAAGGACACAAAAATTTTTCTAATACTTATTCTTTATTTCTGTTTCGGACCTTTCTTCTGTTGAACATTAAGCTAAAGATGGTTCAAAGAAAGAACCGAAACAGAAATAAAAAATAAGTATTAGAACAATTTTTGCGTTCTTACTTCCGACGCACCGGCTCTTATTAGTCCATTCTTTCCAATCTTTTATTTACATATTAAATTGTTATACAGAATGTTCCTACTGACATTTTCACAGATTTTTTCACGCGAAACGTTATAAATAATTTTACAGATTCGCCAATCCACCCGGTGACCGCGAGTCCTGCATGCCCATTGCCCAAACGGCTGCGAAGGTGGCGAATGTATCGCGCCGAACATTTGCAGATGTCGACCCGGTTTTAGGTCCGATCACACCGGGGGTTGCGCGCCGGATTGTCCGGGTGGCTGCGACGGCGGCGAGTGCATCGCGCCGAACGTCTGCGGCTGCAGGTCCGGATACATGCGGGATCGTTACAGCGGCCGATGCGTCCCTATCCCTGGCACATCGCAGTGCGGGCCCGGATATATTGTCGATCCCGATACCGGTAGATGCATTCTTGCACCCCCGACTGTCACAACCCCGTCGCACATCCCCGATTGTAGATACGGCTGTGGTCCTCACGGATACTGTCGTACAGGACATAATGGACATAATCAATGTGTCTGTGAATCGGGCTACGCGATCGATCCTGCTACCGGTAGATGCGGTCCCCTAACATCCTCTAACGCGACCAGCTCGCAATGTAGATATGGTTGCGGACCGAACGAACGATGCGTCGCCCCGAACGTGTGTGTTTGCAATCCAGGATTCCACAAAGATTTCGATACAAACAGATGCGTCCAATATGAGGGGGATGAAACGGACACACGCGTGTGCCAGCATCCGTGCTTGAACGGTCAATGCACCGGGCCGGATCAGTGCACCTGCAATCAGGGATACACTTACGATTCTCGTGATGTCACACGCTCGAGATGCATACCGGTATGCGTGGGTGGATGCCTGAACGGCGTGTGCACCCTGCCGAATTTCTGTATCTGTAATCCCGGTTATCGAAAAGAAGGCGGTGTTAAGGGTCGGCAAAGATGTGTCCCGCAAGAATAAGTAAATGTTTTCGAGTTGTACAAACAAATGACGACATAAAGTGTGGTAATATTTAGATTAGTTTGACAAAGCGAGCATATACATTCATTCCTAGATATCAAATTGTGTAAACATCAATATGTAATGCGAAAGTCATAATAAAGTATACGTATCCAGATATAGAAAACATTTTATAAGATAGTTTAGTGTTTATCTCAAAGATACAATATAAATATTTCTTTTTTTTTTTTTAAGAAAAAATTATTTTCTTTCAAAACATTATATATGGATATAAATGTTAAATTCAGCATAATTGTCCTTTTGGATAATTTAACTCGAATAAAATAAATGTATAATATTTCTCTTAATTATAATTTACATACATTATATATGTCATCTTATACTTTCGTTTAATATAGTATATACATGGCATAAATATGTATTGTAATTTTAAAAAAAGAAACTATTTTTCACAATTTTTATTTCAAATTTAAAAGAATCTTGTAAAAACATAATTTTTACATCTAAAACATGATATTATTAAATTATTAATGATATTATTAAATTAAATTTTTTAATGATGATATATTACTTTTTCTCGCTTTATGCACAAAGTTAAAATTGCAATAAATACATTATTAAAATTATTGAAACCGTGTGAAACGAGCTAATTATATCATAGTAAATAATAATAATTTAATCAATAATTAAAATAAAAGAAAAAGTCTAAAAAAAACAAACACACACATGTTCTTTTGAAGATAGACATATCGAGAGATGCACAACCGATAATCATTTCCTTGAACAAGTATTGCGCAGTTTAATCGAAAAGGTGGAACAAGCTGCTGGCCTCTGAGGCAATCTTATCGCATATAGATGAGTGATGTCTAAGCGAATATTAAGAATCAGTAGGAAATTCGTGATCGATCATGCAACATGCAGAGATTAATGATTTGTCTAGGTATTTTTACATGCCTGTGTGTCAGCATCTCAATGTAATGAACAATGTAAAAGGTAGACTACTGCGTAGTCTTATAAATAGACAACATCAACAACTTATATGGCCCAATTACACCGAAAGCAGTCTTTGTTACAAAACAGTGTCGTAAGTAATCATTTTAAGATAAGCGTAATACTGACATCGATGTGTTAATTTTTGATAAATGTAAAAAAAAATAATTCTTTCGGAAACAAAAAGTCCCAGACTGCAACATTTATATATTTATAAAAATCGATATAAATTTCAATATAGCTTCTATAAAAAACGACAATTATAAGAATAGATTTATTCTTTTATTCATCCCAGCATAATGATACTTTGATTACCATTCTGGATTGTTGCGATGGCTACAAACGCAAAATGACAAATAACATTTGCATATACCGATCTGCACGTACATGTATGTCACGAGTAATTATTTTATTCTTTCGAATATTCTATTGTGTGTGTGATTTCCGATAACTACGAAATATCTTCAGTATCAACGTGATAATGTAAACGCGAAAATTAAACTTTACTTCATAATTATGGAACTACATATTTAATTTGTTTCTAACAGCAAAAAAAAATATATATATATATATATATTATTAGTATGCATTTCTGAGATGCTGACACTTTCAACATATATTTACGAAACAATGAACATTTCAAACAATAAAAAAATTTAATATTAAATAAATTTTTCAGGTTCCCCAACACAAATAATCACGAATCCTGCAATCTTCATTGTTCAATCGGCAACGAATGCGAAGGCGTATGTGTCACGATAAACATTTGTAAATGCATTTTAAGCTGATTATCAATAATAATATAAATGAATGCGTTCCTAACATAACAGATATAGAACATCCGCAGTGTATATACGGCTGCGGTCCGAATGGACAGTGCGTCGTTCCGAACAGATGCGACTGCGATCCGGGATTCCGCAACAATCCTTCGACGGATAGATGCGTTCGAGATGTTGGGAATAATATACGGATGCCAACATCCGTGCTTGAACGGTTATTGTAGCGGGCCGGATCAGTGCACCTGCAATTCAGGATATACACTCACGAAAATGATGACCTTATACAACGTGCGTACCGATATGCGAGGGCGGATATCTAAATGGCGTGTGTACTTTGCCAAATGTCTGTATTTGTAATCCCGGATACCGAAAAGATAATGATCAGCAGAGATGTATTTCAGAAGAATAAAAGCTGTTTCTTAAATATAAAGAAAAACTAACGACACGAAATATGTTAATATTTAGATTAATCTGACAAAGAGATGAAAATTTCTTCTATCATGACCAACTGAAAAATTGTATTTATAAATTGATAATAAATTGTAAAACAATTCTTGAGTAGTATAAAATAAGAAATGATTAGAATGAAGTTGCCAATGATGAATAAATTTCAAAGTGCTTCATTAAAATCCGACCTAACTGGCCAATACAAAAAACGTTGAACACAACGTTTCGGCCCTAGAATACGGGCCCTTATCAAGTGTTAACAAACTGTTATCACGTCTTTCGCTTTAATATCTTGAAAGCGATAATAAGGGTTCATATCCTAGAGCCGAAACATTATGCTAAACATATTTTTTGTATTGGCCAGTCAGGTCGGATTTTAATAAATCACTTTGAAAAGTATAAAATAATTTGCGAACTAATTTTCTCAGAAACACATAATCAGATAAATAAAGATTTATTCTAAGAGGAAATAAATGCATTAATTAATAATTAAACATTGTGCTGAAAAACACATAAAAATATTTGTAAACCAAGTATAAACGCAATCGCTTATTATACAATTGTTTATTTTGCATACAGCTGATTTTGTTGCATTGTAAATAGGTCACTGCCGACTGCATCTTTGACCTAATGTCAGTTTAACTAAGTTTTGCATTTTAAAAAGTACACTCTGTACTTTATAATGATCACAATAGTCAAATATTATAGGTTTTTAATATATTTAAGTAATTTAATAAATTTTTTAAATTTTCATTGAGAATGATCTGCATGTTAATTTGCAACGTGAGAATACGTTTTTTTTTCATTAAAGATAAGTTTTGTAAATCAATCTGAATACATTTTAACATTTTACTTATGCAACATAAATTAATAACTGTGATCCTGCATACACAGAGAATGTATGTATATAAAAAAGAATTTTCGGGAAAAATTTATATGAATAAGTAAAGATTATTTAAAGAGAGAAATTTCTTATATATATATATCATATATATTATCATATATCATATATATATATATTGAGGATTCATATTAATGTAATTGTATGTACTTGACAACAGCTAACATCCTGTTAAATTCTGATAACGCACTACATCATAACAGAGAGGAAGAGAAGCGTCTAGTCTAGTTTGCGAGTTGATATACAACTGTCCATTATATTAAACTCTCTTTCTCGCTGGTCTCCTCACGAAAATAAATTTTTCTGTATTTAGCAATTATGAAATTTTTATACGTCGTATCTGTGTTTGCTATTCTACAAAACAGACTGATTACTGAAATAGTCAGTCTTACCCCCCATCTACAAGATTATTTGGATGATTTATATGATTTCATCCCTAATATAGAAGGAAAATGTAGTGAATTAGTTAGGTAAGATATAATTATATATTCTCTCTTTTTTCCCTCTTTATAAATTGAAATAATATTCGTAAAATATTCAATATGATTGATACAGTGCATAAATAAGCTAATGTGTTAAACTTACACAATGTTTGTAGTGTTCAAGAATCCCGAAAAGTTCCTTACATAGAAACATATAGAGAGAAGACATGGGGTCTTTTTTATAAGACTCGGACTCGATGGAATTTCAGACTTGAGGTAAGATTTGAGCGTGTAAAACTTCTGCTGTCTGTTTCTGCATAACACACTTACTTTCTTTCTCTCTCAATAAAATAGAATAATATTATAATGTACAGAAAATTGTATATAATATTTAACAAAGTATACATATCATAGTATATATATTTGTAAATTTATAACATAATATTTAAAAATTATATTTATATAAAATATATTCGATTATTAGTAGAAGAAATATTATTTTATTTTTTGATAGAGAGATATTATTTCTAAGATAATATTCTATTAGTCATCTCAGTTATTTTACCTTTTTAACCAATTAATTCTGTATTTATATTCTCTAAAAACTTGATATATCTCTTCATATATATAAATATTGTTACGTCGCTAATAAAAAAATTTATTTATATTTCAGTTTAACCCATCATGGCGCAAACAATACACGTGTTGTACCGGATATGAGCTGACGGAAGATTTAACATGTGAACCAAAATGTCACCAGAAATGTGGAAACGGCACTTGCGTCAAACCAAATGTATGTACGTGTAACCCAGGATATGAAGAAACACATTCCGATCCTGTCTGTGTTCCTCAATGCACTCACATCTGTGTGCATGGCAAATGCACTGCGCCTGAAGTTTGTACGTGCGATTACGGATACTCATTGAACAAGGACGGCCATACTTGTGAACCTGTTTGCAATTCAGGTTGTGACTCAGGATCATACTGCTCCAAACCCAATCACTGTGCTTGCCTAAATGGATACACCGATTTATTTATTCCTACGGATGAGGGAATACTTCACGTAAGTAAACATTACAATTTATTTGATTTTGTTTATTTAACACAATCACGAACAATGTAAACATAAAATCAAAATTGAAAGATTGTGATGATTATGTTATGTTGTGTGTTTGTATCGTGAAAAAATAATTCTTGTTTCAATTAAATAGACATTAATATTAGAAGAGAAAAAAAACACAAATAGATTGAAAAAAATCATATGTCGATAAACATTCGCATCTTTCTATACCCAGAAATGCCGAGCTATTTGCAAAAATCTATGCATTCACGGTAAATGCATCGCTCCTGATACCTGTGCTTGCGATACTGGTTATGAACTTGATCCAGAAAATATATTCATCTGTAAACCCAAGTGCGAACACGGTTGTCTCTACGGCACATGTGTGAGACCCAACCAATGCATTTGCGACCGAGGTTATTCCTTGGAAAATCCGTCGAAACCCAAGTGCGAACCAATTTGCAGTGTACCTTGCGTCATGGGTACTTGCGTGGCCCCCGAAAGCTGTAGCTGTTTTGAGGGCTACGGCTTATTTGAAAATTCAACGTACAATTGCCAACCGGTCTGTGAAAAAGCTTGCTTCAATGGAAACTGCACTGCACCTGGCGTATGCACTTGCAACAAGGGATTTCGACTGAGCGGTGATGAATCAATGAAACACGTTTGCGAGCCTTATTGCGAAATTTCTTGCGAACCATTTGGCACTTGCACCGCACCGAATGTTTGCACTTGTTTTGAAGGATATCGCCTAGCTAACAAGACCCAAGTCAAGAAAATCGTTAGTATTAAAAAAGAAAAAATTTACATAGAATAATTTTTTTATATTTACATAGAAAATATTAATTTTCAGGATATGCAAAATTTTGCTGATAACTCAGTGTGCGAGCCGATCTGCGACACAGAATGCATCAATGGATTTTGTAGCGCTCCTAACAGGTGCAGCTGCAATATCGGTTATCAACCGTCAGACAAGTTCGCCAATATCTGCGAGCCTATCTGTGGCTATTGCATAAACGGTGTCTGTAGCGCTCCTGAAATTTGCACATGTAACAAAGGCTATCGCCCTTCGAATGTATGCAAAGATATGCGTTTTCTCAAGACCATAGAACCTTGCAGCACGCCAAACCGATCTACGACGCACTGCGAACCGATTTGCAATCCTAGCTGCGAGAATAGTATCTGCGTCAAACCCGGCGTATGCGATTGCTACTCAGGCTATAGTAAATCGACGCATTCTATAAACGTGTGCGATCCTATCTGTCACCAAGGCTGTAATGAAAATGAAATCTGCAGGGCGCCCCACCTGTGCGATTGCAAAGATAATTATCGCACGGTCTACGATAAAAAAGATGTTTCGTTGCGGAAATGCGAGCCGATTTGCACCGTCGACTGCGGAAACGGCACGTGCACGGCACCGAATGTCTGCTCGTGCTTCGATGGTTATCGAAATGTAGAAACGGGTAGGTGCGAGCCTTTTTGTTCAACCTGCAACAACGGTACATGCGTCGCACCTGAAGTCTGCGAATGCGACGATGGTTTCGTCCTCGAAGAGTCAAAGAAAATCAAACCCGGAATATGGAGTTTAGGTTACATTCTTGAGAATGGACCAGGAAACGGAAGCAGATGCGTGCCGCGCTGCGAGAATTGCGATAACGGTGATTGTGTGGCACCGGACGAGTGTCGATGTCGTGCTGGTTTCGTCAAAATCAACGGTACCTGCGAGCATGCGTGCAAGGATGATTGCGGCACTCACGGCGAGTGCATCGAGGAAGATGGGATTTGCGAATGCAACTACGGATGGACTGGCCGGAATTGCGATCGACCAACCTTGTGCATCTCGATCTTAAACGGCGACGATAATCGTACTGAGTCGTAAGTGTTTATAGAATGCATTATTTTATATTTTTATATATTTTAAATAGGTAGAATAATAATTAGCATCACAGCAATAAGAATATTTAATTATATAATGAAATATTTAAGTGGATACATTATTAACAAATATATTAATAAATTAAATAATTGAATCTCCCTCTCCCTCTTCTCTTTCTCTCTCTCTCTCTCTCTCTCTCTCTCTCTCTCTCTCTCTCTCTCTTGTATTCTCTTTGGTAGGACGCTTTGATATTATTATCAGAAAAACTTTGCGCGCGTGCCATTATAACGATATCTGAAATGAATAGTTTATGTGAATCATCTGTTATTCTTTTTTTTCTTACAGATTCAATGTTATAGAAGAACAAAATAATACTATCGAGCATGTACTTATAAATAATCCAGTATGCCCCGAGTGTATTAATAAGATAAACAATGAGACTTTGTGTTTTAAAATGCATATTAATGACACAGAGAAGGAAACACAAATTGGTTGTTTAATGAATAAAGGTTTGTTACAAATATACATTTATTTAAAATTTCTTTTTATCTCTGAGAAAAAAAGCAGAAAGATAAAAAATTCAAAAATTTCTTCCGATTATGTACAACGATATATAAATATATTGAAATTGATATTAACTTTTTCAGATATGTTTATGTATTCAACATAGTTGTATTACATGTTATTACATTAACATTATATATATATATATATTGTATATATTAATTCTTTTAATTACATATATATTTGCTTTTCTTATTGTTTCATCAAATCTTTAATTCTGCTTGCAATATAATATTGCACGACAAACTAATAAAGATTTATTACTTTTTTTGTAATAGAATGTCTCACACTGAACAGTCAGTATAGAACTGCAAAGGAAATGATCAAACTAAGTGGAATCGTAGGTGGTTTCGGAATATTACTTCTGATAAGTGGAGTAGCAATTTATATAATACTACGAAAACATCGAAATAAACGAATGGCTAATCTAGGTATCATTATCAAATTTCATTGTACATATTATCTAGTAATAATTACAGAAATAATTTCTCAATTATACATGTTTATTTAGAAAATGCTAAAGAAAAATAGAGTATAAGTTATAAATATTAACTTTAAAGAAGAATAGAGTATATAAATAATTATCGCGAAAATAAAGGTAAATCTAAAAAAAAACTTTTTGAGAGACGTAACAATAAACTAAATAATGTATAATTATAATATTATTACTCATTACTTATCAAAATATTCTTTTTAACAGGTGATGAACAGATCATTTGCAGGCACAGTACATCAATGCAAGGGCTAATTGAACAGTGTAATATTAATTCTTAATATAAAAAGTGCTACAGAAAGCTTAATATGGAATTTTTGAAATTTTGCTTGAAATAATAACAAACGCAAAAATTGTTTATTATTAACTGAATTAATTGTTAATTAAAATTAATTAAAAATGTCTATATTCATTAATATAAGATATTCAAATAAACTACAATTATGAATTTTTAAATAGGCATGTTTTAAATTTCTATCTGTTTTATTTCGTTTCCTTACAATTTTTTCACAAAACCTTGAGATCTAAACTACAAAAAAACTTAACCGCGCATCTGCGGGAAATTTCTTCTCTTTGCTGTTGTACATAGCTCTTATATTAATTCATTTTATTATTTTTTTATACTAATTGTGTAAATGGAGTCACATCAAGTGCATTATTGTCACAAAATGAGACGCCAACTTCACACACGCATAAAATAGTCACTGGGTGATTTACTACTATTTGCTTTAGCTAACTGTGTTTATCATGGGAAATACAAAATTTTTGTGTGCGTTTCACGGTTTTAAATTTTCTATCGTTGATTCAGAATTGATGATGCATCGATGTACTATCTAGTTTTCAAAATTCTCTCATATCTACTGCTATGGAATTTTTTGAAATATTTTTTTATACTTTTTCCCGGTATTTCTTTCGTGGAGAGAGAAAAATGAAAGATGTATAAATCGCTATTTATATATATATATAAACTGTGTATAAAAACTTTTATATATAAAAAATAAATATACATAAACTTTTATATATATTTGTGACTTATTTAGAACAAAGTGTTTTTTAAAACAAATCCTATTTCATCCTATATTATCTCAACATAAGTTGGTATCAATACTTTAAACGAACTTTATACTACACATACATATCCATTTCAGTAGACTCTCTGATAGCACAGCACATCCTGTCTCATTAGAACAACGTAGTTCATATGGAGAGCAGAAGATAAAAGAGATAATACACAGAAAGAAATTGATGCATTAGTCAGTTCTAGTTTTACGAAGCAAGTGTCAACATCATAAGAGAAAGAACGTGCTATGGGGTTGTTTAAGAATTTAATCATTATATTGATTGTTAAAATATTGTTTCTACAAATGGACAAAATGTATACAAATGGAACTTCCGTAACGCTTATATCTAAGCCTTCTGTAAACATACCACTTGAGAATTCAACGTGTTTTAGAGTAGAAAGGTATTTTTATATTTATTATATTACGATCTTCTCTTCTATATGTTAAAATTATATTCTATTTATATCTACATATTAAGTATCTATTTCTGAGGGAAGAGGGGGGTTGATATATTTAAAATTTTTTTTAAATAATCTTTTTTCAAAATACGTTAATCTTGTTAATTTTATTATAGCAAACAGTTATCACGATATGTTCGTTATAACGTTTTTTCTAAATACGACCGATATAATTACAAAAAAGAGGTAATAAAATCTGAATTAAATATATAAAAAATGACAAGAAGAAATGAGAAATAAAATTTTACAAAAAGAGAAAAAAACAGTAAAAAAATTTTTGTATACATGTCCAATGCTTTCTTCTCATGATTACTCTGATCTGCAATGTAAATTTTTGTTTTGCAAATCAAATTAACTGAATTATCAACTGAAAAATAAATGAGATATTGAATTAATGAAACACAATTTCAGAAAAACTAATAAATTGTCCGTACACTATATTCAAATTTATATGTTAATCAGATCAGATATTATTGCTTTGTGGCAAATTCAATAAAAAAAGCTCCATAAAAATGCATCAGTAAATAGTATCTAAACGAAAAATTAGTATCACATCACAAACAGAGTATACAAAATTTTATTTCTTATCTTTGTATTTATTTTACAAATATATATCTTTATAAATGCTCTTTTTCTCTCGCTTTCTCTGTTTCTTTTTTCTTATTACCTTTTATTCACTAATTTGTAAATTAATTTATAGTACTACACCATATTGATCGAACATCGTGAATGCTGCCAAAATTATACTCAAATCGGTCAAGATTGTGCACCGCATTGTCCGCAAAATTGCAGAAAGGGATACTGCTTAAAACCGAACGTTTGCACATGTCACACAGGATATCGCGCTTTGAACGACACAAACGATAAGGAAACGTGCGTGCCGGTGTGCACGAATGGTTGCATCAACGGCACGTGCGTCGAACCTGAAGTATGTAGCTGCAACGAGGGCTATTTGATGGATTCGGACGGTTTCACTTGTCGTCCGGCCTGCGACGAGGAATGCGAACGTAACTACGGATATTGCTACGAACCGCATGTCTGCTCGTGCCTTCCCGGTTACAAGAAAATCGACAACAACTCCTCCTCGTGCGAGCCCGTTTGTGATCGCGCTTGTATAAACGGCTACTGTGCTGCGCCTAACGTTTGCAAATGTATCGATAGTTACGAGATAAAACAGTCAGATCGCTTTACTTGCACTCCTAAATGCGAGACCTGCAGGTCCGGCGCGTGCTTGGCATCAAATGTGTGTATCTGCAAAATGGGTTACGCGCCGAAGCTGATCAGTTGCGAACCACGCAAAATGGGCACCTGCAACGCACCAGAGGGTTGCAGTTGTAACGATGATTACGAGCTTCGTAATGGAAGTTCAAAATATGTATGCGAACCAATCTGCGAGAACTGTAATAACGGCACGTGCAACGCGCCAGGAGTATGTGTCTGCGACGAGGGTTTTGTTTATGATAATCAAACTCGAGTTTGCAAACCGCATTGCACTATACCTTGTGGACCGAATGAGAAATGTACATCGCCCAATACATGCACTTGCTCCCAGGGGTATCGCTTCAATACAAAACTATCGCAAGAATTATTATCTACGACAGGTGTAAGTACAGCAAGTATAATAGTTCTATATACAAAATAAAAAAGTTTATTTTATTATTACAACTCGATACAAAAAAGAAAAATTTTTTTCTCAAAAGAAATATATCATAAAAAAAAATCAAAATCCTTATTTAGTACTAATAAAAAGAGATGCTTTATAATTGAAGTAACTATGAGTATTTTAAGATTATAATCACAGTTTAATTAAAAAATATGTTTTTCCGTTACGTCTTCGATAAAGAGTCAGATAAATGGAGAGAACAAGAAACCTCAATCCCAATGTGTACCAGTTTGCGATTTCGAATGCATCAATGGTACATGCACCGCTCCAAACGTGTGCACCTGTAACGAAGATTACGAACCATCGTGGCTGAAGCTACATAAAATGTCTTCGCAGTTAGAATATAGCCCGACGCGTATCTGTGTGCCGCGCGGTAAATCTCGTTGCCAACCTCCGTGCAGGAATAATCAGATATGCATCGCAGCTCTCATTGGTCGAATAACAATTTTTATTTGCGATTGTAACGACGGTTACACGAGGGATCCTAACGGTCACTGCGTACCCCATTGCATACAAAAATGTTCCAACGGCACGTGCACAGAGCCAAATCGTTGCACGTGTAACGCGGGTTTCGCCCTGAAGAACGAGAACTTATGTGAGCCGATTTGCGAAAGAGGCTGTCAGAATGGCGACTGTGTCGGCCCGAATCATTGCATTTGTCGCGACAGTTTTGTACCAAATACTGGGTCTTTTGGGGCTGAATGCATTTCCGTTTGCGATTCCCTTAATTGTAGCGATCACAGCGCGTGTATACTTGAAGACGACGAGTACAGATGCAAGTGTCACTATGGTTGGACGGGAATGGATTGCGATGAACCGACTATATGCGTTATCAAAATGGATTTCAATCACAGCGACGTGAATAAGTAAATATTATCGATCTATTAATTTCAAATCTTTTATATACACATGAAAAAAAATATTCGCTAATCAAATAATTAATAATTTGCTTAATAAATGATATATCATATAATTGCAGAATCACGATCCGCAATGATACAAATAATAGCGTAATCATAGCCTATGAAAATGCGCCGTATTGTTATCATTGTGACAGTTCCCTTAATAAGGAATCACTCTGCTATTTGATACATTCTGATAAAAACGATACGACTCCAATCATCGGCTGCTTATTTAGTACAGGTATTTGCATTTTATTTTAAAAGAGCAAAGAAACTACTTACCTTTTCATTTAAAATTTTGTTATTTATATACATTGAAAATTATACAATTATACTTATACATCAAAAATTATAAGAAAGTCTATAACTTTCATTCTTTTAAACTCTTTTCTGTTCTAAGTGATTGTCTTCAGTATAAAAAAATGTAAGTTCTTATTCAGTATAGAAAGACGTAATTTTTAGCTAGTAAAAATCAGCTACACTATTTACAAATTTATCAAAATAATATAAAATTGAAAAGAAAGCTATATTTTGCATTCTATTTATTAATGTTTGAGTTTGTATTTTTTGTATATATTTAATATTTATTCCATTTTTATTTTTCAGATTTGCCTTGTTATTTGGCGTCTCATTACAACGCCTCAATTAACGCTGCTAAAATAATTTGGATCTTCGTGACCATTGTGATATCAATTACGACAATTCTAATAGCATATTTAGTATATCGCAGACGCGAAAAGAAGAAAATAGACACAGGTATATATTTGAAAATGTACAAGTAGAGCTAGAATATAACTTTTAACACAGTCTATTTGTATTTTGATAAAAATAATTATTAAAAGTTAATTGTGACATCCTACTTCCGTATTAGTACGAGATAAATCATGACAGACAATCATGAGTCGCTTCACGTGAATGATAAGAGAGAAATACGCACAGCTTTCTCAGCATTAAAATAATCTCTTTTAATACTCTCCATTTATTCGTTATAATAAATAAATAAAATAAAATGTTTATTTTATAATTAGCTTATTTAATATAAATTATTTATATAATTAGATTTTTATTCTATTTCGCTAAAAATAAATTATTTCACAGCAGGTATGCCAACAAACCTCTTTCTGCGAGAATCTTTCGTCACCGAATCTTTGTTACCTGACAGCGTGTTCGAATTTTGAAAGAAACAATATGAAGACCATTGTGAAGAAATGTAATAGCCATGAATAAAGTAGTCAGTAATAAATATAATACTTATAATAATAATAAAATTATTTTAGAGATTATATATTATTTTTTTGTTACTGAGACATCTCCCCTAAAAAATTGAATAATTTTTATTCGATGATTCGCTTTGAATAATATATTTGAGTAATATTTTAATAAAATAGTTCCGCGTATGTAAGAGAGAAGATAGGCTGGTAGAATGATTTCTTTAAACAAATATGTCTTATATATATATATAAATATACAAATAATTATTAGAATAAATTCAATCTAATGTGTAGAAAAGGGTCAATTACAATTCACGCGATTGTCCTATTAATACTGTCAACGGTCCATGAATAGATTCGCGTGAATAGGCTGTTTAAAGTACAAGCTGTGACGCAATCGAAGTTGCTGAACAACCCTCAACTATAATAAAACATTGCTGTTGCTTCGAAACAGTTTTTGATATTTACGGTCGTGATATATCGGTCACCTCGTTCAAACTATAATTACTGCCCCAGTTGCACCCTTGCAACCGTAGATGTCTGCCGACGATAAAACAGCGAAACGTCATTCTAAACCTAACTCCAACTTGAAGAAAGAAAGAGAGGAGGCACGCTGGTCCCATTGCCCCTTATTTTCACCCAGACGCGAATCGATTACAGCAAATTGCCCCAAGTTAACGTCCGACAAACGCTATGGCTTCGTGTCGGTAACTTCGTCTCGCTAGAATAAGGGATTCTAATGATTGATAGAAATCGCGAGGGAAAATTTCTACTGGCGGATAAGAAAGGGATGAGAAACCATTAGCGTTGAAATGAACAAATTAACAATGATGATCGCCTGACAAACCGAGAAGCATGATATACATGCATCTTTGTCATCCCGGAGAGGCAGACTCGCTACGACTAACCCCGTCCTCTCGATCGACGTAGCACAACTATAAGGAGGGTGGAAACGAGGCGCGACGCTCGCGCGCAGCTGCAGCTGCGTCCTCGTTCTCCCTGCGAGGACCTACGGCGTTCAGTGAACGAGGCGGCGCGGTTTCGAACGGGGCCGAATTGTACATCCTCGGGGTGAGAGAGCGTTCGGTAGCGTGCAAGTCGAACCCGAAGAGGGTGCGTGCGGACCTGTCCGCGTTATACGTTTGATTCGAAACCACGCAGTAGATACGAAGAGACACGCACGTACGACGAACGGCGGTGTAAGACGCTTCTCTGGGGCATCGAGGGCGAGAGGGTGCGCCACCGGGGTGGCAGGGAGGGAGGGAGGGAGGGGAGAGAGGAAGGCGACGGAGAAGGATGTCGATGCGCCGTCGGTGGTCGGTTTCGGGGTTGACTCGCGCCGCGGGGGCGATGAGCGCACTTCCCTCCGCCCTGAGATTGACCTGCTGCTGCTGCTGGCTCCTGCTGACCTGTCTCGTCGTCTTCCTGATACCTGCATCCTGCACCAGCGACACGCCGCGGCAGGTCATACGCCGGACACGAGAACGGCCAGGAGGTGATGATGATGCGCTCGCGCGCGGCATCACCAGCTATCTCGACGACGCCGAGTACGACGGCCAGATATCCAGTGACAATGACGACTACGACGATGACGACCTCGAGGAAGATTGGTTCGACAAAAATATTACCGCGGGTGAGTAGCTATTTTATTTTCGCTCTTTTCTCATTACGTTGATCAAATCGTCGGTTGTAGAGAGTGCGAAGATGATTTGGTAAATGCTGGTTTTATAGAGAACCTAACGCGAACAAAATTCGATAACAAGTTGGTCGTTAAATGATTCGATAAATCGAGAAGAGAGATTGTATCGAGTGTTATATATTCTCATGAAAGTGTTTATCAATATTTTTTTTTTTTTTTTTTCATTATTGGAAGACACGATATGTGCGAGAATAGTAATTTCTAATAATTAATGACAAAGTCATGATTGTTAAAATATTCTGGGGAAGAAGATTTTAAAAGGCAAGGCAATTTATTCGGAAACATTTTATGACAACGTTGTAATACATTAACTATAAGTGACGTCAGTGAAATTATTTAGTGTTTCTGAGGATTAATATTGTCAACGATTCAATTTATCGTTTTTCTTCAATTTAAGAAAAGAATCGCTGATTTGAAGATGAAGAAATTAAATTAGAAAAATTAGAAGATATATTAAAGATATTAAATACGCTATTGGTATCCCTCCTTGAAATATATTCGCGAAATTTCCATTGCGAAGTACTCGTGATAGTAACGAAAAAATTGTTCAAATAATGCCAATAATAATATTGATCATTTTTTGATGTAATATTTATGAAAAATGAACAAAATATCAAGTCGCAATATACGAATTTCTATGATATTCGTAATTATTAGTGATTTTTCAGTAAACGAGAATATTATTTTGAGTTACAGCAGTTGAAGGCAATGTAATAATATTATATTATTTTATTCAAAGTAAAAAAATTATAAATCTAAAGTTTCTAATTTCTTAGATGTATACAAAATTCGCTTTTAATATATGTATGTTTCAAAATAGTGTCATTGCTATTGAATCAAGAAGAATCAAAATTTGGTTTTATATGCTAATAATATTTATTCCAAAATGGAAAAAATGTGGCTTTTTCAACATTTTACGAAGTATGCGTTTATGAAAAAAAAATTAAATGTAAAATGAAATTATAATTACAATATCAAGATTACTTGAAATCGCATTTTTTATACATCTCATACTTTAAATTAATCTGTCCGGATTATTAAAAAAATTGTAAGTCTGATAAATCTTTTTCTCGCTTTGTGTGCGGCTCAAAATTTTTCACAAAAGAATTTATAAATTTATTTCCTTAATTATCAAGTAAAAATGAATATAAAAGTTTGAAAATAAAAAATAAAGACTTTATTAAGTTAAATATTACTTTGACAAAGCAAAAACGTATATTTTATTAAAAAGTAAATTATGTAAGTTAAATTGTGTTCATAAAATATCATTTTGCAAGCAATTTTATGGTAAAACAATTATTTACGCTTTTTGAATTTTGAATAAATAAGATGATAATAAAACAAGAGAAATACTAAATGAAAGTTGTGAAGTACCTACCTTTGAAATAAATGTAAGTAATATAAGAGAACTTATATTATATATAACTCTCGTTATAATAACTTACATTAACCTATTATATAAAGTATCTCTTGTTATACAAAATTATTCGGTAATTAACATATATTTAATATAGTTTGTAATCGAAATATACATATACACGACAATGCTCTATTTTCACGTAAGAGCGATCGAAGGCAATGTATCTCAAGGTTCTCCTTGCTTGCGCTTGCTTCACAATGTGCAAACGTTCCTCGAGAATGTTCATTAAGGATATATCTTTGCTCTCGAATATATCCTCGAGTGTAAATGACTTTATTGATTGAATAATGAACTATTATAACTTTTACGAAAACATATAATGTATCATTTTTCGACTAATGAGCAAAATTTTCAATAAAAATTGTTTTTTTATATAAATATAATTTGTTATATTACTAAAAAGTAATAAAAACATATCGTTCAAGAAATGCACAAAATACTTAAATCAATTATTTCTTTAACCACAGAATATTTTTATTTTAGTTTTAAAAATTATATTAATTCAAAATGATTTAATTTAATACTTTACTAAAACAATGTAAAATTTATTTACTTAAATAAATGTTACAATTATATATATTTTATCTCCTTCATTAAAGACCTTTAATTTGTTGAAATACTAACGTATATGTGATTTTAATTTTTCTATATTTGTATTTACTTTCGGATATATATTATATGTATATAAAACATAACAATTATTCTGAATTATTTTTGAAACGTTTATTACAAAAATTAATGTAAAATAAAATTGTAATTGCAATCAAGATTACTTCAAATCATTTTTTATATATCTATTATATTTTAAATTAAAATAACCGGAATTAATAAAACATATAAATTTAATAATTCCTTTTTTTGTTTTGTGTGTGTTCTGTTCAAAATTTTTATTATAATTATAATATCAAAATTATAATTATTGTTATTAAAACGGTTTTAAAAGAAATTGAAAATATTTCTATAACAGATTTAATGTCGATTTAACTGAGGAGAAAACGTGTTCTTGATTTTCGCGCCAAACATGTCACTAGTATTGATTTTAATGGATGCTGCTGCCAAGCTCTCTGTTCTCCCCAGATCTCCGTGTGAGTTAAAATGCACATTGTGTCTACATTCGTTTTATTTCGGAAGAAATGATAACGCATCATTGAGATACATTTATTGCTCTTTCATTCTTGCTGTGCATTTTTCAAATGAAAAGAAACGATCGAACAAAACGAATTAGACCTAACAAACTTATTAGTTATAACTTTAGTTATAACTAATACACGCTATAAATTAATACATGATAAAAGGGAAGAAAGCTTCAAGTTTATTGGTGCAATCGTGAACTCACTTCGCCATATTAAAAAATGTAAGTCAAGATAATAGAAATACACTAATTATACGATATTAATGATTTAGCGAGAGATATATTTGTTCAATGTTACAAGAAAATATCTCTTTTGCATTTGATATTTTTTAACTTTTAATGATTTGTACTTAATTAAAATAATCAGAGATATTTTTAATAACGCGAATATATTTTTAACTACTTAATGCACTATGCATCGAGTGTTATTAAAAGCTTGCGTTGAACTCTCTGCAAATCATGCTAATCTAAATTCTCTAGATGAGAATGCGATAGAATACATGCACGCGAAGTAGTCGTAACGCGTACGTGTAATAAACTTTAATCAGTATGAAATTAAATATGACTGATAAAGAAATCCTGTCGAGAAGCTACGTTTCTAATTGTAAAACGCAAAACCGGTATATGCTCATCACGAATCGACACAAACTATGTCGCGCGGACGCTATTATTCGTAAAACAATGAGTTCTGTAATATTGAAATCTCTGCATTTGCATAAGAGCGTGCATGGCGCCGTTAAATGACGCGAAACGTTTATTATCCACGACTGTCGTTGTCATTAAACGATTTATCCGAATGTACGTATTACAGTCCAAAAAGGTGTATGTAAAGCTGAAGCGTCTCTTAATTATTTATAAATTCCACGCAAATTTCCACGAAATGAGACGCCAGATTTATACACCTCTAAAGAATAGAAATATTATAAATTAGTTATTCTCACTCACCGATACCTGCAAGAGCGGAGTTGTAGTACACAGCACATTGATCTGAAAACAAAATATTCAAATTATGCATATATATGTGTGTGTCTATACAGGGTGTTTTGAAAGTCTGGAAACGATCGGAACAGCTCATAAACAATGCAATTTTTTTTATTTTGCATACCTTATGGTTGCCCCGCTGTCACCCGATGCCTCTCTGAATCTGCTCCTCCTCTTTTGGTCATTGTCCTCTTTCGTAGCACTCACAACACTCGCGAAAACACGAATAATTACGATCGCCCGACACGGCACTCCCTACACGTGAAACTTTTATACGGCACTCCCGACGCGACGTGAATCGCACGCGTATTTCGCGTACACTGCACAATGAGAAAACTATAATCGAAAACACGAACCAACGATTTGTTCGGCACAGGTATTATTGCTGCTAAGCTGCGCTCGAGTTTGACTGCGAGAATAACCTGTAACAAATAAAATATATACGTATATTAGAGTAATCTTATTATCTCTCGTCAATATTTGTAGATATACGTAGGTATTCGGTAGTTTTTATTTTAACTTAATTAATTTTTTTTTCTTTTAAAAGCCAGAACTCTTTTTAGAACTCATGTATAACTATAAATTTTTAAATAATTAATCCTGATAATTGCTGATAAGGAAAACGCCGTAGTACAAAATGAGACGTTGCGTGCAAATGGGATCTCAGTTTGTCCCCATTTTCGTTGTTTTAATGATCAGAACTATTTATTTAAACTATCAAGGACTCTAGAACTATTAAAAATAAAATTCAGAACTAATTATTTGAGTTTCCACAAAATCAAACGCCACCTTCACATATACACACTCCAAAAAGAAGCAAATTGTAAGCAATTGATAAATAAGATGTTTATTTTAAGATACACATATCATTAGAAAATAATATAAAAAGATTATTAATACAAAGAACAATCAATAATATATTAATAAAAAATAATAAATTTGAAATAAATTTGAAGGATACGCGTGCGAAAGAACACTTATGACATTTCATTAATTTAAACATATTATTTAAATATATAAAATATATTTAATAAAAATTTAAACATTAAAAAATACGTATATTTATATTTAAAAAAATTAATTTTTAGTTTAAATCAATAGGAAATTTTAGCGTAATTTGTCGTTGAATTGTCTTACATACGTTGCAATTTGAAAGCGTGCCAAGAATGTTGCTTGCAATTGTTGCTTGGCTTATTAATGTGAAATTAACGAGAATATAATGCGTTGCAATTACAGTAAGTCCAGTAATGCACGTCTGTGATAAATAAGTTGGCGCGCTGCCAGTTGATTGCACCTAAATTTTGCAACTGAATTGATAAATTGAAAACTTTAAAGTCTTTTTATTCGCATTATTTCAATGTCTACGTGTTTAATGAGTACGTTATTAAAATGAAATTAGCGATAGCAAATTTAATAATGTACGAATATTATCGTCAAAGAACAAAGTTATCACTTCGTTGCCTTTATTATAATGTTATAGGAATTTATATATAAATATATTCTGAGATTAAATTGCAAAAACAATGAAATCAATTATTCTCGTGACTATGTTTATAGAGAAAGGTCGGTATTTGGGTTCGCCTTGCGACCTCGAGTGCAATCCCGAGCTACTGCACGTATTCTGTGATTCGATCACTGGCTTCTGCGAGTGCGAAAAGTTCTACCCTGTTCGTCTTGGGCCTACTAAGGGATGTGCCAAACGTATGTATAAAAGCGGCTTTAGTAGCCCTCGCACACCTAACAAGTAGGTCGTTCCGATATCATAACTTCCATGGTAACGGTCGGTGAAAATAAATATTCGCACGCTCCTGATGACCTGAATGAAGTACAAGTGGTGTGAAAAGACTTTGCGCATTCATTTATTTTCTGCATCAAAATGCAAAGAACGCAACATTTCTAAACAAACCTTTAAAATTATTGCACTTCATTGTATTGTATTTCATGCATGACTCTCAATATTTAAAAAAGATAATTCTTGTTAAACGTTTATTTGATTAAAAATGCAAGCTAAAATAATTGTAAATTAAACAAATGTACCAAAAAATACAATATTAACATATATATAACGAGAAAAATTTCGAGAAAAAGCAAAGTTCTATCAATAGTTTGGGAAAAGATTGAGCGCATCATATATTTAAGTAGATAAAACTTTGATTAACTTCTTATTGAATAAAAGATACGTTTCTCAATAAATGAAGTCGTTTCAATCAATCGATTCTTACTTTCAGCCAAAAGACTCGGAGAGCAGTGCTTTTATCGCGCGACGTGCACTTTTGCGGATCAGCATTCGACGTGCATCCAAGTTCAACACAATGCAGTCTGCGACTGTGAGGAGGGATATCACAGGGTTGCTCTTTCTAGGCCTAATAAGAAGGTTTTCTGCGCAGAGGGTATATCATTCATATTTTTCTGAAATATTCCTATAATTTTATTTCGAGATCAATTTATGATTAAGTTCCCTTAATCGTCGCCGTTATTTATTATATTTTATCATATAAAGTTAACGAGAAGTCTTTCTAATATCCGATATAACTGCGATTCATTACCATAAACACTAAAGTAAATGTTGTCACTGGAAACCTTGAGAACCTTGAGAAAATTTATTTCGATATCGATCCGCGACAAAGTCAACGAGCCGCGTCCTCCTTAATTCGCCGTAATCTCCACCGATAGATCTGGTGCTGATAACTACGGACCTCCCGACCCTACTTTGCATCGCATCGGGGATAGCCATCTTCACGGGAATGATATGCTTCGTGCTCAAACTATTCAGTCGGGCGAGGTATTCAAGGCCGCGGCATTACGCCAACGCCAATCATGCACCACCCATGCTGTTTTCCAGCGACACAGGTAACTAATGATGATCAATTAATGGGGAGATTTTGCAGAAAGAAAGATATCACGAAACAGAGAAATTGCAATTATTGCAATTGCAGAAATATGTTAATGCTCATGTGAGATATTAACAATAATGACGCAAGTAGTGATCCGATTTTTATTTACTCTTTGCAATCAAATTTTTTACTAAAATTTTAAAAATTTGACAAAAATAATATAATTCTCTAATATTTTTTTAAACAAAAAAAACTTAGATTTAGTCTCAATCAATGACAGTACTTAATTTTTAATATGATATTTTTTTAATATAATTTTACAAATATGCTTTTATATAATTAGATTTTGTTTTTTTTCGATTCTTTTTGCTCACGTTGAAAATGTTTATTCCGATTAGGAACAATTGATATCATTTTATATAACAATTTAAAACATTGTTACAGGATTAATACTGTTTAAATTAACAATTTGATATAGCCAAGGAGATACACGTATATATACAGATATAATGATTTTGCAAAAATGAATGAAACACATTATATATTTATAATGCAATTATTTTTTATCGATAAAATTATCGATAAAACAAACTAATTATTCTGCTTAATTTTCATAATTTTTCTAAAACACTGCATTGCTTAATGTACTTTTATATTATACATACAACACGATTCACATATAAATCTTCTCTTCACACATAAATCTTTTATATATATTCAATCTCCTATGTATGTATTCACAATAATACTTCTTCTCTTTCGTGGAAAACCTACTTTTACTTCTACAAAATCAATAAAAGATATCTATATATCGATAAGATGCATAATATATTCCAAAGAGAAATCTATTTTCGTCTTACTTCGTCACTTCCGACGTCACGGATCAAACTATACTTCACGAAACCAAATTCAGCAAGAAAATAAAATCTTCCAAAAATAATTTCAAGCAATATAAAAGAATTGTTTCAGCCACACATTAATGTACATATGCACGCGCACACGCATATCAAGAAGTTAAATATATAGATATTTCTTTCATCAAAAAATAATCTGAGAGCTGAAAAAATTAATTATTTTGTAATCCACAAATTATTTCAAAGCAATGATAACTTTAAAATTTACGCGCAAAAAAAAAAAAATATATATATATATATATATATATACATTATTGCATTTTTTCCTTTATACATATAATTTTTTAAATTTTAATAAGACAATTTTTAATGATTTTTGTAATTTAAATTTTCTCGTATGATTATATGTGGCACTAGAATATATTAAAACTATTAAGTCATATACTCTGCTATCAGTACATCCAATATATTCGAGCATTTGAGGTATCCTTATCCGAAACGTTGCGGAAACGTTATCATATTTCATTTAAAAGGTCAAATGACACATTCATCACGTTTATGAATGCAAAAAGACTAAAATTATTTGCAATTTATGATATCGTGTAGCACATACATATATCCACATATGCGAAAAAGTAATTCAGAAAATAATTTCACAGGCATACCGCTGACTCTACACGGACGACCGTCCTCGCGATCGAGTCAACGGAGTAACAGCGCCGGGCCTCTTAGTTGCGCGTTCACCAGGAGACCCAGCAGCGGTGGCAGCCGCGGACCATTGGTACCAGCATCCAGAGCAGGTGCGGCACGGGCCGCCGCTATCTTGCTTATATCGTGTCACCTTCAAGCGACCAAAGGCAACAACAAGCATCGACGTACTCTTAGTGATGTAGCTGAAGGATCGTCCGACGGCCTCGGTAGACGATCAACGATCTCTTTCTATCTCTGTCTCTCTCTTTCACTCTCTCTCTCTCTCTCTCTCTCTCTCTCTCTCTCTCTCTCTCTCTCTCTCTCTCTCTCTCTCTCTGAATATCTCACATTCCATCGTATAGATACGAATATGCCCTTTTCCCTCTTTGACGTTCGCTCCGTCTTCCTGTTTGCTTATCGATCCGCTCATCAAATTACATCAAATACCGCGAATTCCATTGGTAATTACGCGATTCGAGTTATATGAACGTGAAACGAGGGTGCAAAAATATTGCCTGCTTTCGTTAGGAGATGTCGTCGACATTATTATCATTGTGTACATTCACACAAGTGTTATCCTGGCAGTAATAGATTCATTCAGTGTTCTCGTCGTGACTATGTGTATTAATTATGTTTCTCTAGTTCTTTCCTGATACTTCTCCATATTTACGTTTCGTTTCTATGCTCGTGAACGCTTCTTGTGCTAGTAACGATGGTAACTATACGGAAAGAAAGATTAATTATAAATGACTGATGGTGTGTACCGCGGTAGCAATGATGCTTCATGGCAAATCATATCATTGTCGCTATTACATGGTCATGATAACTGGCTGTTGTCGATAGGTGTTTTAGATATTCGCATTTCGTCAAGATCTCGATACCCTTGGTAACTTCGTCCACAATGCGTTTTATTCGCTGGACAAATTTAATAGTTGTTCTACAAAACACACATGTAATATATAACATTAGTTGAATATATGCAAGAGAAACTTTTCAACATTGGATACAATCGTCCTCTTCTAACTATTTTCGTTAATTGCATTTAGTTGTTCTTACATCATCGTAACACAATTGTTATTTTCTGTTTACGCGCTATTTTTATGAGTATCAGTTTTATGTACATATACATGTACATACCTAATTCACGATGTTCTTTCCTCCTAAAAATAAGAAATTTATCAGCTTCTCAAATTAAAATAAACAATTATAAAAAATTACGGTGTCTCTTTGAAAACCGTATAGACATTAGTTCTATATCCGCGAAAAAAATATGAGATTGCAAATAAAATGCAGCACAAGTGTGTTACGAGATAGCAAGATGGCAGCGGCCGATTTCGTTGCTCGTATATGAACGAATGTTTTCTGGTAAGACTTAGAAGAGATACGAAATCCTTACGCACTAGCTAGCTCGCTGCACACACGTACACACACATATATACTTATACATATGCATAAGTACATACAAGTATTAATATACGAGGCCAGTTTATCGGTATAGATATGAAATTTGTAAAATTACTAAAAATCTTTCCTCGATGGTAAAAGTCGACCAAAACTGGCAATCGATTGATTGCCAGTTTTGGTCGACTTTTACCATCGAGGAAAGATTTTTAGTAATTATTACTGGCGAACCTTAAGGATTATTATCTGTTGTAAAATTACTATTGTCTGCAGAATTAAAGTTGAAGGAAACAAATGTTCAATCATTTGACATACTCTTGATTTTCTTGCCGGAAAACTGAAGCTCTCTACACAGATACACATATGTACGTACATAAGTATATACGCGACACGTACACACGCATACAAAATATATATATAAATAATATATAATATTTTTTAGAATAGCTTGCTTTGCTAGCTTATATATTTCCATAAAAAGTTGCTTTTTAGATGTGTACCTCACATCGTAAAATGCGCCTGTGTGTGATATAAAAATATGCATTTTGATAACCTTGCGAATATTACGTGCAAATTACATCTTTTAATAGATTTTTATCGATGTTTGATGCTGTTCGTTTAAAAAAAATTATACGTAATAATAATTTTGTAACTAGTATGTTTTAAATTTTAGCAGATATTTACAATATAAAAAAAGAATTTTGTTAATATTATTTAATTTGTAAATAATTTTATTATTATTACAATTTACTATATTTCATTCATATATCATCATAATTTGTAATATTATCTATTTTTTAATTGAAAATTTGTACTGTTTACATAAACCCGATACCACTTTCCTCTATTTAATTCGATTTATCACATGCATGAATTACTTTACAAAACACCTGCAATTATATTACAAAATACACAATTATACCAAAAATATTTTCATAATCAAGTTTCATAGTCAAGTAAGAATTTTTAAAATAAATTTAGCATGTTTATACGATACCTAAATCCTTTTTTTTTTTTAAAGAAAACATCAAAAACAGACAAATACATATTTAATAATCCATGGCTATTTTTACTCTCATTCTCGTATATTCATTCACATCCCTATTTGCTCAATTTGTAGCACTACATTTCTTCGCAAGCTTCTCTACTCCCACTGCTTCATCGAATATTTATCGCTCCGATAAAGGTATCGCAAGAATATATATATTACAATCTCGCACTTTAGAAATTTACAGTCTTAGAAAGTTCAGCTTAGAAATTATCTATTGTAATAGATTATTTCTTCCTTTCGACGTTATATTTTTTCTAACGTAGAAAATAAAACTAATCATAGAGACTACATTGTATCTCTACGTGTAATTCTTCTCTTCGCGTAGGTTCCCGCCGTCCTAGTTTAGCGTCGGTTCATAGCTCGACCTCCTCATCTCGTAGCTACAGTGCCCGTCGACTCGAGAAGGAGCGAAACGACAAGGAGCAACGCCAAGTGCTTCAGGAACTCCGACTGGCGAAGCAGCGGGATCAACTGCAGCAACAGCAACAACAGGTGGTGCCGACGCCTAGTCCTAGGACACCCCATTCTACAGACGAACTGCTGCCTGCGGTCGAAGAGGGAAAGGAAGTTTTTTACAACGATGTAAGTAATTTCAATCTTGCTAGAGACGCCTATCGCAATCCGTCGTCATCATCATCACCATCATCATGTTAATAGAACGATTTACAATTGCTATCGAGTTTTAAATGAGTAAATCGCTTTTGCAGCAGGTACCGACGACTTCAGATGTATCAGACACCATTCCGACGATGACGACGACCATGACGACGACGATAACAACTTCCAGTGTAATAACAACCCGAATGGGTGAGATTGCGCCTATGACAACGCCAACGACGCCCGTTTTTGGCACGAGCGTTGCGCCACGGGCTTCCGATGACATTTTTCAAGTGTAATCTTCGTCAAAAGTACACATGATGAAGTCAATGGACGTACAATTTATTAACGACCTTTTTATCGCATTTGCAAAAACCAACCGCAACGTAAAGCTGGAGGTGTATACGTAAAAGGAGCACAATCACTTGCTCTTAATACAAGAAACTCTAAAATAAATAGGCATGCACAAATATCGAAACTAAGCTACATTCATACTCTGTCTACATTAAAAAGTTAACTTGTTTGTAACAGAATGATGAATAATAATTTTCTTCTTCAACAATATGTATATGCACGAGAAAGCGATATTCACGTAATGATTAACTTTCTTATTTCGAAATCTTTTTCCGAAAATTAAGAGTTTGTATTTAACATTATATATTTATATTATTATTTTAAGTATTACATTTTGCAATAAATTCCCAAAATAATATAGTTGATATATATTTAATCTGGATAATTTAATTACGAGCTCTTTAAATTTAAATCTTCTTTTTCGCACTACTGGAAATTGATATTTCGCTGACTTTGTAATGTCAATAGAGTATTAATGTAAAGGCACTTTCTAAGTGAATGTACTTGGGCACAAGTGTACTTAAATGAGTTATAGAGGGGGTGAAGACATAATAAAACATATTTTTACTCGGTACTTGCACAGACAGATAAATATTGCGAGAATGCAGCTGGGCATTCAAAAAAGAGCAAGAATTAATAACGTAATTAAGCGAAGCAATCAACATAATGACAGATAATGTTTCTATTTGAATGGCTTGATAGGTATAGACAAAGATATTGAAACTGTTTATAATGTCTGATTGTGAGAAAAGTGCATTTAAGCTTAGGTACTTAATATATTATGCAAGGAATCTTGACATTGATGACAGAATATTCCGATTATAAGCAGAGAACGAGAAAAAAATCAGCGTCTCAATGCTTTGAAATTATTAAACAACAACAACTGGACTACAATATCAGATAAAAATTTTACAAAACAAATTTTAGAAAATTTTGTTTGTAATATGAAAATCGTACATTTATACTACATAATTGAATTTCTTTTGTATCAAAATATTTTTTGATTGCACAGAGATTTATAATGCTGTTCGATTGTGAGAAAAGTGCATTTAAGCTTAGGTACTTAATATATTATGCAAGGAATCTCGACATTGATGACAGAATATTCCGATTATAAGCAAAAAACGAGAAAAAAACCAGCGTTTCAATGCTTTAAAATTATTAAACTGGGCTACAATATTAGATAAAAATTTTACAAAACAAATTTTAGAAAATTTTGTTTGTAATATGAAAATCGTACATCCCAGTAAGCAAAAAATCATTGCTATAACGTTATTATTGTTGTCAAGTATATAGTTTTTAACATTGTATGCAACATCATTATGAACAAACTTTGACATTGATTTAGAGGTTTCGGTAATGTTGAAATTAACGTTTTTAAAATATTTTATTAATATTTTGAGCAATATATGTTATTAAATAATATTTTTAAAACATTTATAAAACATCAGTTAAAATATTTTTTAGAATATTTATTAATAATATTTTAAACATATATTTATATATATAAAACATTATATCATAACGTTTAGAAAATTTATATAAAATCAACATTATAAAATGTTGATTAAATATTTCTTGCTTACTGGGATTTATACTACATAATTGAATTTCTTTTGTATCAAAATATTTTTTGATTGCACAGAGATTTATAATGCTGTTCGAGTTCAGAGAAGACTATTTTTACAAATCAACTATATTAGAAATGAATTACATCAAAAAATTCATAAGAATTCAATTAATTATTAAATTAATTAAAAACGATTTTATATAATTTACATATAAAAACATATACATGCCACTGTATAATTACATATCAAAAATCATTTGAAAGGATTGGTTCGCCTAAAACAACATTACTATAACAATGCCTCGTAAACCTTTTTGATTCTGATCTTTGATATCAATATAATCGTACTTGATACAAGAATATAATAATGATTATTCTCGTGTTTATCAAGATGAATTATATTATTATCTAAAAAGTTCGCGGTTAAACTAGAAATCATTTTGGTGTCAATATATCTGTTTATTACATGCTTACATATAATCGTTATATAATCATTTGCTTAAGTCAAGTTGTATAAAAGTCACACATGAACTTGTGAAATTTTTTTATCAGAGTGTGACTACATATCAGCAAGTCCTAAAACACTATTCGAATATAACATAAACATCGTTGAAAAAAATGGAAAAATCTCCTATCCGGATTTAACAAATAATAATGTCATTGTAAAAATTATAAGACTCACGCTGCATTGCCGCTATAGCAGATTTTTTCAATATAAACATTCTATTGATTTTTAGATATTAAAAAGAAAACTTTTGATTTGTTTATTTATTAAATGTGTATGCGCAATGCGATATGCATAAGTTTTGTTTGTACCTTTTACACAAAGTAGAAACTTCAATTACTTATAAATAATTATATTGTTTTATTTGTAAAAATTAATTCAATTAATTAATTTATATCTCTATATAAGATATTATATATATATATATATATATATATATTTTTTTTTAATCAAAATAATGAAAGAAAAATTTTATTTTCAAAGAAATACAAATTCAAAATAAATATAAATTTTATTATAATTAACTTTTCGAATACTTCGTCGTTTAAAAATTTAAATAGTGATTTATGAAAAAGCAGTGGGATCTTTTTATTACAATCGTGTCATATTTCATAATTTATGCGATGCGAATTGCGTGGCTCTAATTACCATAGTTAACATAATCATAATGTGCATTTAAAGATCGTTTCACAAGCCTTCAAAGTGTAATCTTTGGTCGCTAGAGTCACATAAAGTATATAAAATGTAGTGATACAAATCATATTAGGAGAAGTTATGATACGATGCAATCATGTTCGTAATAAAGATTTACGGAGTCAGATGGAGAATCAGTCAGAGAAATTTATTATAGCAAAACGTATATCGACATTCTCGTGTTCGGATAATTTACGCTGCCTTTTCCGAATAAATGATTAAAAAAAATGAATGTACTGAGAAAAAGAACGCGTCGCGTTAAACTCCAGGATGTTCTTACTCTCATACATGCTGCATAGCATGAATGCTGTATAGTCATATATTTACACGCATGTACACTTGACACAGAGATAAAATACCTATACCTACGTACGTGTTCGGCAACGATCGCACCTGATTATTAGGCTCGATCATAGTCGATCGATCTATTATCATTAATGCTACAGAGGAAATATAAAGTTATATCACACGCAGCCCGTATATTTCTCTGAAATATTCAATACTCGACTTGCCGCCTGATTTATAAAAGTCGATGTACAATGTTATCGTTTTATCCCGATTTTAAATGTTTACTGTATCATAAGATTGTAATATAGTCGTTGGGCCAAATAAAGCTCGTTTTTCGATATAAGCATATATGCAAGTAGATGTGATTATTTCTTTTTACGCTGTACAGTATCAAAATCAGCAAAACATTAGCAGTAGAAATTAATTTTGCTGTTTAAGCCACTATTAGCTTTCTTTAAATTCAATAGTAATTTATCAGTCAAAGAATTTATAAATTAAACCAACGAGAAAAATAAAGTTTTGCAAGTAAAAGAATTTCTAAACCGAAGAAAGTATATCGAGAAATTCTAAGACTTATATTGCTGCTTGAATCTCATTTCAAGAATGTATTTATGATTTATTAGATGAAATAGATTGAAGATTTATAAACAAAGACGGTTCAATAATATATTAAGACTGTACCTACTCAGTTGATATAGCCGAAAAAAATTTCTTATGTGAAATCTAATTTGAAATTCGAGGAAAGATTTTCAACGAAGAATTATAAAATGCTGTGCACTACATTATGATATTTTTGTACTCTGAATAATGGCAAAATTAATAAAATGATGATTTTTTCCATAAATCAAAATGATACATCGGAAATGATATTTAATGGAAGCGTTCTTTAAGTAATGGAAGTTAGTCTTGTTAACTCAATTATGATACTTATATATATTCGCATATCAATCTTGCGAGCAATTGGTTAACAAAGAAAACAGATAAAAAATAAAATAAAATAAAGAGACAACTATCACCTATTAGATTTAGTTTGTAACTAATAATCGTAAGCCGCTTTCCTAAATATTGAACAACTTAATCAAAGCAATTTCAAGCAAATTGGCGACAATTTGTGGACAACGCTATCTGGGTGACGATAAATATAAGTACGTCATGTAATATTAAGAGCTTGAGCACAAAAACTGTCGTAGTCGTTTCCGACGAAGTCAAAGATTTAAATCGAATCAAAGATCAATACGCTATGCTATAGAGATCGAATATATACTTTTAGTTTATAAGCGTTAATAAGATATGCTAGAGATAAATCAACACATGTTGATTTATCTCTTTGAGATCTTATTGTGCTCATTAAACTAAAAGTATATATTCGATCCGTATTGATCTCTCAAGACACATTGCAGTCACAGTAAATTTCTCGGAAAGAGCACATTCAATAAAATATAATATTTGTGTATTAGTTCCTGAACGTTGACGACACATTCGCAAAAATGTCCTAAAGTTATTACAATAATTCTATTACTTGATTCAAAATATATTCCGTTCATTATAGCTTATTGCGAGGTGCAAAAAAGTTCTTCACTTTTGGTAAGATCTTCAAAAACAACACACATATATAGCTATAAATACAAATTCTATAAACTCCTTAGCAAAGTATTTCATAGATATATTTAATATAAAAATTAAAATTACTATTTTATCACATATATTATTTTTTATATCATACATATATATAATATACATTAGTTGCTTTACTTTTGATATTTTATTATAAACTATTAATTCATATATTTTATATATTTTTTTACATATTTCGTATGTAAAATAACGTTAAGTTAGTATAATATAAAATCATTTGTAAAAAGAGCATGTGTCCCAAAAAGTTAATTGAAGGTTTTCATTATTCAAAATCTTGTGCATTGTTAATGATATGTATAGTGTTTCCCTAAAAATTGACTTAATTTACTAAAACCACGTTGTGTTTAGGGCAAATATCACGCAATCTGAACTTCGTTAATATTATAATAGTAATGTCCTATATTTTGTATCTGATATACCAGGGAAAACATACTAGACTTTCAGAATATCTCTAACATTCTTCCTAGAAAAATTGAAAATACTTCAACGCTTTTTAAAAAGTACTCTATATCAAAAATATAATTTTGTTCTAATTTACAGATATAAACGTATCAATCAATAAGGAAATTGAAGGCAAAAAAATGGAAGAAGAAATCTCTGTGCAAATAGAAAACAACTCGCCCTCAATAGAGCACACTTTACGCCCGATAGTATTTTTTTCTTGGTTCCTTGGAGTCGGCGTTGCACGTCCGCGAAAGTGTCCTAAAGCTGTCACGTTAATCCTACGTATTATTCACTTCGGAATATGTTCCGTCATCGTGGCTTATGGTGCGATAGATTTCTTCACCTTCGGTAAGGTTTTCAAAAGTGACATATACAAGATTATGTACTACATGAGCAAAGTGATGTCTTATGTGTCGGCGTATTACTACGTTTATCACGGCGTCGGGCAGTATGAGAAGTGGCCTGAATTAATGAACAAAATGAAGAATGTCGATCAGAAGATCAGAAAAGAAACGTCTATGAACGATCGACCGATAAAAATTGTCGAAGTGCTGGCTATTTTCGCAACAATTGTTTGCGGTCCACTATTTCTAATCATACACGCTCTATATTATTTTTTCACGCGTCCCGAAGATATTTTCGCATCTGACTTGCTACTTTATTATACGATAGCTCAGTCATTGATCAACAGCTTCATATTTGACGTTATCGTCTATGTGCTATATCATAGATTTCAAACGATAAATGAATTAATCGTGCAATTAAATGACAGATTTAGTGCACCATTGATTACGCTTAAACTCAGATGTTTTAGAGAATTACACACGGGTAAGTGCTCGTATTTTATTAAAAATATTTTTACAATCTCTTTGAAGATAAATATTACTTTAAAATATTAATTGTGGAATATTACTTTATTAATTATAATATATTAATACTATTTTATTAATTTTATTATTATTAATTTTTAATATTTTTAAAATCTTTTAAAGTAATATTCTCTTCGCGATAATTTAAATATTATTCACGTAAGACAAAAGATAGGTAATTCGATGTGTAGTACAATATTGTGATATTACATTGTTAAATTAAGAAGATAATTATGTTCTACAGGAATTTGTGATCTGGTCACGATGGTAAACGATATTCACGGTTTTCAACTTCTTCTATTCTCGGCAAATTGCTTCACCATGGTCGTAGCTGTGCTATTTAGAATTTACATGGGCGTTGTAGAAAAAAATGACGCATTTATGCTGATCAATAATATACTTTGGTTTTTATATGCCGCACAATTCGGCCTAATGTGTTGGATTTGTACACTCGCGCGTCAAGAAGCCGACAAAACTGGAATAATTATATATAAGATTATATTAAATTGCAACAATGTGAATATTCGTAAACTAAACGGTACAAGAAATCAACTAAATCTAGAAGTACCATCAGAAATCCAAGACGGCGAGCAAAATTTTAATAGAAGTAGCAGTTATAATAATCTAAACTATATTGTTATAGAAAATTTGCGTAAAAACCTGGACAAAGATTGTGTCAGAAACGAGATCAATGATTTTTCTATTCAATTACAGCAGCATCGAGTAACAATTACAGCTTGCAACTTTTTGAAATGAATAATGCTCTACTTAGTGGTGTGAGTATACAATTTTATAATAAATATATAAATTTCTTTGGAAATTATAATATATAATTTACAGCACTATTAAAACAAATTTCTTTTTCAGTTCGTCGGTGTAATTACTACTTATTTAATAATTCTCGTTCAATTTTATCGACCCGAAAATTAACGCAATTCAATGGAAACTAAATAAAAATTATCATATTTCAAATCGCACTAAAAAATAGGAAAATATAAAATTTGTGTATATATATATATATACCAACATAATATATATTAATTTTTAATATAAATATTTATTATAATATATTAACTTCTAATATAAATATTATAACAAATTTATCATATTATATTCTTTAAAAAATAAAAAATGTTATTTTACAAGAAATAAACTAAAATGACTGTCAAACATAAATAATAATAATACGCATTGTAAAATAAGATGAAATGAAAAGTTGTGCGAGAAGAAAAAAACAGAAGATTCAATTTAATCGACTTCTTCGATGGTTGGTCCGGCACCTCCGGTACCACCGGCACCAGGATTAGGTCCTGCTCCTCCAGCACCAGGGAAACCACCAGGTGCTCCACCGCTTTGATAAAGTTTCGTGACGATAGGATTGCAAATAGCCTCCAATTCTTTCTGCTTGTCAGCAAACTCTTCCTTCTCCGCTAATTGATTGGCATCCAACCATGAAATAATTTCGTTGCACTTGGACATAACTTTTTCCTTATCAGACGCATCAATCTTATCTTTAACTTTTTCATCCTCTATCGTGCTCTTCATGTTAAAGCAATACGATTCAAGAGCGTTTTTAGCACTAATCCTTTCTCGTTGCTGTTCATCTTCTGAGCGATATTGGTCGGCTTCATTTACCATCCTTTCTATCTCCTCTTTCGATAAACGGCCTTTGTCATTGGTAATTGTGATTTTATTTTCTTTACCTGTAGATTTCTCAATCGCAGAGACATTCAATATACCTATAAAATAAAATAGAAAAATAAGAAATGCGTTAATTAAATTATTAAATAATAGATTAAATATTTGATTGTAAAAAAACCTCAATGTTTAACTTACCATTTGCGTCAATATCAAAAGTAACTTCAATTTGCGGTACACCCCTAGGCGCCGGTGGTATTCCAGTTAATTCAAATTTGCCGAGAATGTTGTTATCCTTGGTCATCGCTCTCTCTCCTTCGTAGACTTGAATAAGTACTCCCGGTTGATTGTCGGAATACGTGGTAAACGTCTGAGTCTGTTTCGTTGGTATCGTCGTGTTCCTCTTGATCAAAGTTGTCATGACACCGCCAGCGGTTTCAATACCCAATGACAACGGAGTTACATCCAACAGAAGTAAATCTTGAACCTCCTCGGACTTGTCACCGTGCAAAATAGCCGCCTGAACTGCTGCGCCGTAAGCAACGGCCTCGTCTGGATTAATTGATTTATTCAGCTCCTTGCCGTTGAAGAAATCTTGAAGTAACTTCTGAATCTTTGGTATCCTGGTGGAACCACCGACTAGAACTATACTGTGAACTTGAGCCTTGTCCATCTTTGCGTCTCTAAGTGCTTTCTCGACGGGTTCAAGTGTACTTCTGAATAGATCGGCGCAGAGTTCCTCGAATCTAGCCCTGGTGATTGACGTGTAGAAATCAATACCCTCGAACAAGGAGTCAATCTCGATGCTTGCTTGCGTCGACGAGCTCAACGTTCTCTTCGCCCTTTCGCAGGCTGTCCTCAAACGTCTCAGGGATCTTTTGTTAGTGCTCAAGTCCTTTTTGTATTTCCTCTTGAATTCTTGCACGAAGTGATTCACCATTCGATTGTCGAAGTCCTCGCCGCCAAGATGCGTGTCGCCGGCTGTAGATTTCACCTCGAAGATGCCATCCTCGATTGTCAGAATTGATACGTCGAAGGTACCACCGCCCAAGTCGAAAATCAGGACGTTCTTTTCGCCTGCGGCCTTCTTATCGAGACCGTACGCTATCGCGGCTGCTGTCGGCTCGTTTATTATCCTGAGAACATTCAGACCAGCGATGGCACCAGCATCCTTTGTCGCCTGCCTCTGAGAGTCGTTGAAATACGCTGGTACAGTAATAACGGCGTTTGTCACGGTCTTTCCCAAATACGCCTCCGCTGTCTCCTTCATCTTCGTTAAAACCATGGAGGACACTTCCTCGGGGAAGAAGGTCTTCGTCTCGCCTTTGTACAACACCTCGATCTTTGGTTTGCCTCCGTCATTGACTACCGTGAACGGCCAGTGCTTCATGTCACTCTGTACTGTTGCATCATCGAACCGGCGACCGATCAATCGCTTTGCGTCTTTAGAGAGATAAAAATTATAATATATTATAAATTGTTTTTTCTTCAAAGAACGTTTCTTAAAACATGCCGTGCAACTAGCTGAAGAGGATGTGGATTGTATTGGATTCTGAAGGAATGATTGCTGAACATTGCCTAGAATTATCACCTCGTTAAAAAAAATATTCAATATTTGCCAGCTTTGATATTTATAATTATAATAAGAAAATGTATAATTATAATAAATTATAATTACAAAATTTATAATTTAAAATTTATTAATTAAAAATTTATAGTTATAATCAATTATATTATAAAATTTACTTATTATAATTATAAAATTTATTATCAGAAAATAATTTTGTTTAAAAAAATTTTTAAATAATATACTTACCAATTTTGTTTGTAAAAATTGTAAAAATTGTAAAAATAAATCTAAAAGATTTATCACAATAATGTGCGTCAAACATAATATGCATGTTTGTAAAAATGTATTACGTAAATGTAATATGTTCATTACGAAAAAAATCAATAAATTCGATATTTAGCGAGATTGCTTATTCGATAATAGCGAGAAATATATCGTATGAATCATTTTGATTTCGATCCAACATGAATCGGTAAATAGTGTTTATCGCTGGCATAAATTAGGATTATATAAAACTGACGTGTCGTCAGAACGTTCGACTATAATGTAAAGGATGAAAATGAGCGGGCAGAGGGAGAAAATTGCGTGCACAGTGACTAGATGCTATGGAAAGATTGTGCAAGGTCACTAGTGCAGTAAAATACACAGTCGAGGTGCATTACGTGTAAAACACAGTTTCAAGTTCAATTCCAAAGAATCGAAAAAAATTCACAAATGACAATCTTGATTTAAAATAAATTCTTTTGTGTCTAATACGTCAAAGTTACAACGTACATGCATGTTTAATTAATATAATCTTTAAAATCATTAAAATATCAAGTATCAAAACTCGCTAAATTACTAACGTGCGATATAAGTATCGCATTGCATAAAAATTTTTCAACTCACCGAAGATGGTGTTGCTGGGGTTCATGGCAACCTGATTTTTCGCCGCATCGCCGATCAACCTCTCGGTGTCGGTGAAGGCTACATAACTTGGTGTAGTCCGGTTACCCTGATCATTGGCGATGATTTCAACTTTTCCGTGTTGGAAGACACCCACGCAGGAATATGTGGTACCTAAGTCAATTCCGACTGCCGGTGCTTTCGACATCGTGTTATCCTTATTCTCTCTTATTACAAGCAATCTCTCAATGCGATCGAATACTGAAATTGAAATATATGATGTCAGCTATTATATGTGCATCACGATGAAAAAAAACAGCTCAATTAATTCAATTCCGAGAAAAGTGAAGTTGGCGGAATATAGTCGCGTATTTCGCGCTCGAAATAGTGCGACGCAATAGACTTGTTTCTCGAATAATCGATTGACAATTAAGTGAACAACTTCATCGTTTGCAGAATTATTTTTACAATTATAAAAATGTATTACGGTACATTTCTAAATTGTTGTAAGAAAAATTGTGAAATTTTCATCATTTACTTTAGTGGATAACCTTGTAAAAACGTTTATTTTCTACGATTAGTTTGCGATGCGTCATTGCAAGGTTTGTCTAGAAATTACGATGACATGTCGTGCGGACAAATAACATAAAACTACAAAGATTCTCATTCAAAGATAATGTATTCTAGTTATATTATTCCAAACAAATTCTGATAAAATTGCACTTCCGCTTTTTTGCACAATTGAATTACAATTTCAAATTATATAATAAAACGAGGGAAAAAACACATTATTTATACATATTTAAATCTATTAAAATATAAATAAGTTTTGATACAAAAAAAAACTACGTAAAAATTCGTATTTAAACAGCTTCAATTGGATAAATGAAAGATTTCACGGCAAGTGATGCAATTTTCAGAAAAAAATTAACTTACATTACCATACGATTATTTCGTTAAGAAATGAATTTGAAGTTGAAAATACACGGAATATTCACCTTGTCGTAGCTTTTCTGTCGTAGACGATTTATAATCTGCGAGTCGGCGCTAAAAAATGTGGGCACTTGCGGAACACCTTACTCCCGTCACGTTCGTTCGAAACTGAGAACGCGGGCTTGCACCGCGCTTTTAAATATACCGAATCGCCCGTTTCGAGAAGCTTCCGCGGATGACCAATCGCGGCGCGGATTCTCGAATCCCCGAGATGCTTCCATCGGCGCATGCGTAGAGAAGGAAGGAGAGACATCGTGCAACGGGATGAAACGACGTAGAAAAATACGGCGCACGATATAGAATATCCACGGCTATAATTAACCGCACGAATCATGTTGCTTTCGATGAAATATCATATCTGGCGCATCAATGAAACAAAGAATATGCTTGTTTGCTAAATATCGATCAGCTGTACAATTGGAATCGCGCTCGAGTATCTTCTAGAAATGGCAAGAAATTGCGCGACAATAACTCGCGTTCGAATATACGAGATCAATCGCGTTTGCGCGGGAAGATTCCAGAAAATGCGCGATTTATCAAAGTAAATTTATGTTTTTATGTTTTTATTCCTACGAAATACGTACTCTATTTTTTCCAATCTTCTGTCCTGGCAATTGATGTTTCGATTCACGCTGATAACCAATCGTAACCTAAATGTGTGAAAATAAATGTTATTATTATTGGTCATTAATTAACAAACTTTTTTGTCATGGCAACAGGAATAGTCTTAGATTATGATAAATATTAATACAATTTTGGCGCAATAAAAACATCTTTCTCTATATCAAAAAATAAAAGTTGTAAATGGAGTAAAAATAATACATACCTAATTTCTTTGAGTATATCAATTAATGGATCGACGAGTTTTTTATTCGATCGAATGTTCGAACAGAATTGCGAAACTACGTGCTCTATTTATTGTAGATAAAGATATTCGTAAAATATATCCTGAACGGCTGTAATTTAAGCAAACAGCTTTACTGAGTAAATTGCACGATAAAAATAACTCTGGCGTTACACAAAATTTAACAGGAAGTTACATCAGCGCTACCTATACGTTGATAAACTCAACTTAGAAGTCGCAATCTGCCTAATCGACTGAAGATAAAAGAAATTATAATATATATATATATATTTATAAAAGAATCAGTTTTTTGCATTTAATTAATTTAATATATATATTATATGTTCAAAGGAAAATTTCGTTGTGTCTTACGCAAATAAAATGATTAATAAAAATAATACAATTACTCAAAGAGATGGGTTCATTATTTATAATTATCATAATGATCGATTCGGGTTCCACAATTGCGATCGTGAGATCTCGTCTGACAAAAATTGAACAGCTGATTCGTATTATAATAATATATAATTAATTTATCCGCTTACATATTCTCTCTTATCGTGACGCGAACCATATATTTCGAGCATCCAATCACGACGTCTCGGCGCTATTCCGTTCTAATGTCAGTATTGGTCGATTAAAGCTGGTGGTTGTCCCTTGTCGGACATGACAAGTTGGCCTTCGTGGCCTGTTTCTTCCTGCTTGATAAGCTGTCATGTAGAAATGCCACGACTGTCGTCGCACCATTAGACACTCTCGACCATCAACTGTGCAATCGAAATGCAATATCATAGTGCGAGGAATAATGATGTGCACAATGTGATATACAATTGAATGACGATTTACGGTTTTCGAGCTCATGCTTTGTGATTGTAAACATTAACTCACGCACTCTCGTACCCAGGTAGCAGCAGGTCTTCCGTTATGAATGCTTAGTAAGTTTTCCCTTTTTTTCCTCTTCTTATCTAGATTTTGTTGTCCTGAAACGCTTGGTTTATCTCACTGATAAGTGGGTTGCATGCAAATCCAGTGGTGAACAATGGCCTTGGAAAGACGAGAATTGTCATTCTCTTAGTCTAAATAGATTCTAATTTCTAACTATTCTAAATCAATATGGTAGTTCATCACCTCTTTGTGTTATTAATAGATATCATGTAAACTAATTTTTTTATAAATCTTGTGAATTTATTTCTTTGTCACTAGTGTCTAAAAAGTTATGGATATTAATTAGATATATTGTCCATGGGCACTATTTGCAAACTTTTCACTTATTAATTGAAAAAGAAAATCTGTAGTTTATTAACAGATTTATTTAAATAATTATTAAAAATCAGTAAAATTAAACATATATTTTAGTATATTTAATTTTTTTGTTATAATGAAAACGTATTGCACTTATATATATATTATTTCAAATTCTTTTGCATATATTCTCTTTATTAATCATTACATTTAATAATATATATTGATTAAAACTTACACAAATTGTTTTATCTTGTGTATAGTAATAGAGGTGCACCAGGTATATCAGGAAATACATTTGATTGTTGGGTTCAAAAATCTAATATGCATGATGATTCTGCTATAACAAAAATGCAACATCAATTCTGGGTAACAAAGCAAGTTTTGTCTCGGAGATTAGGAAAGAAAGAAGACGAATGTATAATTGCTTCGGATGCTGAATTGGATGCAAAGCTAGAGTTGTTTCGCAGTATTCAAGAATCTTGTTCTTACTTACAAAGAGTTATTGACAGATATCAAGAAAGATTATGCAGTGCGTTTTAACACAATTTCTAATAAAGGATAATATATTAATTAATATATTAAATGCTACTCTCTAACATATCTCTATTATATCTTGACTTTAAAAAATTAAGTTATAAGAATAGATTTATATATAATATTATGATAATAAAATAATTTAAATTTTTATTTTATATAGATTTAGCTCAGGAAGAAAATGGAATGGGACGTTTCTTGAAGGATGCTGGGAAACAAGATAAAACTCGTGCTGGCAAGATGATGTCAGCAGTTGGAAAATCCTTATCTTATTCAGGTCAGCAAAGGCTTGCATTAAGAGCTCCTTTGGGTCGACTGTATCAAGAGGTAGAAACATTTAGGCAAAGAGCTATCGAAGATACATTACAAAATGTGCAAGCAATGGAAAAAGCTCGTACAGAATATCGAGCTGCCCTATCATGGATGAAAAATATTTCTCAAGATTTAGATCCAGATACGTCCAAACAAGTAGAGAGATTTAAAAAAGTTCAAGCACGTGTCAAACAGTAAGTTCCATTTTGCACTTTCACTTATAATAAAAGTATAATCACAGATTTAATCTAAGTTCCTCTTCTTTAACCATTATAGTTAATTAAATTACATGTATTGTATTTGTCTTTATAAATTTAATTATATATTTAAAAACCTTTATATCTGTTACAATTTAGGGGCAAAATAATTTTTGACAATCTGGCCCTTGACTGTCTTCAGAAGGTTGATTTATTAGCAGCAGCAAGGTGCAATATGTTCAGTCATGCCTTAGTTTTATACCAAACCACACTCCTGAATTTTACAAAGAAATCTACACAAGCTTATTCTACGATAGCAAACAGCTTTAAAGGCTATCAACATTTTGATTTTACTGTTGTACGAGAACTGGCTGAAACTTCTAGTAAATTGGCACAAGAAACAGGTGGTGATGAGGATAAGTAAGTTACAAAATAAAAATAAATATAAAAGATTGAAAATAAATAGTGTCATCATTTTTGTAATATTAATTTTTATAGATTACCATTTTTTGATATGGATTATCATGATGATGTTGAGGAAGCACAAGAAGCTACTACAAATTCAGAAAATACATCAGAAAAAACTAAACAAACTGAAAAGCTCTTGGATATAGAAAATGAGCCAAAAGATATATTGATACATTTAGATTCGACTACAAATTCTTCGAGCAATGGAATCGTGCATAATACTAATGATGTGGAAAGTGATAAAGGTCTTGAAGAATTCTTTGCAAATCTGAACTTAGAAAAGGATGTTTCTAATACCACTGGACAATCAACTACTAAAACTGAGAAAAATGATCATTCCAAATTTGAGAAAACTTCTGAAGAACAAAAGTTAGCAATGGATATATTTGAAGAGTGCAATACAGATTTTAATTTATCCGATTTACCATTGTTGTCATCAGAAACTCAACAGGAGCAATCATTAAATTTTTTGGCTTCTGAAAGTGCAGCACTATTCGATGAAATTCTAAATGACAAGCAGCAATGTACGAGCAATGATTGGGAAGGCATATCAAATGATACTTTTCTACCACCAAACATTTTGAAACAGAGTTTAGGAGATGCAGCACTAGGTATGGGACAGAAGAGTACCACAACTAATAGCACAGACGACAAAGTAAGCATCTAAATTAATAGTAATAATCCCCTTCTCCTCTTCGTGCCTCGTACGATTAATATCGCAATATTCTTTTCATAGAAAAAGAACAAGACTGGAAAGCAGAAAGGTAATTCGTGGTTGGATTTATTTGCAGAATTGGATCCATTGGCTAATCCAATGGAGAATCTTTCCGGCGATAGTAATGCTTCTGCTTAATTCATAATGCAATTTAATATTATCTTGACACTCTGGTTATTTAATATTTATAACAATAAGGAAAAAACTGATCATTATTATTTATTGCCAATGAATATCATGATGCAGTGAATGCATAAAATTTAATGTTGTTATTTGGTACAAGTTTGTATCTTGTATCAGTATTGACGAATTTGTAAATTTTAAAATTTTTAACATTCCAGATTTCTTTTTAATGGAATTGTCATAAGAATCAAAACTATTTAAATTACATGAATTTTTTCATATAAGCTAGAGACACGTACCAAAGATAAAATTTAATGTTTATTGAACATTTTATGCTAGTCATATATATTTTCTTTCAAATATATATTAAAAAATCTTAAATATAAATAAATTTATTATGGAATTCTTCTAACATAAATATATCCATACAAAGGAATGGACACAAAGTATACTACATAAATATTGTATGCGCTTTCTGTGTTTATTTCAAGTTCTTTTCATGATTTTATTTTTTCTCTTAATTTTTTTTCTTATTGCATAATCAATCCATCTGAAGCCTCTGCTTGTAAACAAATATTGTAAATTAATAGATATCAAATCCATTATTACTTTTAATAAAGTCAAAGAAATTGTATATTTTTTCACAATTACTTTCTGTATTAAATTAAATAAATACTACAAAGTTACAGGCATAGGCTCAGAAATGTCTCAATTTGTTCATCTTATTTATAACTTTCAAGTACTTATACACATCATCAACCGAGGTAATCACAGTATTAATGCTAAAGTCGTAATGTATTTCAAATATAAAAAAGACACTTGAAATCATCCGAAATCTAATCTTCGTCGGTAATACGTTTCAAGTTCAAGTCTCGTAAAATTGCGATAGGGCAGTCTTGACTCTGAAATGGAAATAACAATGAGATTTGTTAATACAAAAGTTTACAATAAGTGACAATAAAATAGTGGGTGGGGCATAATATTTATCTTTCATACTTCTCAAACAATTGGGTGTCTTTCGTGTGACGTAGCTGTTGCAAGATACGATAAATTCCTAATTCTCTTAGACGCGCTTGTCGTTGCGCGGCACCGGGTTCCTCTCTCCAGACTAGATTACATACACAGAAAATCGCTGCGACTTGTAGTTTCACATTGCTATGCATCTACATAAAATATATACATTGTACATATACTATAACATATATATATGTATACAATTAAGACATTTAAAAGATAATTGTTAAATTAATAGATAGAATGTGAATGCTTCGATTTAATCATTTAATGCACACATTTGGCATCACCAAGCTTATGGCAATCAAATTTTTATGCTATTTTATTCTATTGTAAATAAAACAACCGTCCATAAGCATGAACAACGCCGCCTTATTTGTAGAATCCAAAAGAAACAGATATTAATTGAAGTAATGAAATATTGAAGAGAAAAAGTAAAATATTATAATTACGAACCATGTAATCCATGAGTTTCTTAAGCACGTCGTCATTAGCCATAATGTGATCTCTAGCTCGATCACCATCAGCTACATTTGCTAAGATGCAAAGCGCTTGTTCTTTGACATCCGCCGGATGTTCCGGATCTTCCAATACTAGGATAACCGCTTGCATAACATGAGTGGCATGTTCGCCCATTATACGATCTATGTGAGCCTTAGTAGAGAGCAAGTTTCGTAACAGCCCCAGCGTCTTCATCAGAACGCTCAATTCAGGATCGGCCAGAAGGCGAAAGATTTGATCGGTGCCCAAGCACGAAAGTATTTGCGATTTTACACGTTGCTCCGCTTGAAAAGCCACGTTCATTAAGGCCCAAATCCCGTTCAGTCGGAGTGCCGATTCGGGTCGTTTAGTGAGTGAACACAACAATTCTACTCCGCCGGATTCGAGAATTGGTTCTTTGCTCGGACTAAACTCCAATAGTAAATTACATAAAGTACTCGAGGCAACAGTTAATAAATCACCTTCACCTTCGCCTCTACCTATAGTACAATAATTATAACAATGTTAATAGTAACTCATAGTCGGCGTTCGAATACTAATAATAACAGCTAATTATATAAGCATTGATTTCTTTATTCCTTTTCTTCTTTTGGAAAAATGATTTTACAATGTAGATAGAGAAAAGAGAATAGGGATGTATTCACTGTTTTTCTCTACACGCATTAAAAAGCATGTCGTCCTCGTTTCTAAACTCACATATTGATTTTACTTTTTATTTGGAAATACTAAATCGTTTGCTTCTTTGCAAAATATTAATATGACTAATCACGACAAAAAATTTAAAAGATGACGAACTTTTTTGATACGTGTATTTTTATTCAACTACAATTCTCTTGGCTCTTATATAGAATAAAGAAAGAATAATTTACAATATACATGAATACTTCTTTTTGATATTTTTTTTCTTTCTCTTTGATTAAACTGTTCGAAATTTAAAGCTAAATATACCTATACTGTATCTTACATGCAATATATATGCATGCAACATACATGTTTATTAATGTCTATCAATGTCTATTTTAACGTAATCTGTAATATTTTGTTTATTGTAAATGTATATTATCATATTTTACCCTCCAACCCCTTGTCCGCTCCATGTAACAACTGCATAAGCGGCCTCCACACTGCATGATCCTGAAACGTAGTGCGAAGCTGTTGCACACTCCTCGAGAGGGAGTGCAAACATCTAACCGCGGCTAAACGAACGCGGGATCCGCCGGGATCTTGAAGACCAGAGACAACTTGCTCCATAAGACTTTCCGTTTCGATAATACGCTTTCGAATGTCCTCGTCATTAGCACCGAGAGACGCGAATGCTCTAAACGCGGCTTGTCGCATATCTTGCGTTAACGTTGCATCCTGAACCTGGAACAAATGTCGCACACATTTTCAAATAAACGCAACTATAAAAATAATATAAATTTTTTTACTGTACTTTTATCTGTACGTTTATGGTATAATAATTGTGTATTACTTGTGGATGTGGTCTCAGCAACTCCGCTAGTGTCGGTATCAGATGATTACTAATCGACGCTAAACGCTGCAGATCTGTATCAACTTCGGTAAGATACGCAAGTGTCTCGGCCGCGGCGACTCTTTCACGCGGCGGACGGTCTCGATGACACAATCGAACGAGACACGGTAATGCTCGATACACAACTCGCGGATCGGTAGATGGCAACGCACCGGCTCTATGCATGTATGCGATGCATCTTGCAGCTTCGAGCTGTATCAATGAGCTTTTCTCACGTCCCATTAATTGGCCCAGTGCCACAGGCACCAATCTACCATGGACGGTATTGTTTGTGCTGGCTGATGCGACCATAGCTGATACCATGTGATTTTGGTAACACATATTTGCTAAGCAGGCCAGAGCTGGTAATTGAATGTCGGACAGAGGGGAATCCAATTGCATCGCCAACGTTTCCACCGCTCCACCTTTGGACAGAGCGTTTTGCTCTTCTGTCGTCTAATGAATAATTTTACAAATTAGTTTCTTCGTGATTCTAATATCTTTTTTACTTGATAAATTACCCTTTACCTTACATGCCGTGGTTAAAATCGTCGCGACACAGACTTGACAGGTGACGGATCGACTCGCTAAAGACAACAATCGTGGTACTAACGCGGGATCTTGATAAATCGAGTGAACTGGGGCTGCCGCATGTTGGAATACTGTACGCAGACATCGCAAACAGGCTTCGTTCAATTGGTCCAATACTTTTGTCTTGCCATCCATAGAGATCTCAGGAGTCGGTGCGGAAAGCAAGACTTGAAGAAGCAACGGAACTACACCTAAGTCTATAAGCGCCAATACATGCTGGTCTGTGCCTTTAGCTAAAGAGCCCAGTGTTACCGCAGATTCTAATCTTACACGATCTCCCACGGTACCAGACGTATCTCCGAGCAACTGTAAAAGCCGAGGCACAACACCTTGAGCTATAACCGAACCCTTTTGTCTGTTGCTGCCGATCACCGAATTTTTCAGGCATCTGAGAGAAAGAGAGAAAATATCCATGTGCGAAAAGTTAATGCAATTTTTATATATTTAGATAGAGGAATAATTAATATTCAAACTGTCAAACTGTCAAAAAATGTTTGATCGAAGGGCAAACGAATTACGTGACATTCTTAAGGTTAAGTGCAATTAAAAACTCACATAATCGCATCCAGACATTTCTGTGGATCCGGCGAATAGAGTTCGTCGATATAACTCCTGGAACTCTCGATGTCCTGTAAGATCGTGATTTTGTCTTAGGAGTAACGAGGGTATAATAGGGGATCTGCGGGATCTATTGAGAAATGTCAAACGACCGGAGACCGAGTACGAATCCGATACGACGTCGAACTCACCATATATGGCTGCATCACCGAAACCATCTGTAGATTTTTGCGTTCTCACATAAATGTCACGTAAATCCTTTAACTCGATCGATCCCCGCGCGGAGCGACTTCCACGAGGATCAAATCCAGGATTACGCGGAACGTCTGCGACTCGTTCCTCGATCGCGTTCTCGTTCTCGTGTTCTGAAGTGAGCTCAATCTGTCGCCAATGATGCCAACGTCGAAAACGTTTATCCTATATACAGGGTGTTTCAGAACTGCCGGAAAAGTTTCCGTCATTCTGAAACACTCTGTATATGACAGAAAAGTATGTTCGTTTTTTAGTTGCTTTCTTTCTCGTTCCTTTTCTCTTTTACATGAATGAATGAATTTTAAATTATCATTTTTTTAATTAATTAAATAATTATGCTTATGGTAAAATCAGTAAAATCAATTTATGAAAAAACAATAAATACGCGCATAGATAAAAAGATCGATAATCGATCGAAGTGAATCGAGTAATCGAACGATGATTGATGAGAGGTTTTGCTTTTCTTGAAAAAAAAAAAAATAAAAATGATTTTGTATAATTTCAAAGAGAGATGAGATAAATGAATGGAATATAAAGTGTCGAAATAATAATGTGATAAATTTATTTGCATATGTGCGGAGGGCGTTCACGAAATAGCTGACGCGAAACTTCGTAATAATAACCTCTACATATGTTAGAGTTAATTTGTGCCCCATCATAACCAATGACGTGGATATAGGTTAAGCTCTTCTACGCTTATGTATTGCACATGCGAATAAATAAAATCAGTTATATCGGGCACGAATTTTTCGTGAGGAACAATTTGTAAATAATGTTCGAAATCACGGATACACAGAGTGAGTGCGGAGATTTTTTTCAATCATTATCGACCGACTTGTAACAATAAACCGGCGAATACTTGAAACGACGATTAAATGCTGTTGATTTTAATACAAGGGATGTGTTTCAGAAATCGGGGTGGGATTGGCAGGATTTGGAATTTCTTTCCTATTCCTTGGTGTACTATTACTCTTTGATAAGGGTTTACTTGCTATTGGAAATGTAAAATTATACTCTTGTTACTTTGCATAAGTGTCATATGTACACAATAATTGGATTGACTTCTAATAAATTGTTACATTTTTAGCTATTGTTTATATCGGGACTCGCGTGTGTTATCGGACCATGGAGGACTTTAAATTTCTTCTTTCAAAGACATAAAATGAAAGCCAGTGCCTCCTTCTTAGGAGGCGTTTTTGTAGTACTTATGGGTTGGCCTCTTATAGGGATGATCTTAGAAACTTATGGTTTTATATTGCTATTTAGGTAAGTGTGATGCATTTTAATAAAGTTGATTCTATATAAGATTTATTTTTGTAAATATATAAAAAAAATTTATTTTATTTTATTTTAGTGGGTTTCTACCAGTAGCAATAAATTTTCTACGAAGAGTACCTTTATTGGGAACTGTACTGAATATGCCTGGAATCAGTCGAATTTTGGACATAATAGCAGGAGATTCCAATAGGACAACTGTATGATAATTATATAATTTAAACATTTTTAACTTTAATATCAACATTTTTGCTTAAAACTTGTATATAAATCAATCACATATGTAATCATGTTTCATATTCTTTTTCTGTCATTCCTGTTTTAGAATGTCAGTTATCAGATAGAAATTTTTGTACAAAAAAGTATATACGTATTATACAAAAATATATACAATACATACATAAATATATAAATATATATATATATATATGTATACCTATATATGTATATATAAAATTTGCCTCTTATAAGTGTAAGAAAATATCAGTAAGCATATAGTATAATTGATTTGTATATTTGTTTACATAAATGACTTATGTATAATATATCTGATTACATTAAGGGTATGCTCAATTGCATATGTGCGAAACATTCTATAAAATTTTATATAAAAGAAAAGGAATCTGAATTTTTGGATCTAACTGCTCAATAAATCAGTAAATAATTGCCAAAAGCGCATACCCTTTCCTTAATCAGATAACAAATGTTTTGCGACAAAAAATAAATGGATGTATTTAATGTGTCATATATATATTAAGATGTTTTATATACCAAAATTGAGGAGAAATATATTCAATAAAATTCTTTCTCAAATTTTTAAAAAAGAGCAAAAAAATGATGTTGCAAAAATATAACACTGAATTGATATTAATAATTCAAGATATATAACTGTAACTTGAACCTTTTTAATTTTTACTAAAATTATAATTAAATTCAAAATAAATTTTATAATTAAATTTAAAATTATAATTAAATAGCTAATGTCAAATAAATTAGATCTATTTGTATGAAAAAAATTTGAAATCTACTTTTCAAATAGTCTTATTGATTAGGAGGGTGAAAGAAACATTTCCGAATGTATGAAATTTTATATCATTTTTATTGATTTGCTGCTTTCCCTGCATGCATCCTAACATGAACAGATTAGATGCATACATTCTGAGTAACCGCTGTTCATCTTACACATAATCTGTCTGAAGTGCGAAATTAAATTATCGTCCATCAAAATTCAATGGACTGGCTGATACCATTAAAATGATATTTTATTAATTATGAATTATGAATTATCTACAACGGGCCGAGAATAAGGGCGGGGGGCGGCCCAGGCTACGCGCCCCGCCATTTCGATATTTCGTCGCGCGTCCCTCTCTCGTTGATACTGCGTGCGCTGACTCGATTCTCTAGGCAATTATTATTACTTTCAGTACTTAATATCCTGACCGGTCTACTTATTTCAACGCGCGTGTGTGGAACATTTTTCCAGGTAACAGGTGTTCGCGATACCTCCGCGATTGTATTTGCCTCTTCGTTATTTTTACGATAATAGAGAATATGAAAATACGCGTAATGTCAATCGCTGCAAGAAAATACTGAATCCGGCAATAAGTTAAGCAGATTCTCTTCTATTTTTTTTTTACGTTTACAATTTTTGCCGAGTTTCATGCATTTTACGAGCTGCTACGTCACACGTCCTCGGCCTGAATTACTTGTTCATGTTACCGACAGCAAGCTTTTTTCTGTGCGCGTCGGTCTCTGGGAATTGCTATCAAATCGGATGTTACGGATAATAATGATGATGTTTGTGATTGTAAAGTAATGAGACGAGGATCTTTTTAGCGCTTTAAAGTAGATTTTTGATCTCATCGTACAATACGAGTACGAGCGCACCACCGGTACCACGGAGAACGTTAGAGAATGCACCCTTGAAGAAAGCATTGCCACCCTCCGATTTGTAAATAGTGGCCCAACAATGGAGAGTATTCTTATACAGAATGTCAGTCTTGGCACGGCCAGACTGCATCATCATACGTCTACGTACTGTATCGAAGGGATAAGAGATAATACCCGCGACAGTGGTTACAGCCTGCAACAGATTTGAATGAATAAACGAGAGTTTGATGAAATTGCACAAGTATACATGAACAACAAAATTTTCTGAAGTAATCTTCTCACCTGTGCAATACCCCATGAGACAAGGAATGGAGTTTTCTTGGGATCTGGCAGCATACCACGGGCAGTGTCATAGAAACCGAAGTAAGACGCACGGTAAATAATGATACCCTGCACCGATACGCCGAAACCACGGTATAAACCAACGAGACCGTCAGTTTTGAAAATTTTAGTTAAGCAATTTCCCAATCCTGTGAATTCACGCTCGCCACCACCCTTGCCTACATCGGCAGCCAACCTAGTATGCGATAATGCAACAGTAATTAGTATTTAGTATCAATAATACAAATTTTTAGAAAAATTATTTACTCTTTATTTACTAGAAAATGTATAAATTTATCTATTAAAACAAATTAATAATAATATCAATATATTTTTAAGTGACAATATATGCTGACACTTTATTGACACAATTTAATCATATATAAAGCTTAGAATAATATTCTAATATTCTAAATTGAAATTCCAATTTAGAAAAATAAAGTATTTAGATAAAATTAAATTTATACAGATTAATTTTAAATTACTAATTACTTAGGGATTAATCATTTTTGTATCAATTATAATAATGTAACAGTATTTATTAAAAATGTGAGTAATTTATAATTTACCTGGTTCTGGCAAAGTCAAGTGGGTAGACAAAGCACAAAGATGTAGCTCCTGCAGCACCACCAGATGCGAGATTTCCCAAGAAATAACGCCCAAATTGAGTGTTCTTATCAACACCACCGAGGAAAACTTGCTTGTACTTGTCTTTAAAGGCAAAGTTCAAAGCCTGCGTCGGGAAGTATCTGATCACATTGGCAAGATTACCACGCCAGTAACTTAAGAATCCTTGTTCCTTTGGGATACGCACGAAACAATCGACCATACCTAAAAGAGAGAAAATAATATAAATATACAATATATGACATAAAACTAAATATGTAATTTATATTTTAGATTTTAACCTTTGCACTCTTTAAATGTTTCTAATTAGAAATAAAACTACAAGAGAAAGATTTTGACAATATTAAAATTTAATACAATTTGACTGGCACTAAAAATTGACAATTCAGTTCTAGCTATGATTTTTTCCAATCGAGCAACTTTGTTCGATAATCGTAATTGTTTAATGTACCGATTAAATTGCAACTTGGCAGAAAGTGACATTTTTCTCATCATGATTTTCCTTGAAATTCCGAAGCTCGAGACCGTCTCGAAGACGCGTCTCTCGCAACGGCATCGATGAATCAGCTCGACCTTAATGGACGGCACAAATTCCGTGACGCGTGGAAGCAGACGGAGAAGGAATCCGGTCTCGTGGCCGACGAAAGAGCGGCCATGTTGAACCGCACCGTCATCGATCGGGGTTAAGAGAGCGAAGGAAGAAGCCACGCGCTGCCATCTGGCTCGGGACGATGCGTTTTATTGAAATATCGATCGGCGAGGAACCGCGAGAGAGAAGAAGCGGATATGCTATATGCATGCGACATATCAGTTATATAAGTCGCCGAAACTCTCTCAGGGGGCTTGACCTTCGTTACATAAATGCGCGAAATTCCTCTCCGCGAGGAGGAGGCGGCTATCGCGCGCGCTTAGGGACACGCGAGGGACATCGCGGCCGCCTTCGAACACGGCATTACATAATGGCCACATATCTCTCTCTCTCTCTTCTCTTTCCTCCTCTTTTATCGAATGCACTTGCTGAATTTGCTCGCGTTCCCGCACCCCTCGGGAACAATGGAACACGTTCGAGATTAATGGCTACTGTCACATGTTCCGTGGGGCTACCATTCATGCGTTCCGCCACGCGCCGCGTTAACGGTATATCCCCGAGTTCCCTGGAGACGACGATCATCGCCATGCCATGAAGTGATGACGTCCGTGATGCGGCTGTCGTGCAAGATTCTGGGACAGGAAAAGAAATAGATAGATATAGATCCGCACTCACCCTTGTAACGCTGTGCCTCGGAGATCTGCTTGGAGATGTGCTGTACCTGCAGCAACAACTTGACACGTTCGATGGGCGCGACGGTGGTCTTGGAGATCGCCGCGGCCACACCGCCGGCGATGAAATCCTTGGCAAACGCCACGGGATCCGCGAGTCCAGACATTGTGGAACGGGTGCGTGTGTGATTCGGTGATACGGGTTAACGTAAAGGAGAGAGAGAGTGAAAGGAGACTCTCTTTGATGTCAAAGCGTTTCGGACGCGCGCCGGACGACGAGTGAGCGAGGCAGAGATCGCTCGTCACGAGCGAACGGGGCCCTCCGCTAAGAATAGCCGCGCAGGTCACGTGTACCGCTCTGCGCAACTACGAAATCGTCGCGCCGCGCGTGACGTCATACGCCATCGCGCGCGCTCGCGTCTCGCGTTACCCATCTGTCATCGCTGGACCGTGACATGCCGTGACATTTCGCGATCGCGTTTCCGTAAGTAATTCGCACGACCTTTTCCCTTTTGCGGTCAACGGCAGCCCTTCGAGCCGCGTCGCGACCTCGCAACCGTCTCGCGGATTCCGCATTCGAAAGCCGTCCTTTCTCGCGCCGCAACGACGTTCCGTCCAATCGCGACCGGCCTATCGCGGCCAGCCGCGATCGGCGTCGCGGTTATTCGAAATTTTGAACTTGCCCCGCTGGCGGGAAAATTGAATTCCGAATGCGGTTTTCGCTTCTTCATTCGTTAAATAATTTGAATGTATAATGAAACGTGTTATGATAAAGAGATGGCATATAAAGTTTTGTTGAAAGAACGAATAAATATTGATTTTGTACAAATAAAATGACGCATTATTGAACACCTCTACTAAATAAGAATTTTAGCAGAACGCTTTTATCGTCTCTGGACTAATGGAATATCTATAATCTATATTATATGGATTTTAGGTATCTTCGAAAAATTAATTAATATCTATTAATTCATTTATTTGATTAGCAAAGTTCCAAAAGGCTTGAAATTGTATCAGTTCATTATTGCCAATTTACAAGTGACATTTAATGAGCACGTGACCGCGTGAAGTTGCATCTTGCATCCCTTTACCGGCCGAGTCTTCATATCTATCTTCAGGGCGCAAGTGGCTGATCGTATTTTAACCCAACTTTAACCCTTTTCCAAGGTGAGCTTGCGCGTTTCTGTCAATAAAAGAACAAGATGCAAGGTCAATCTTCTCCGAAGAAGGAGGTCAACGGGACGCGTCACTTGCGTAATCCTGGCTCACGGCCATCATGTTGCGGAGGATCCGCGCCAGGGTTCAATGGGGTAACGTCAAAAAGCCAGAGTGTATTTATATACCTGTGAGAAAAGCGCGCGCGTGCAGAATAGCCGATGCTAAAATCAGCTGTCTTTCACCTACACACACACGTGGTGCAGATACCGAATACGAATCTGGCTCGCTCTTATCAAATACTTTATCATATACATATATATTGTTTCTCATTGATTGATTTCTTTTTCATATGTGTGATGGAGAACAAGTAAATTTACAGCCACTTTAATCTTTAATTCTTAAGCTTAAATTCGATTCGAGTCTTATTTTGTAACACCTTGATACAATTTGAATTATACTTGACATTGGCCTTACGATTAAATTTAGAAGAACTTACAATGCTTGAGATAGAAAAGACGCTTTAAATGTAGAGTCTATGATGAGTTTAGATTTAATATCTTGATTATGAAAATATTTGGGGTAAGCATCTGTTGTAAAAATCATTAATTTTTAATATTGGGTATTTTAGCAAACAAAACAATTTTACAAATAAAACATGAAATTGATAAATTAAAATAAAATTAAATTGAAAACAATATTTTGTCATCTATTTATATTTGTTCGCTTATTATCTGTTACAGTCTCGCAGTCCTACTCCAGCAGTCTTTTGGATGTCTATCTAACAATGATCAGATATGCATATCTTGCACATTTTCAAGTTAGCACATTGAATAGTTTATTTATATTGGCATTGTAAGATCAGCAACACATTTGGATAACAATACAGAATGATTATATAGTATAATCAAAGTGTTGCTAGGTAAGTGACTATATATTTTTTTTTAACTAGTTAGACTTTTATTCTTATAAAGACTATATAATCAATAACAGTGTTCCAATCTTTAAGAACTGAAAAAATTATATTGCATAATGCGATATAGAAATTTGATATAGAAATTGTATATAAATGAAACAAAGAGAGAAAAATAAAAATTAAACCAAAGTTAATATAAATGAGGCATCAAAGTATAACAATAATTATCTTTTACTCTAGTGTAACGATTTTATTAAACTCATCTGAATTGTCAATATGAAATAATGTCTAATATGATATTTTGGCAAATAGTATAACATACATTTATTTTGTCGTAATAATTAGCTTTATGCCAATAGTTAAAATAACATTCTCTGTTAAAAATATTATATAGAACAAATTTTCTAATTTTAATTTGAAAATTACATTATCACATACAAATATATTTTTACAATTTTTATTTAAAGAAGATATATAACTTTTTTATACAATTTTATACAAAAAGAATTTTGAAGTGTCCAATATTATGTATACTTATCTGTGATGATAATGAGATATAAATTTACTTGATAAGATAAAAAAATGAGGAAGTTGCACGATAAAAGCGAGATTTCAATGAAGTCTTCTGTACTGATACATATCAATACGTACAGTTCGTAAGAAGGCATCACGAACCACGTGCCAACGTTATCAGCTCGGGCTCGTTAGAGGTCGGACCCGGGCTCAGGGGCTCAAATGTCGCGTATTGGATTAAGTGACAACCTTGAAATAGACTGTCACACTTTATGACTGCGTAATCATTCCGTGTGAGCGATTTCCCGATGAACGATCAATGCACCTGAAAAGCGTTCCTGTACAGCCAGCTAGTTGTTATCATTGCAAGTCGTCATATGTAATTGCAAAACGCGTCTCACTTGAACGACACGTGATACTGAAAAACGAAAAAATCATTATCGTCATTGAAATAACTATATTTCACGATTTATTGACGTTGTTCGAAACAGCTAAAAGTATTCTCATTACATAAGTCACAATGAATCTTTATTAACTTGAAACTAATAAATTTAATAAATTAATACATTTGTTAAATTCTGATTAATTTTACAAATTATTATTTAATAATAATTTAACAATCTATATATTTTTACACATATATATTAAACAGTACTAAAAGTAGTCAATGTGTAGATTTAAAAATTTAGAGATATTGTTTCATGATATTATTTTGTAAAATAAACCGATTGATTGCAATCGATTTGTTGGCTGTCCCTGATAAACTGTATATATATACAGTTGTATGTATGAATATCTAAATGCAATGTCTTTATGTAACATTTCGTTATTTTGTAAAAACACAATTTTATGATGAATTTCTGCATATTATTAAATTTTATAATACAACATAATAATATGCAATGAATATTTAATTTCATATATAAAATATATATATACATATATGTAGATAACAGAAATAATTCTTGTACTTTGCACTTTAAAACTTTATGGGAAAGTGTGCTACTCTTTTTGTATCCACGTATATTCATACAAAAATAAATTTTCGCGTAAAAATAAATATGACACGTACGTTTAATAGCACATCTCTAACTTGATTATATTCCGTACGAAATATGCTTACAATATTATTTATCTCAATGAAATAAATTTTAGTATTATTTTTATCCTTCAAAAATATATATGTATATATCAAACATCTATGTAATATATATTTCAGTAAAATATATAGCTTTTATAATTATATAAATGTAATGTCAAATTACATTTAAATATATTATATATTATGATAATGTAAAGAATATTCTTTAATATTTTTATTAATTAATAATGCAAATATTTTTGCAAAAAATTGTTACTAGTTAAATAATTATTTGATTATATTTGAAATAGTCGTGGCGCGAGAAACTCTGTTGGTACAATTTAAGAAGCTAGAAGACAGATTCAACGCTATCTAGTGGTAGACCTACTAATAGACTGTGAACGGGAGTACGAGAATAAAAAAAAAAGTCGTAAACTCTTCGGAAAGGACGGAGAAGAGTAAAAGAGAGGTGGAGAGTTCATACGGAGCAAGTAAATACGAATCGAGCCGGAGTTTTGCATCGAACGATGCGTTGAATTACCATTTTTTCTACGACGAATTATTACTCCTCGTCATACGTACAAATGGATGCGAGTTTGGCGAAACGTCACGGTGATAACACTCCGCGCGAATTTACAGTGAGTCTTTGTGATTTTACATCGCTTTGTAATTTGTGTATTATGTACCGATTTGACGTGTCCCGAGTATTCCGTACTTTTTCATGCAACGCAATAATTAAATTAGCTGACCCGCGTTATTATCCAGGATGTAATTTGTGCCGTGAGATACTTCTCTAATCTGAGGTTTACGGTAAACGTCACGTTACACGGTCTATAAACTGTTCTACCACTTTAATTAGGGATTTCTGTTCCATGTATCTAATTAATTATACAGACACATTTATATAATATATCTGTTAAATAAAACATTTTATTTATATAAATGTTGGTTAATCCAATGATATAACAAGGTGAAATAAATAATTTCTTTTTTGGTTTTTATTATATGAAGAATGTGAATGTCATTTTCTGTTAATAGTACTTTATATTTAATATATTATTTTGTAATGAAAATTTACTAAATTGCAGATGTAATCATACCATGGCAATATTCAACATATAAGTGCTGCCTGAAAAAAAGACAAAAATCAGCAACATGACTGAAGGTTGGTTATTAGGTGTTATATACATAGATAGCAATAAATTCAGGAACTAATGAATTTATGAATTTATCACAGGTGCAGAAACTCAACCAAATGCGGGAAATGAGCCCCAGACAGGTAAGATACTGTTTTATGATACTGAGGATTTATACATACGCGCACAATCGGATACTAAGTCTGATATAATTGAGTTAGTGTTTGTTATATATCTATGTTGTGTTACATAATAGAGGGGCTTCATTTTTTAATCTATTTCTCTTTATGTGATGTTATGTTCTTTTATTAAACTGAAGACTACCTTTGTGCTAGATATAATTATTTATCACAAATAAAATATATAATTAGATGTAATATTTAATAGCTTTTTAAAATCAACAATTTATATTAATATGAAATTAAAGAAATGTTTTATATATTATTTAAGTATCACAATATATTAAAGCAGCTTAAAATGTGAAAATGGATTTACAAATAGAAACTTTTAGAGATATATATTGTTTGCTTTTACAGAAGCCCTAGAACCAAGGGCAACACATAGTGAAGGATTACATGAGGGAGCGGCAGAATCAACATCACAAACTGCTCTTGAACCTATGCAAGAGCTTCTTACAGTTCATGGAACTACGCAAGGAGAAAGCAGTGATGCTGTCAGTATTTATACTGCAAGTACCTCGGTATCTGGAAATGGTAAATTTATAAATTCTAACAATAAAATAAAAATACATATATATACACATAAATAATTATATTATTTTTTAGAATCAAGTTCAAGTAGAGTCAGTGCAATAACTGTCGTATTACCTTGGGGTGCTCAAAAAGAGACAGTAAAACCACAACAAATAGGAGACATGGATCTAAGACCAGGAGAGTATGTGATGCGTATTCTGTTTGCAGAATTTACTTCACAGGCGGAAAAGAAGATGGAAGCTGTTATGACAGAACATGTAAGTGATCAGTGAAACAATTTTGTAAGTAACAATGTTGAAGCAATGCTAAATATGTTCTTTCTAGGAAAAGCAATTATCGAAAGTATTGCAAAGAGGAGAAGATCCACAATTTGACCAACTCTTGTCGGCTTTTGGTTCCGTTGCCGAGCACTGTTTGCCCTCGATATTGAAAGCACTCTTCAATTGGTACGAACGTCAACTTGTAGAACAAGGCGGTGATCATAAGAAACCTGCACCTGGGAAGGAAGACCAAAAAGGAAAAAGGTAAATTAATTGGAAAAAATGTATCTTACAAGTATTAATAATAAATATATCACATTTCAGCATTATGTATACAATAGTATCAGGAAGTGTAGAAACAGTGGAAAGAAGCGAAGCAGATCTCTTGCAAGAACGTAGAGATCTTGCTGTTGAATTTATATTTTGTTTAATGTTAATTGAGGTTTTGCGCCAATTACCATTTCATCCTGGACATGAAGATTTAGTAACTTATATCGAAAATATTGCTTTTAAACACTTTAAATACAGAGAAGGCATACAAAACGAACCAAATGCAGCTAATATCCATATCATTGCTGATCTTTATGCCGAAGTAATCGGAGTTTTGGCACAATCCAGATTTATGTCAGTAAGAAAACGTTTTATGGTAGAACTGAAAGAACTACGAGCTAAAGAACCAGGTCCTCATACTACACAGAGTATTATTTCTTTATTGATGGGGATGAAATTTTTCCGAGTTAAAATGGTACCAATAGAAGAGTTTGAGGCATCATTTCAATTTATGCAAGAATGCGCTCAATACTTTTTAGAAGTGAAAGACAAAGATGTTAAACATGCTTTAGCTGGTCTTTTCGTTGAGATACTCGTCCCTGTTGCTGCTGCTGTGAAAAACGAAGTAAATGTACCATGTCTGAAGAACTTTGTGGAAATGTTGTATTCAACAACATTGGACATGTGTACAAAATCCAAGCATAGACTGGCACTTTTTCCATTAGTAACTTGTTTGCTTTGTGTCAGCCAGAAAACGTTTTTCTTACAAAATTGGCATTACTTTTTAGCTATGTGTTTATCTCACTTGAAGAATCGCGATCCAAAGATGTGTCGAGTTGCATTAGGTAAGGTTACAAATTTTATATGCATTGTTTTCCTTAAAAAAAAAGAAGTAAATATATTTTTTGTATTCTTTATATTACAGAGGCTTTATATCGTTTATTATGGGTTTACATGATACGAATAAAGTGCGAGAGCAATTCGGCCACACAGAGCAGACTGCAGAGTATAGTAAATTCTCTGTTTCCTAAAGGATCGAAGGCAGTAGTACCGCGAGACACTCCGCTGAATATTTTCGTAAAGATTATTCAGTTTATTGCGCAAGAAAGACTGGATTTTGCGATGCGCGAAATAGTGTTCGACTTGTTATCTGTCGGACGACCGGTAAAAATAATTTTAACTCCCGAACGTATGAGCATCGGACTTCGAGCATTTCTCGTTGTAGCTGATAGCTTGCAACAGAAGGAGGGAGAACCGCCGATGCCGCGTACTATGGGCGTACTGCCAAGCGGAAACACCATGCGTGTTAAGAAGACCTTCTTAAATAAGGTATATATATGTCTATTGTGATATCAGAGGCGAGAAAATCAGAAGCCTTAATGCATTTATTAAAAACATATAGTTATAATTTAATATTTTTCTTTAATTTAGATGTTGACAGAAGATACTGCACGAAGCATAGGAATGTCTTCGTATTTTCCACACGTACGCCGAGTATTTGTCGATATTCTGCGCGCATTGGATGTCCACTATGGCAGGCCTCTCATGATGACCAGCACTCAAAATATGAATAAGGAACCGGACGAGATGATCACCGGGGAGCGTAAGCCGCGAATAGATCTCTTCCGAACTTGCGTTGCCGCTGTCCCACGACTAATTCCTGATGGAATGACTGGTGCAGAATTAGTTGATTTACTGTCCCGTTTGACGGTACACATGGACGAGGAATTACGCGCATTGGCATATCAAAGTTTACAAACCTTAGTGTTAGATTTCCCCGATTGGCGACAGGATGTCGTCCTCGGATTTACGCAGTTCTTAGCTAGGGACGTGCAAGATACATTTCCGCAGCTTGTCGACAATGGCTCGAGAATGCTGTTGCAACTGCTGACCAGTTGGAAGAACGCTCTGACGAGTCCCAGTATAAGATCTAAGGAACAATCGGTAGATAATACACGGGTGAATATACGAGTGGACGTTGGTATCAAAAAATGCGAATCAGGCCAGGTTTGCATTAATTTTTTGTTCTTTTTAGCATTTATAAAAAGAAACGTACATAAAATACATACAAATACACATTAATGTTATTTCTTGTTTGTAGAAAGTAGAACCCGTCTCGAACATATTCTACTTGGTAGAAGGATTTGCACTGGTTATGCTCTGCAATTGTCGCCTTTATCCTCGAAGACTGGCTGTTCATATCCTTCGCGAAGTTAAACTTTTAATGAAGACTTTAGGTAGCTATATTTACATATAATACATTGTAATGTAAATATATATATCTCATTTTTGAGAGCGGATAAAATATTCTTAATATTGATTATATCTCATTTTATATTATATCTTATATCCTTAGGAGGTCTAGAAGATGATCAACCTGTTATTGATGTGATCGACGCTTGCTGTCCTACCGTTTTGGAAAAATGTTATCATATGTTACCTCCAGCTGAGAAAGCAGCTGCTGCATCTACGTCTAATGTTGATTTACAATGGATAGCGGATAGAAGTAGTTGTGTGTGGACAGCTGGTAATGTTTCATTTATAATACTATATATAAACTATGTATATTATATTATTTATATCTTTATATTTCCTTTATATTGCAGGATTTCACGATGAAAACAGTACCAAGAGTTCTTCTTCGCTTAATCTAAATGGAGCCGACCCGTGGGCCAGTTGTCTATTTGCCTTTCTAGAAAAGGACAGAGTACTCACATTATGTCCAAACGCTGTTGCTCATTCTTGGCCTATTGTTTTTACTCGCATAAACTCTCTGTTTTCAGTAGTAGATCCCACGTAAGATTAAATTTTTGCAATTTAATTTTTACTAGATATAATTTTAATTTTGAAAGAATTAATACTCATTTAATTGTACACAGTCCAGTGAATGACAACCGAGCTTCGTTACTGAGAAGTTCGACGACAGTAAGAAAACCGATAAACGAAAGAGACGTTTATATGCACATCTGGAAAAATTATCTGACTTTTGGATATAGAGTTGTACCACCTGTGCCAAATCCAGTTGTTCGATGCGCCAGTCCAGATCTCAGTCTCAGGTAAGTTAGCTATTAAATGGCAGGAGTTTAAATATCATGTGTATCATCTTATTACATATTATTATTATTTAATTTTGTCAATAGAGCTTCAAAACTTAAACGATTATTCATGTTTATTATGCATCACTCAATGAAAAATACGTGTGCAAATTTGTGCATCGCTACGTTCGTTGCAGATACAAAGAATTTATGTTCAATGAAAATGTAGCAAAATGTATTTGCATCGATAGAAGCTATGCGATTTGTATTTACACATAAATTTGTTGAGATTCAAATAAGATTGTGAATAACTAAAGGCTCATGTTTAGCAAAATAATATATTAGAGCTTTAAATGTATTTAAGAAAAGTAAATCACCAAGATAAAATCAGTATCAATATCACTTGGTATCAATTGGTGTTGGATTATGTATATATCAATGTCTATCATTTCACAGAAACATTTTATTTATTTACTTGTCCAAAGAAATTGTTACGTTAAATATTTTACAGAATTGTAAAATAATTGATAAGTTTTCCATTCTAAGTGTTAATCTTGTACACTGGCACAATTATCGAATTATCGAATATTTTTTTTTAAATAATATCTTTTTAATGAAACACAAAATACTATACACAATATACCCTATTTAATATCGTGCACATTTTACAATGATGATTCTGCGGCATCGCGGCACCAATTCGTACCAAATTCGTGCTTTGCATTCGGGAGCGGGATCCATCTATCTGCTCTGTCCTTTCCCTCTATGCATATAAACACACTTCGCTTTATTTTTTGCAACACTACATCTCTCGCATGCTGTCTCTCCTATCGTTCTATGTCTCGTACATTACATGTACATCTTTCTTTCCCTATCTGGGATATTAGAGTAGTAGACTCTCTGAGCAGTAAATAATGTCTGATACAAGGAGCATTGGTGGTACACTGTATTGCATACTCTAGTGGTCAGCATACGGTGGAGTTTGGTGTGTTGTGCATGAGTAAGGAGTTGAGTCAGAGCCTGGAGAATCTCGGCGGGGCGCAGACCCTGCCGGGCCGGTTCTCTGTACCGTCCATTTCCGGCATCTACACTCGTCACAAGCGTACCAGGTGAGCCTGAGAGAGATTAATAATCGCGAACAAAAAAAAACGACCACGCTTCCTTCGATGTCACCCGGGATTTGAACGGTCGTTGGTAAAAATCGCACTCTGTCCTCTGTCTTCCATTGTTCTGAATCTTCGTCTCTTTTCTTAGCCCTTTATATAAAACGCAACACAGTTTTGATACCTACTTTTTTTTCATTGAACTTTCAGCTTCGTGCTCGAGCTTTCTTGCCGACCTAACAATTATTCTTTTCTTCGCGCGTATTTGCGTATCGCCACCCTTGCCTAGCCTCACGACCGTTCCCGATCGCTTTTTTTTGAGATTAAATTCTGATCGATATATATTTGAGCGCACATAGAAAATTATTGATTTACAAAACTGTAATATAGAATAGAAAGCTATGTAAATAAGTTTGGAAGTGGTGAAACACAGTAGTGTCTTTTTTGCAGCTCCTCGCCGGACAGTTTATCCGCGGAACGCGGTGATAACAAATCACCGGGCACTAACGCGAGTCCGGCAGCCTTATACAAGCTGACTGTACCTTTGCTGAGATGCGAGGCCGTCGACGTCAGAGATGCCGCGGTGCAGGCAATTGGAAAAGTGAATGCCGATGCTTTAAAGTAAGTATATAATATTTCTATACATGGAGAGAATTTTTCATTATATTTTACAGCAAAATTTTCACTACAAATTTTATCATGTTTGATAAGTCAAAAATTATCACATTGTATGTTAAAATTATCATGAACGATTAAGCTGGATTGAAAATATGCTGCATATAAAATTTATATAAAATATTTTATATATTTATCATCTTTTTGCATCTATTCTATTTAAAACATTTAAAGAATAAGTTTTTAATATAGTTTTAAAATATTTTAAAATTATTGAAATTTTACTATTTTAGAAAAATTAATCAAACATATTTTATATCTTATTGTGATCGATATTAATATTTTTATTGTGATAAATATCAGAGAAATCTTATAAAATTCTTCCAACATCATATTGTCCCACGATTACCATGAATTTCAGAATAAATTCTAAGAGAAAATTCTCTCTGTGTATAAAAAATTCTCTGTGAGGTAGAATATAAATTATAAACGTTTTTTCATTATTTGACGACAGAGACTTGATGGAAGAGTTGGTTCCTTACATCCGAGAAGCAGTAGATCGAAAACAGGAAAATATGAGACGGCGAAGAAGACGTGACGCTTTGAGACTGCAGTTAGTAAGAGTACTAGAATTAATTGCCGAATATGGAACATTTGGCATCTGGTAAGTTAACTGTATATTTTGTTTTTTCTTCTTTATTAATTTGTTACACCCAACAGGATTTAAAGAAATCATTGCGTAATTTTTTTTAGCCCAGCTGTATTAGATCGCGAGACACAATCCTTACATCCTACATTCGTCGAATACATAGATGGTGCGCGCATTTATTTAGAAAACGAGACCGATAAGGAAGCACCTGCTGTACGAGACATTAAATTGCACTTTTGTAACTTTATCAGGAAAATGATTAAGAGTTTTTCACGTAAGTAATTTTACTTAAATATAATTTATTTTAATATAATTCCAAGTTTTGAATTAAGAATATATGTATATAATGTCTGAGTAATTTATTGTTAATTTTTTTGTTTCTCTAGTGGAGATTTGTTACACCTTGTTGAAGAGGGATTTAAGAAGAAACCTGTTCATGCTCTTTGCCAGTTGGGCCGGCGTTTACGGCAAACCGCTTACAAGCACGTCGTCTATGCAAGAGGAGGAAAAATCTTGCACGGAATTGCAACTCTCATCCTTGCAAGCTATGAGCGGATTACTCTGTTGTGGATCGTGCTTCAATCCGCAGTCGCTTTCAGAAGAAGGCGCCATTTTATATCAATGGTTGGATTCATTATTGGCCAGTAAAGATGAAAAGGTAAATTAATTGTCTCTCTTTCGTATAAGCTTTTATCTGCAAACGTTATTTTTGTTCTCTTTAACAGTCGAGATTATATGTACAACTGTAATTATCAATATACATATTACACATTGAATTAAGATATCTTATATTCTATCTAACGTCATACCTCTGTTGCAGATTTATGCACTCGCACGTGAAACCGTCGTTTTGTTGCTCGAAGGAAATCCTGATATTGGTACGCTCTTGGATTGGGTGGTAGATCGATGTTATACTGGTGCTCCGCAAGTAGCTGACGGTTGTTTTCTCGCTTTGGCAACAATTTTCAGCGCTAGGTATGCATAAATTTAAAAATGTATATCTTATATAAATTTCATCGTATAAAATCACGCTTTTATTGAGTAGAAGAAAATACGATATATACATATAGCGAGTAAAGATTATGGGACGCATATTTCTGTATTAATGAAGATATAATCGATGATATAATCGTCTTCCGAAATACAGCAATAAGACTCGTAAAAATTGAATGTTTATAATTTTTTCAGAGAATATCCTTGCGATCACTATACCAGTGTCATCAACGTCACTTTAATGAATACAGGATGTCCTCGCGCTCCGGTTCACGATGCGGCGCTTCAACTTCTTCAACTGTTGGATCAACGCTTTTTCGGAAACGTAGGTCCGCTTTCAACTACAGAACTTGAGGCTGGTAAGTAACTCTTGTGCACTATAATACTGTACATATATCCGTGCACTATATAATATCAGTTTTTAATTGTCCACTTTTAACACATGGTTTATTTAGTTAATTGTGATGAAATGAATTTTTCATTGTATCATAATTCTTCATTTATTGAGAACTGTTGCGTTTCGTGAGAATTTTTTTGTTGCGTATTGTTCAAGTGCGATTGTTTCGTCGAATTGCATCTATGCGTGAATTCTGAAACTAAAAAAATGCGAAGTTTTATCAAATTGATCGTAAATCTTAGATCGTTCGTTACTTAACATGAATCATATTAGAAAAAAGAAGAAGGAACATATTTTTCGATCAATGTAATGCTCGTGCACCTACATTTTTGTCATTGTTATAATTAAGTATTTACCATACTGCTTTCCATGACTCGCCATCTGCATGAGAGTTTTGCTTCTAGTATTTCTTCTAGAATTTGATCGCTTCATAAACATGCGGACCATCGCTCTGCGAAAATTCTGCCCACTCGCGCAGTAAAAAACAAAGTTTATTCCGAAACTCGTGTTGAATAATAGATTGCACATTTGCTGCGCCGCAATGAGCCATATTGGTGATTCGGGATGTTCCTGAATTTAACAGATATAACAATAATTAACACTTTAAAATATAAAAAGTATGTCGTAGTTTAATATATAAATTAACAGTGTAAATCAAAATTTATACTACGATATAATATCAACAGCGATTTAATAGAATATTAATAGTGTAGTTATAATAATAGTGCAAATATTAATATATCGCAGTTTTATGTAATTCAATTAAATAAGATGTTAATATTGCAATTGATCGAGAAAGAAATTTTGATTCTAGAAAAGATTTAATTAACAAAATGTTTATTATCCATTAATACTTTAAGATAAAAAATTGTTTATGATGAGATTAATACGTCAATTGAAATTTAACATCTTAAATGTAAATACGTACGTAAAGAAAAGCAATCACCCTAAGGACGAACGATGGCATATTGAGACAGAAGAATGCGCTCGATACGAGCAGAAGCATTTTCGTAACTTTAGTCTGTGGCATCCTATCCCGAAGAGTCTGAGCGTTATCGTTGGAAGAGGCGTTGGATTCTGTAGTCAAAGTTCGTCGGATATGATCGAGTTTGTAAATGTTGCGCGCTATCAGGGTATTAAAGATCACTATAATGGTCAGGGGTAAGGCGAACGTCATGACAGTGTCGAAGGTATTGTAGATTTTGGCCCAGGATTCCCACTCCTTATCCAAATCACAGCCAGTTGCGTTCCCATTGGATGTAGAGAATAGGAGTACCGGACTACAGATTGGAATCGCTAATGCTGTCAGCCCAATCACTACAGCTTTTGCTCGGCTGACCGTACATAAAGACTGACGACGAAGCGGCCACTTGACCGCCACGTATCTTTCGACAGTGAAGGTCACTACGAGCCACACGCTGAGGAAACTGCAGAGAGTGCTGAGATAAATGAAGAACTGGCAGAAGCCCCATCGATTGAACAGATCCACATGTACCATACTGAGCCAGACTACGAAGATTGTCACCAGGAAGATAGTGTCGCTTATTGCCAGCGCGCCCAAGTAAATGCTGGACGAGGAATAACGCAGCTTCGTACCGAAGAACACGCATACGGATAGACAGTTGCCCAGCAGACCGAAATGTACGAGAATTGGCGTGTAGTATCGTTGGATATCTTGTAGAAGCATGTCAGTCGGGTCTTGTATTGCGCTTTTATTTTCAACGATCATCCTCACGTGTCGATTTCAACTTGTCTGCAACTATCGTCATCAATGAGAAGAGAAGTAGCAAACGGCAAAACCGCGTCAAGCATATAGCGCATCACAGCTTGCGTCATGCATGATGACCTGCAAGAGCATTAATGTTTTATATCGAAAGAAAGAGAAAGAGAGAGACAAACAGAGAGGGAGAGAGAGATATGTAAAAATAGAGAATATGTGCGAAACGCACTTCCTCTAAATTATATATTGAGATTTAAATTTAATTTAGAAATTGAAGATGATCGCTCTTGACGTTTCAAAGTTTCACACAATTACAAAGATATTGAAAGATTTTTTTTAAGATAATTTTTAGATAAATTTTCGTATTTTTAACAGATAATTTATATTTTATTAGATTTGTATTTTTTTTATTTCGAGTATTTTAATTTGAACTATTTTAAGTAGACTTTAATGGTATTAATTTTTTGTATTTTCATTGTAAATGTAATTGTTGATTAATGGAAGATGCATTTTAATTATCGATATCATTCTTAATATAACAAAACTGGTGATACTTCCACAACATTATTATATTATTTGATCAAATGTGCTTTGCATTTATATATCATCAAATGTAGTATCAGTGTTTATTATAAAAAAATTAATTGACGAGGAAATAGCGTTTATCACGCACGGAAATCCTTCGCATGCAGCAGATATGTTAACAAATCATTAGTGAATATAATATTGATTCAGATTATTGCAATTAAATGAGTATGTTATACATACACTTTGATATTGTTTAAAACAACATTTTATTATTATTGAATTATAACAAAGTATTTATTACTTGATAAATGTCTTTTTGACACGTTACTTTTTCACAATGGTACCTAATTATAAAATTAAAAATTATCTTACGTTATGCTGATAACTACGAGAAAAATTCTTATCTCTGTGTTGTAACACTATAAATCAGATATAGTTTGTCATTAACCTTGATGAATTTTTTTACGAGTTATAATAGTAATATTCATTTTAAACGCGAATAATTATTGTGCATAAAACACAAAAGAATAACTTCTTGATGTTTAATATTTGATAATGATGAGTGGTTTATTTTTATTGAGGATTTTATGTTAAAAACTGTTTATTTCGAGAAATCGAAATCTTTAAGTGTTTATTTTCTTTCTATTTTCAATCTTATGCTGTCAATTTTATGCACTCAATCTTTCTTGATATTTACGATATTAAAAATGTGATATTAAAATATAATTTTGACACATTATTTGATATATAATAATAAAAATTTTTTTTCATAATTATTTTTACAAAAAATATAAAAAATTGGCTATTAAGTTTAAACAATTAAAACAAGTAATTATATCAGAATTTATACAAGTATGATAAAATAATTAATTTTACGTTAAATATGTTCAATTGATCTATTCCCTTTTTATGTGTTTTATATATTTTTTTATTTAAATATAGCAGTATGCCTTTGAATTTTTTTATTCTAATTAATTTTAAAAAACTTGTCAAATACTTTTAGATATCAATAATTGTATACCTATTTTTGAGTTTCAATAAATGAATTAATGGTTTATTTGCAAGATGTGCCAGATGCAAATTATTTATTGCGCTACTATTCAGATTATTCTGTAGACACATTTTATGACACAAAGCTAAAAGCTGCTTTTAAGCTAAAAGCTGCTTGCGATCCAAACACTTTTGAATGTTTAAATATACTTAGATCTTACGTATTCGACATAAGATCTTACGCAAACTCATACACAGTTTTAAAGTTTCGAAAATATGTTAAAAATCTTTTTATACGCGCAACACGTGTCATGTTCAATACCGATGCAAGATTATCAATTATTCACTGATTATTTATTAAATTTTTTGTTTCAGATATTTGCGACACTTTAATTAAATAATACAATTATTTATTAGCATCAAATATAAATTAAATTTGAGTGAATTACATAATAGCCCCGCAACACCTTTCACTACTTTGTCTTTTATTTTTAAAAGAAAAGCAACGAATTATGATATTAAACGTTTCGCGATAGAAATGAGGAATTTAGTTTAATATTTGAAACACTTAATTTTCGGGCACTATAATGTTACGCTTTCAGAGAATGTATCCGAATGCTGTCTCAGCTATTTCTGCTATGTGCCCGATGCATCCATACCTGATAAAGCTTCAGTATTCTGGCTTCTGCGCATCAAACTAATATATAAATTTCCGACTCTTCGCGGCGCATGTTATTCCGTCATATCATGGAAAAATTTATGTGTTTCCGCCATTTATAAGTTATTACATTTCTATAATAAAATTATATAAATTTTGATGCATAATGATTTTTTATTCATATAGTATTTCATTTCAAATTTCTCTCTCTCTCTTTGCATGATAACAATATTTTAATAATCGATTACTGATTTTCAGAACTTTGAGTAATTTGCATTTAATTTTCTGTTTTTCTTTTTCTTCGTTTACTTGATATATAATAATTTGGATTTATTGTATTACTACAATAATTATATCATGCGCGCAAATGCATCAGTGCAGTACTTGCCAGCAATCAAATTTGAATGTATACAATTAAAATAAAAGTTAAGTTTTTTTTTCAATATATATAGTTGCAAAATTTTAATGCACAAAGGCTTATGTTCGCTTTTTGTTTGTTATGCTATAAACATCGGAGAATGTTAAACTCCGATTTTTTTCAATTTTTTACAGTTGTTTCTGATATCCTCGAGGTTTATTTGTAAGAAGTTTATCCTTTAATGCATTATATTTAGAGTTGCATTCATATTTCTTTAGAAAACAGTACTTTTTTCATTTTATATTACGATTTTATCTATTGAGAACTAATAATTTTCATAACAATGATCATCATTAGTATTTCATATAAAATTTTATCAATTGAATTTAAAATTAAGCTCTGAGATATATGTATGTACGTGTGTGTGCATAAATATACATATACAAATTTTATATTCTTTTCATATCGTACTTATATGATATACATTGAAAAAGTATTTCTATTGAAAAAGTATTTCAGAAATATTAACACATAAAAAGCGAGATGAGTTACCTTATGTGTGAAGATATGCATTTGATTTTTACTAGAAAAAAGGTATTATATGATCTAAAATATTTTTTGTAAAAAGTAGTTATAGTATGTTTCAAGACATAAAGAAATCCTGCACTATGTGTAAATATTATCTTATATTAATGTAGACAATGTAAATATGAATTTATCAATTTTATTAATGATTAATAGAAATAATTTATTTACTTAAAAATTTTTCACATGTTATCTCACAGGACACAATGACGCCCTTGCAAGCTCTACTGCAACTGTAACTTCCGGACCAGGTCAACAGAGTAATCCTGCAGGTGAAATTTCCTCTGGTGGCACAATTAGAGGTGGCACATTAGATGTTCTATTATCGACTACTTACTGCCGCAGTCAAATGTATCTTTCACGACAACTGGCTCAGCTACATCCGGAACTCACGATGCCGATGTTCAGTGGTAAGTGAAATCTGCAAATTCTTATTAATATTTTTAATTCTAATTTCAAAAATTTATATTTTATAATATGATATAATTTTATATAATGATAATATAATAATTGAATATATTAAACAATTATTGAAATATTAAATTAGTTTCCATGTTTTTGAGAATTTTTTTGAAATAAAAACAGAATTTTCTAATGGTTTTTAAAAATATTTTATGTAATTTGAGCTGTATAATTACAGTTTTCGTATTTGCTCGTATTGATGGATCTATTTCGTGAAATGTAATTGATTAGTTCTATATTGCATTTTATTTTGATATAATTTTAATAAATATAGTGTGTCTAAATAAAGATCATCTTATTAGCATGAATATGATTTAAGCATGTACGTAATATAGAATGCTATCTGTTATAATAAAAAATTGTTGTTTGTCGAAAGCTTTGACATATGAAAAATAATTTGCATTGCAAAACAATGGAATTTATTTTGCGTTGTAAATAAATAACATGATACAATTGGATTACTATAAAAGAAACAGAGAAATTTGCTTTTATTATCACAAAAGCGCACACAACAAGAAAGTCATAAATTATCCATACAGAACCGTGTGGTCTTAATAATATTCATCATAGATATTCAATTACATGAATGCAATAAAGAATGATAATTGTATAACAATGCTCGCATGTTCATGCTTTCATCGATTATCATATATTCTGGAGGCGTGTTGCATAAATTATATAAATATTGAAATTATCGCTCATCTGTTCAACGCCTATAGGGGATTTGCATCAAATTGTAGTTTATAAATTATAGTAACGCGTCAATGAAAGAATTTACTTGGAAAATTCGTTTAATATTATAATATATATAAAATATACAATGCAACTATTTATAACAAAAATACATAAAAATAAATCAATGATGCACGATATGTTATAATAATTTATAAAGAAAAGAAATATAAGTTTTTGATTAATAAGATTAATTGAAAGATTGCATCTATTGAATGTGCATGACGTTTTAAGATTAATTGAAAGATTGCATCTATTGAATATGCATGACATTTTAATATTATCTGTCACATAAATTGATTGGTTTATTAGTGTATAGCTGCAATTCAACTACAGAGATTTTCATGTCTTCTGCAGTGATTGCAATTAATTATATCTATTGCTAAATTTTATCAAATATATATATATATATATTTTTTTTTCTTAATGCCATTATGTATTTAATGATGTAAATGCTGAGCTCAATGCAGAGCGATTTAATTATCTTTCTTAAGTATTTGAGAAATTATATTTTTCTTGGTTTTAAAAATAAATCTCTTTCTTTCTCTCATATTTAAAAACAATTTAGTCTAAAAAAATAGATCACAGAAATTTCGAAATTTAAAAAAATTTTTAAGTTTAAAACTTAAAGAATTTAAAATTATAAAATTAATTAGTTAATTCTTAAAATTCAATTTTAATAATGATTAATAACAAAACAAAGATTTGAAATGTTCTTGCATTCAACTTTGTATTGTTGCTCGCGGAATTAGGCTTCTGAAATAAAATCCAGGAAATACATAGAAGTCTAAGAGAAACCGTGACCCTTCTTATGAATTTAACCTTTTAAGTACAATCATCACTTTTAATGAGCTGCAAAATGCATCAAGTTGCTGCGTTGACTCTCTGTTTACATAATAGATTGCTGTTCTTCGCTTTAATTCTGACGCATTCTGACACGCATTTTACCTCATCGTGGATCATCTTAATAGATGTTTAAGAAGAATAATAGATTGATGCAGCACGTGCATGTTGAAAGAGAAAGAGAAAGAGAGAGAGTAGGGGGGGGAGGTAGGAAGGAAATTTGAGCAACAATAACCAAAATAAAATTCTATTGAATTACTATCTTACACGTTTCTGGTTACATTCGTTTGCTTTATTACACTCGAAGCGGTGAACATTTTGTTTTCAGAACGATGTAACACATGAAATTGCAATTTTATCTCGCGAAATTCTATATATGATATTATACTCGATAGCATGTAGCAAAAGAAAGAAAAAATTCTATTTTATATTTAAAAAAAATAATTTTTATTTATTCGAGATTATATTATTCTATCTAATTCTATTTATATAATAATTCTATCTAATTCTATTTATATAATAATTTAATTTTATATTTTTATATTGATTTTTACAAGATAAAACATTTCAAATTAATTAAAACAAATAATATAGACGATATAATGATATATAAATATAATAACAATGAAAATAAATTTAATGTAGATAAAATAAAATCTGTTCAAAATATAGAAATTAGTATCAGTCAGAAACTCTTAATTATTTATGGCAACTTAAAAAGATGAATAAATTAACACGAAAGGATTATATTATAACATTTTTTGACAGAAATTATAAGAGAAAATCAGAGAAAATTCATAAATGATATTAGTTCTCAATTAAACAGAATGCATTTAAAATTATGTACAATTATTTATATTATATTATATTTATATATATTATATTATATATTATATTATATATATTTATATTATATTATATTATATTATATTATGTACATTTATTTATATTATATAAAAATAGATTCTATTTCTTCTATTTTTTTTTATAAACGAGACAGAGATGTTCTCATATTTCACTTTTATGTTTTAAATTTAATTTAGAATAACAAAAGATATTGTATTAGTAATTGATATGTCATCGCGCGAGAATCATATCATACAGAAAATAAAAGAATTTTAAATAAGAATGAAATATTTTATGTTAATTGTTTGATCTCATATATTTTTGAAATACAAAAGTGCAATGAAAGAGTAGGCGGCATTATTTAAACAACTGCAAATAATTGCAGGCAGTCATGGAAATAATTCCCTGTGATTTTACGGGGGCACATGCTCCGAAAACTGGAATGTTATTTATGTATGCCGATGAAAATAACAAATGTTCTTCTACATTTTACTGTTTCAATACGTTATATCAATATCGTAGAAAGCAATATTGCAAGTATGTTTGATCGTCATATAATCGGTATACGAATTAATTAAATGCAGCGAATGAGAGAAAGAGGGGGAGAATAATGTCATTTGCATTAAATTTATTCAAGCTGAAAAACAACCGGCGTCATATATTTCAACCATTTCAGATTAAGAGACGAGATTAAAAGATGCGAAAGTTAAATGCATTTGACGAGAACAAAAATAATAAATATTCACATATTACACGGACCTGCAAAATAGAGGGTTTTAAGATATGTTTGAGCAAACAAAGTAGTTTCCTATGTAATTTTCTTATCTTTAAAGTGATATATCTCGGGAACAAAACATCATACGAGAATGATTAAAAATAGATTTTAAAGGGGAAGACTAGTACTAATGTGATGAACAATTGACGATTATCAGAAATATTTAGAAAACTTTGGTGTTTCTAAAATATAAATGCACGAAGTTGGCAAAAATCATCATTTTTGACATCTTTTACCGTATTCGGAAATTTAACGTGATAGACAAATTCTGAAGCCAGATTCAGATTCAGAGCACAAAATTATTTAGGAAACTACTTCGTGTACTCAACATCAAAACCAGGCCTGTGTTATCATTAAACAGCAATCATTCAGATATTTGTAT